GTTACCTCGTTATTAATATGGTAGACGTCGAGAAATGCAAGTTATAACGCGACTTTTCCTTGAATATCGTGCCATTAACTGTTCTATCCGATGATAATTACTTTTGACATCTGTTCTGCGGCCGTGGATGAGATTGTTATTCGAACACAAGAAATATTCAATTTCCAAATTGCCATTCCATAAATTTTTCCTACTTTACACGAAACTCTAGCAAATTAATTACGATATCGAATTTGTTTGTAAACAAATTTTAGTACAAATCGCCTTGACATTGGAGCGCGCTTAAACGGATTTATTCAAGGTAAAAGTTTGTAATTCGTGGGGTAATTAATAACAAACGAAAATTCCGTTGATTACATTAAAATATTTATGTGGATTTCAATAATTAATGCACTTTCACCTTTCGCATGGCGAGCGCTCTTATCGCGCATATTTTTCGGCGGTTGTTTCTAATCTCGTTCGCCCGAAAAATCCGATACGAAATTAAATATTTATTTTCTATTCGCGCTAGCTGAAAAAAAAATTATGCGACTCGAAGAGAACATTTACTTAATTCGAAAGGTGATTGGAAATTATCGCGCAGCGTTTTATCGTTTCGGTATAGTTTATTTACGGTTTAAAAATAGCCGGTTTCCAGATAAACGCGATTCGAAAATCGAGCCAAATCGCCTCTGAGCGACAATCGATTCGAATCGAGAAATCGATAAATAACAATTATTATAATGTTCCTTTACTACCGGATTTCGAGTTCAACGAATCCATAAGGCATCATCTTCCCGACCTCTTACGCGGGTGACTAAAAAAATCCCATTAGAATCGAAAATGATCGATAATAGTTATTGATGAATAACCGTTTACGCACGCCGCGAAAATACGCAATAGAACTGGAAAATTAATAAAATCAAGAGAGTATCCGAATAATGAGTCACAAAGTGAACGAGAGGTTGAGAGGTTTGACTCATATCATTATCATTGGATATAGTCGTGAGTCATTTCGCGGAAACTATTTGAGGAGGGTTCGTTGAGGAAGGGCCGGGAGATTTGTCCCTATAACTTAATTTCCCATTCATTCGGTCTTCCTAGTAATCTCTATTTCGCAATAAAGTCAATGAATCATTACCTCACTGCCTTCTTTTTTATGCAGTTTAAACCTGTTTGACGTTTTAGATCGATTGGATCAGTTTTGGATCGAGAATTTTGACGTTTGAGAAGTTTGACGTTTGAGCAGTTTGACGTTACGTAGGTTTGACGTTTTAGCAGTTTGACTTTTGAGAAGTTTGATGTTTCAGTAGTTTGACCTTTAAGTAAATTGACGTTTGAGAAGTTTGACGTTTGAGATGTTTAACGTTTCATCAAAGGTTTAACGTCGTTTCAGATCGAATTGTGACGTTTCAGTAGTTTGATGTTTGAGAAGTTTGATGTTTCAATAATTTGAAGATTGGGAAGTTTGATGTTTCGTAGGTTTGACGTTAAGGAAGTTTGCCATTTCAGTAGTTTGATGTTCAACAAGTTTGACGTTTCAATAGTTTGACGTTTAAAAATTTTAACGTTTCAGAGGTTTGACATCGTTTCAGATCGAATTTTGGCGTATTAGTAGTTAGCTGTTTGAGAAGTTTGACGTTTCAATAATTTGAAGTTTGAGTATTTTGACGATCGAGAAGTCTGACTTTTCGGTAGTTTGACGTTTCAGAAGTTTAGCGTTTGAGAAGTTTGACGTTTGAAAAGTTTGACATTTGAGAAAGTTGACATTTGAGTATTTTGGAGTTTGAGACTTTTGACTTTTGAGATTTTTTAAATGCTTTTGAGATGTTTGAGTCGTTTGTAAACTGCAAGAAACAATTCGTTGGTCGATAAATCTTCACCTACTAGAACTAGACGAACAAAACGAATAAAAATCCACGAGATGAGTCGAGAGACCATTATAGAAAGGAAGTAAAAAATTAGAAATTCTTGTTCATAACACTTAATTTATTGTTCATATCTAAGTAATGCGATCTCGAAACGAAAGTGTTTTACCCATTCTAGTCTATCTGAATCCGCGACGTATTTGCATATCTATTCCAAATTCCTATTTTCCCAAAGAAATCTCCAATTTCTCCGATTATTGTCTCTAGAATACGTGAAGTTATACTTATAAGGAGTTATATACGAGGGTGAAGCGATTATTATCGAACCATGGGAACGTACATATGTGTACAAAATGGCGTAATTGCAGAGGATGCTTGCTCCTATTTAATTACCTGAAATTCACGCCGTTTCATGGTCGCGGATTTCGCCGTCTTTCAACCATTTCCTTCCACGTTCGAGTTTTAATTTATTTCGAAAAAAAAAGTAGTACGTGTTTAATTAACAAGATCTTCTGCCATGTTAACACTATTTTTATTCATTTATTGCTGTTTAAAATTCACCCTGCCAATCGATTGTAAAAGATTTTTATGCTAAGTCATATGGAAGAAAAGCAGAAATTATACAGGGTGTTCCTAAACATCGTGTACATCCGAAAGGGGGTGATTCCTTGGCTTATTTTATGACTAAAAGTTCATGTAAACGTGGATCCGCAAACGCTTCGTTACCGATCTACAGGTTGTTCAAATTTCAAGTTTTTTTTTGTTTCTTTTTTGAAGCTCCTGCACTTTTTGAGATATTTAACTCAAATTAGGTATAGGATATAGGGCATAGAGTGTAATTTGAGTAGGAGGAGGACACTTTCAACATTTATTATAATGTAATTTAATAATTAATATTTAGGGTTTTTGTTTTGTAAGATAAATCATTTGTACAGAAAATCATTTTTAATTTTTTTCTCGATAATGGTCACAGAAACCAAAAAAGTTTAAAAATAAAAAAAGTTTCTAAACAAAACAGACAATTAATTTTGTATTTTAGAATCTACCAGCGGCGCACAGCAAAAAAGGTCGGGGGGAAAAAAGTGTACATGACCCCTGAAAAAATAACCATATTTGATATACCCAATAATGTGTGCCCTATAAAGCAATCTAGATTTAAAAATTGAGCTAAATATCTCAAAAAGTGCAGGAGCTAAAAAAAAAACAAAAAAAAATTGAAATTTGAACACCCTGTATATATACGTTTATATAAACTTTTAGTCATAAAATAAGCCAAGCAATCACCCCCTTTCGGATGTACACGATGTTTAGGTCCACCCTGTATATTACTAAATAAAATTCTGAAAATTTCCAAAAAATATACCATAAATTCTCGTTTGTATTGATGACTAATAAAACAAACTGATATTTTTTTCAAACATCTATTTTCGTGTAATATTTTGTCTGATACACACTAGATACATAAATAACGTTTTGATTTTCTATTAAGGTAGATGAATAGGTATGGAAAATACGCAGATAAATACCACAAAAATTTTGTAATATTCGATTATTCCACAAACCAAAAAGGTGCGGTAATAAGTAGGTGGTTTCCTTTAATCTCTTACCAAACTTTATCGATCATATATCGATTAAAATCTACCTGTTTCGGGTACTCTTTTGTACGATTCCCGAGCAAATATAGTACGAGCGCAAGCGATGATATCATATCGCCCATGGACTATTTCCACAAATAATAATAGGTGGATATCCTTTGTATACATTCCTATAAATTTCCATGAATAAACCACGGCCTTGTACGTGGTAGGTGCGATGGCTGGCATACAAATTAGGCGGCCATAAAGATTTAAAATTGTAAAAACATATAGAGATGGTGTATTTGGTTATAATCGGTGGACATTTCTGTATTTCTGATGGTCCGTTAAAAAGCATAACGAACCGCCGAGAGATTATCGGCTCGTTCTCGATATTTAGCCGTTAGCGAAACTGGTTTACTAAAAATAAACCACCATACAACTGTCTTTGATCGACCGAAAGCGAACAGTAGATAATTAAAATCGTCCCAATATGGACAATTTTAGTCTACCTATATTTGGTTTAAACTGGCTCGATGAAAGGGAAAATTAACCTTCTTTAAACCTCCAATTTTTCGTTCTTCCTGTACTTATTTTCTAATTATAGCACGCGCAAATATACGATAAGACTGTGGACTTTAATTAAAATTTACCAAGTTTGTTGCTTATCTAATAATTAAGCTTCTGCTTGGATAACGTTGGTATTTTTTTCGAAAATTTTTACCTACACATCATTGCCAAATTTCGCACTTTCAATGACACTCTTTCTTAAATCAGTTAATGCTTTGCTTTCTTCGCCTTATTAAGCGATCAAAACGAGCCAAAGACATTGACTCGAGAGTTAATTTACATCACCATACCAATACGCAGAGGTTAAATGAAATTATTTATCAACCATTTAACTCGATTGTTGCCTCTTGAGTAGTTAATTTTTGATAAAGATGATTGGTTAATTAGCCAAATTTGCTGTATACGAGGGCACGGTGAAAAGTTCTCGGCCTGAATCATTTAGAACTGTCTATAATCAATTAGAACACTTCAGAATCGTTTAGAACTGCTAGAATAAACTAGAACACTCCATAATTATTTAGAACTGTCTAGAATCATTTAGAAGTGTCCAGAACCATTTAAATTGCTCCAGAACCGTTCAGAACCCATATTTAAGAGTTCTCAGAATGAGCATTGGGTGTTTTTTTAACAGCCGTTTGATGAATTTAGCATGTAAATCCATTTAGAACACTTCAGAACCATTTAGAACGCTCCAGAACCATTTAGAACTGTCTATCGAACTAAGGACTTCGATTTACCTAAGAATAATGTAATTTTTCAATTGAAAATCGCGGTCTTTAATTAGGCCGAGAACTTTACACCTTACTCTTGAATAGAGAATGAATTGGGTTTCTGGAATAAGTAGTTTTAAAGTTAAAAAATGGTTACTGTCTATTGTGTTATTCAGTTAAAGGAAAAAGGGGAATTGAAGAAGATTGGACGAGTATATTCGAAGTTATAAATGATTATAGTACATTACTTAGTGCAATTACACCGAATGTTATTCGCCTTGTGATACATACGAGTATATCACGCGACATAGACTCGAGGAACATGTAAAAAAAATACTCGAAAAGGCTACATAGATTAGTGACATAAGATTTTCAAGGTCGCCGATCAAGGCCAGAGCGGATAACTAGAAAAGATGAATCGACGACCGTTAAAAAACGAAGACAACAACAACAAAGCAAAGCAACGACAACGACCAACATCAACGGCAAACGGCAAGTCCAACGGTCCTTCGGCACCCTTCGGCACGAGTCGTGCCGCCGGGCCTTCGAACCTTCGAGTTTCCAGTTAGGTTAGGCCGAAAACCGCCGTGTCGGCCCCGACCAATGGGACGCCTCGCACCGCTTTATGCCCATATATGGTAACGTCGGCGGACGAACGCGCTGGTGGGGGTCGGACGAGTCCATTCCGGCGTCGGGACGAGGGGCGGCCGCCGCCCTCAACCCGCAAATTTCTCTTGTTTCTAAACAAACGCGCGTTTCCGACGGCCGAAATATCCGTCAAAAACGTCAACAGTTTTAGATGCATCGATATCGACCGACGGAAATCGATTCGGACGGTTGGAAAATTTGAATTTTCCGCAAGGATTCACCCTCCCGGCGCGCAAGTGAAGCGACACTGCCACCGCACCGCCGACACCGGCGACTCTTCATTTCATTCCGGTCGTTCTCGCTCCGTAAAGTTCTTCGTTGTTTTGTGACGTGTCTCGTTAAAACGGTAAGTTTTTATTTGAATCTTCATCGAATTCGTATTTTATTCATGCGCTCGGCTCGCCATTCATCCCGAAACGCAAACGCGCGATCGTTGAAATGGAAAAAACGGCGAGATTCCCGCAAACGTCGGGGCGTAGCACCTGTTAATAGAGCGTCCCGATCTATTTCCGACCGTCGGGCAAGTGGTCGTAGTAAATAGTAAACTCGAATCGACGCCGACTTTATTTTTAAACTCCCATTGACGCTTCTCCCGAACCTTCGCGGCTCGTATCTCGGATATTGCTAACTGCATATTTTTTTTGGTATTAAAAACGTTAAAATGCAATTATGAGGCCGGTATCGTCGTCCTTTTCTGGCTCCGGCGAAACGTCATCGGCGCTTCTTATATTCCGAAAATTGTACACGGAGAGAAGTGTGTCAGTTCGTGGGGCCGCCGAGGGGGCCGGCGCGGGGGGGAAACGGGAGAAAAATCGATGCAATACATTGCCTTAAATGGTAATGTTGCTCGCTATTGGCGCAGACACGGCGATTTTCGTTCGTGGAGGGGCGAATAATCATATATACGGTTGAAAAGTCTGGTCACAGTATAATAGTCATAGAGCCTTCAGTGTTAGCCTACTGTGAGTACAGCTCGTTTGATATTCAGCTGTGCATCAATTTTTGTTGAAACTTCCCTAATAGCCTACTAGATTTTTCAAAGTAAGTGCATCGGTTTTACCCGTTTTTTATTTTTTTTCGTTCGATCCCTCAGTGGAAATTGGTTTGGAAATCGCGATTAACGGAAATAGGTGTGGTCGTGCAACGTGGTTTTCTCCGTAACTAGAAAAAAAAATTATCTCGGGTGTCATGTGAAATCCGTTTGCCGGTATTAGGGCGTATCCCTTACTAGTTAAAGTCCATTCTTAAAAGCGGTTAATTTACAAAGCCGGCTCGAAGCGCCCACGGCCTACCTACGAAATACCGGTTTCATTTCGTACCGATTCCACGCGCATTTAATAAGCTCGATAGTAATTTTTTTTTTCTATAAATTTTTCAGTACTAATTCAAAATGTGTGAAGAAGAAGTCGCCGCTTTAGTCGTAGACAATGGATCCGGTATGTGCAAGGCCGGTTTCGCCGGGGACGACGCCCCCAGGGCCGTATTCCCGTCGATCGTGGGCCGCCCCCGGCACCAGGGCGTCATGGTCGGCATGGGCCAAAAGGACTCGTACGTAGGTGACGAGGCCCAGAGCAAGAGAGGCATCCTCACGTTGAAATACCCCATCGAGCACGGTATCGTCACCAACTGGGACGACATGGAGAAGATCTGGCATCACACCTTCTACAACGAGCTGCGTGTGGCGCCCGAAGAGCACCCCGTACTCTTGACGGAGGCCCCGCTCAACCCGAAGGCCAACAGGGAGAAGATGACTCAGATTATGTTTGAAACCTTCAACACTCCGGCCATGTACGTGGCCATCCAAGCCGTGCTGTCCCTGTACGCTTCCGGTCGTACCACCGGTATCGTATTGGACTCTGGAGACGGTGTGTCCCACACTGTACCCATCTACGAAGGTTACGCCCTTCCTCACGCCATCCTGCGTTTGGACTTGGCCGGCAGAGATTTGACCGACTACCTCATGAAGATTTTGACTGAACGTGGATACTCTTTCACCACGACAGCCGAAAGAGAAATCGTACGTGACATCAAAGAGAAGCTCTGCTACGTAGCGTTGGACTTTGAACAGGAAATGGCCACGGCGGCCAGCTCGAGCTCTTTGGAGAAGAGCTACGAACTACCCGACGGCCAGGTGATCACCATCGGTAACGAGAGATTCCGTTGTCCGGAGGCGCTCTTCCAGCCGTCGTTCTTGGGCATGGAAGCCGCCGGCATCCACGAGACCACTTACAATTCGATCATGAAGTGCGACGTGGACATCCGTAAGGACTTGTACGCCAACACCGTACTGTCTGGTGGTACCACGATGTACCCCGGTATCGCCGATAGGATGCAAAAGGAAATCACCGCCTTGGCTCCCAGCACGATGAAGATCAAGATCATCGCTCCGCCGGAGAGGAAATACTCCGTATGGATCGGTGGATCGATTTTGGCCTCTTTGTCCACCTTCCAGCAGATGTGGATCTCCAAGCAGGAATACGACGAGTCCGGCCCATCTATCGTTCACAGGAAGTGCTTCTAATTTGTTTTTTTTTTTGCTTACATTTATTCTCTATTTCTCTTTACATGCCCTTTTTGGGTGTACGAACTGCCGTGTTTGTAATATGGGATCGAGTGACCATAAATATGCACCCTAGGCCAAAGTATTACTATCTTAATTTTTGTAATTTATTACATGTGCAGAATAAGACTATTATTATATTATTAGGCTAATACTATGGGATAATAAAAATTGTAAAACTCATTACTCTGTTCCTTAATTTATTTTACCTTTGTAATAAAATTTGAATAAAAATTTAAAAAAATGTATATGGTATTTGTTAATTTTTCATTTGTTGTGCCTACAAATATTCATCAAATTTCAATTAAAACTTACGAAAAATTACAATTACCAAAATATATATTATATTTCAACAATTTTGTTAACAATACTTTGAAATTCTTTCGATAATGGAGAATCCGGGTATTCTTTAGTGCAGCACTTTCCTAGCAATTGTCCGACTTTGGGATCGATTGGTAAAGTCCCCAATAATGGGATTTTCAAAATTTCCGCTAGGGATTCTCCTCCACCTTTGCTGAAAATATTCGTGCAATCCGAGCAATGCGGACAGACGAAGCTAAAAATTCCAATAACAATCAATAAACCCGGTATGTAATAATTTCTAAAATAACCCACCCACTCATATTCTCTACGAGTCCTATTATTGCAATGCCGGTTTTCTTACAAAACGTTATTTCTTTCCTAACATCTTCTATAGAAACCTGCTGTGGGGTCGTCACGATAACGGCCCCATCGCATTTTATCTCCTTCAAGTTCTCCATCACTGTTATGTGCTCATCGGATGTACCTGAAATAATTCGATTACCAATAAATTAGCAAGTAAATATTTCTACAAGCTGTACCAGGCGGAGTATCTATTATCAGATAATCCAAATCACCCCAACAAACGTCTGTTAGAAACTGCTTTACCATCGAAGTCTTCTTCGGTCCTCTCCACACCACCGAACTGTTTCTGTTATTTAGGAGAAATCCGATGGACATTACTGCTAACTGTTGTTCCTTATCGAGGTAAATTGGTATCCATCTAATAAATAAAAATCATATTACGAACTCCCTTAATTAGGTAATTTAATTGTAATAGTTGAAGACTTTCGATTGTGCTCCCCGTACTTACCCAGCTTCCGATTGATGTACATCTTTACCCTCGAGTTGTAAAAGATAGGGCACGCTTGGACCGCATAGATCGATATCTAATAAACCCACCTAGAAAATACTATATTAGTAAATAGGTAATATGATGGTAAACATACAAACCTTGTAACCCCCTTCTCGTAATGCTAGGCTCAATTGAGTACTGACAGTGGATTTTCCAACGCCGCCTTTTCCCGATAAAACGAGTATTATGTGCTTTATATTATCCAACATTTTATTTTAAATTTTTTAATCGCAAATTTAAAAATTTTGTGTTTATAACCTAATTTTGTCTGCTTTTTTATTTGTTTAAATATTTGAATGTGTCAAATGTCAAATTGTGTCGATGTATTTCCGAAGTCCGAAGAAACGTAGGCCACTAATTTGACATAAATGTTTGAAATTTGTATCTCTTCAACAAATAATTTTCAAAATACAATTTCTTACGCGACAATCTATTTTAACAAGCATTTAAGTTGAAAAAACTTCCATATATTCATAGCTAGAATGTTAGTTATAAATTGTAAGCGATATAACGCCATGGTAACGAGATTTCTGACGACTCGCAACAAATCCTGAAATAATGGTAAGTTTCGAATTTTTACGAGATTTTACAAGATTTTATTGTTATTTATTATTGCAGATTTTAAGCAGAGCCAAACCGGCGCTACAAACTAACAGCGACTCTAAAAAAGACCATGGGAAATCCTCATCGAAAAACTCGCAATTCGAAGAATATCTCGAGAAACGTGATTACGCAGGAGCAGTTACTCTACTCGAGGTTTGTAAATAAATTCGCATAATTAGTAATTGTAAATGAATTATAATTAAATTACGCTGGTTTCAGTTCAAGCACGTATCCGAAAACAAGAAGAACATCATCGATGAATGGCTGGCATTTTGTGCATTCCACAGGGGCGATTACAAAAAGGCCCTACAAATTTACCAAAATCTTCAAAAACTTAACGCAGAAATAGAAAACGCCTTAGTGAACACGGCATGCTGTTTATTCTATTTAGGTGCGTTAACTACTAGTTATGCAGCCACCTTTATACTAACTGAAGGAATTTTAGTTATGCAACCATTTTTACACTAATGTATCCATTTTAGGAATGTACGAGGAATCGAAAAGTCTATTACAAAAAGCACCCCCGAGCGGCCTGAAATCCAGACTAAACTTCCACCTAGCTCACAAACTAAAGGACGAATCCACTTTAATGGAATACCACGAGCATTTGCAGGACATCTTGGAAGACCAACTGAGTCTAGCAGCCATACATTATCTACGAGCCCATTACCAGGAAGCCATCGATATTTATAAGCGATTACTGTTGCAAAACAGGTAAATTTAAATCAATTTCAAATGTACCAAACATTAATAATCATGTTTTTTTACAGAGAGAACATAGCCCTTAACGTTTACTTGGGGCTTTGTTACTACAAGCTGGACTACTACGATGTCTCGCAAGAAGTGCTGGGGATTTACTTGAATAAATATCCCGATTCCGTCATTGCTACCAACTTAAAGGTATGCGAAATCGGCATATCCTCTGCGAATGAACTATTAATAGGTAGTTATGATGTTATGTAAATATTGTATTTTAGGCTTGTAATACGTTTCGCTTGTATAATGGAACGGCGGCAGAGAACGAATTGAAATCCATAGCAGATCAAGGCAGCCATGTTGGATTCGGTTACGACTTGCTCAAGCACAATTTGGTGGTGTTCAGAGATGGTGAAGGCGCTATGCAAGTAACTGGACTATTTCATAAAGATATATAAAGGGTACTTTAATGTTAAAGGATGCTTTATTATGTGTAATTGATTGATAACGTTTTCCTAAAGGAATCTTTTACCTGTCTTATGAAACCATTTAAAAACAAGCTTAAATGGCACTTTATCTTAAAGCTTCCTTTTGTTAAAGATACTTTAACGCTTTATTATAAAATCGGCTCCAAGACAATCCGATTACAGAAGCTTAATGGCTCTTATTTAACGCTCCATTTTAACACTAATCAATCGTTTAGACTTTAGAGAATCTCTTTAAAGCACGGTCGTGTATTATAAGGTCTAGAAACTAAACGTATTTTGTGGTAGTGGGGGAGTCCCGCTAACTAGGATGTTTAGGATAGTTCACTTGAGCACCGCACTGTGGCGTACGATCGAAGGATCAACTTAACACTCCTTCCACCAGAGTTTCCAGACCTTATAATATACGACCGCACTTTAAAGTAAACAATGTCCCTAGTTACTCCATAACAACAATGTAAAACTGTCAATTTGAAAGAATCTCCTTAGTTACTCCATAACAACAATGTATAACTGTCAATTTGGAAGAATCTCCTTAGTTACTCCATAACAACAATGTATAACTGTCAATTTGGAAGAATCTTCTTAGTTACTCCATAACAACAATGTAAAATTCACAATGAAAGAGACTTTTTAAACGATTGTTCGGCGTAAAAAAGCAACTCTAATGATTAAAATTTGGCTTTCCGGAGGTGTTTCCCGGACTTGTCGATGTGGTACCCGAAGCCCGATTGAACCTCGTCATCCACTACCTCAGAAACAACGACACGAGGGAAGCCTTCGATTTGATAAGAGACATCCAGCCGGCCGTGCCTCAGGAGTACATTTTGAAAGGCGTCGTCAACGCTGCCCTAGGACAAGAAATCAATTCGGTACAATTTCTACAAAACTATAACCACACGATTTAGTAAACTATTTTATTTTCTAACAGTTGGAGCATATCAAAGTAGCCGAAGAGTGCTTTCATCTAGTAGGCAGTTCTACCAGCGAATGCGATACGATACACGGCAGACAATGCATGGCCGCCACGTTTTTCCTCGCCAATCAATTCGAAGAGGTTTTGGTCTATCTCACTTCGATAAAGAGCTACCTTCATTCCGGTAAATATGTTACTAGATTAGGGTAACGTTATAGTTCGAATAGAGCACGGCCCTATATTTCTAAGGTCTGGAATATCCCTATTAGAGAATGTGTCCCGTTATTTGAGGACTTTTTGAGCTTCACTTTTGCGCCGCACCGTGGCGAACGATCGGAGGACCAACTTATCTCAGCCAATCAGCGTCGCGATACATAAAAATCGCGGTTGTGTGAAACGACAGTTCGAGCTGTCAAAACTTCAAAAATTATTTTTTGACATTTCGAGGGGAAAATGGAGAAATACATTAACCGAAGATATGTGAGGCATAATGTTAACAACAAAATCATCGCTGATTTAAGTATATTTTTATATTTTGTATCTATTTTTAGTTTGAATAAAACCTTTCTTAATGCTAAATCTACATAATTCGTACGCAAAAAACAGTGGTCCTTTACAACATCGCCTCCTAGCGGCCATTTTAGGAACCCTCTTTTATCCTCAAATAACGGAACACTTTTTCGATCCATATTTCCAGACCTTTGAAATATAGGACCGTGGAATAGATCAAGAATGCGCAACGTACTCTTTTCTCCATCCATCATCTTGAGCCCTCAGCTACTTAGGCTAATCAGCCTCCATATAGAGTACTTCTACATCGACAGTCGACGGTTAACTCGTACTAATTCCAGATAACACGTTCAACTTCAACTTCGGACAGGCCAAGACGGCCTGCAATCAATTCAAAGAGGCCGAGGAGATTTTCCTGCTGATCGACGATCACAGGATCAAGAACGATTACGTGTACGTGTCGAATTTGGCGCGGTGCTTCGTGATGAACAAGAAACCGCAGCAGGCGTGGGAGTTGTATGGCAAATTGGAGGGCACCGCCGAGGGGTTCAATCTGTTGCTGTTGATCGCCAACGATTGCTACAGAATGGGGGAGTTTTGGTACGCGGCGAAGGCGTTCGATATGCTGGACAAGATCGAGCCGAATCCGGAGTTTTGGGAGGGCAAACGGGGCGCTGTCGTCGGAGTGTTTCAGGTTTGGAGTAGTTGAATTTTTCTTTCCGCCCTGTATCGACTTTTTTCCTTCTAAAATGTAGGTCTAGAGGTCTTAGAAACTTGGATTATTCAGTCTCCAAAAGAGTACTATATTGACATTTATCAAAATTTGTGGCCTCGCAAGAATAAGGCAAATGGTAACAGCAGTGAAAAAATATAAAAGGATTATTGTAAGACGAATAGCAGATTATCTAAATGCATGACCAGAAAATAATTGTTTGGTTAAAATAAAAGACGTTCAATAATTAAATGAATGGGCATTGAATTAAGTAAAAATAATAGATGCTTGACAGGTAGGGTAGAGTAGGACAGAGGGTAAGGTTGGGTGGGAGGAAGTAGAGAGTGGTAGAAGGGAACAGATAGGGGCCTAGGGTAGGGTACTAGGGTAGATAGGTGTAAAAGAGAGTAGGTATGTAGAGTTTTGGGAAGGAAAAAGGGGCGCTGTTGTAGGAGTGATTCATGTTTGGGTATTTCAGTTTTTCTTTCCACCCTGTATTGACTTGTATCCTTGTAAAAAGTTTTGAGGTACTCGGGTTATTCGTTCTCCAAAAAAGTACTGTATTGAGGGTTATCAAAATGTATGATGGTCTCGTAATAATGAAGCAAACAGTAACAACATTGGAAAATATTTGATAACATTTTTAGTTTCTGGGAAAATTGTTTATTTTAAAGTAGCGTTGCGACAGTAGGTGTACGGATTAATTTTTCGAAAAATATTTTTAGTGTATCTTATCATTTCTTGGAACGTTTAAAATAAATGTCCAACCGCATCTGAAGCAAATAAATTTGTGAAAGTTCAATTTTTCCAAGACAAGGAAGATTCTGTTAGACTTTGAGTTTAAATAGAATCGTTTTTGTACTAATAATCGATTGATTTTTTTGGTTTTTTAGGGGGTTATAGCTAAGAAATTCCCGCTGGATATGCTGGGCGATGTATTGCAGCTTTTGAGAAACACCACGTCGAATCAGTCCGAACAAATTGCAAATGTTGTACGTAGATGGGCGAAAGATCAAAGATTGAGCGTTTCTTAACTTACGCAATTACTGCATTTTTGGTTTATTTCATTGATACGTTCCGTTTAAATTCGTTTTATACACACAATAAAATTTTTCTCGCAAATCGAACGCTGATCCTTAACGATTAATTCAAAGATCACAGATTCGGATAAACAAATTTTTCGAACTAGGAAAATAGTCGTATCGTCAATGCCATTACTCAATAATACGTGACCCCGCGTTATAAATAGTGAGCAGTCGAAATACGGATTTTTTATTTGTACGTTTGTTTTGTAACGTTCGAGATTAAATTTATCGGCCAATTGACGTTCTCGGAACGAATTATATTTGTTCGTTTTCGTATTAATTTTGTTGCTCGAAAAAAGGTTATCGCAATTAAATCTGGAACTGTTTTTTCGGGGAACTGGCGCTTCGGATAAGGTTCTATGAACGAATCAGGCGTTGGCGACGTTTCGGGTAATCTAATGCAAACAATTAGATTACTAGTAATACTTTTATGAGTGTTAAAAAATCGATTGTTAGTTTTGGAGTGTTTATCTAGCTAATTATACTCCGTTCGCCATCAGGACACATTTGTATGCGGAAGACAGGACGAGTAACTCGTCGATTTAATATAATAAATATTCATAAAGCTAACATTGCCTAAAACTTATGTTTATTTTACTTCGATAGTACCACTCTGTATACAGGTAGTGTAATAATAGGCTATCCTTTTCTGATCCTAGATAATACTATCGCCTGATGGCGAATGGAGTATAATGTTATATTATTTTATAGTAAATGAAACAAATTTTAATAGTAATAAATAATATAATTGTTCTAGAGAAATAAATACATTTAGACTAAATCAAACACGCGGTTTCCATTCAAATCATATAAAAATCGTTTACAATTTATAAATACATTCGTGATTACAAATTAATCTTTTTTTTGCCGAAATTTCTGTTTGTTAATCAACTCTGGTTCGCCATTGTCCGTAATCTTAACAATCTACGTTTTTTTAATACATATGTCTGCGTTATTAACAAATAATACAATAGAATTTTATTCAAAATGTTTGTTCTACATTGGATGTTTGTAAGTACTCGCATTCGTTTGAAATATACTCGAGAACAATGAATATTTTTAGTTAAGAGTATTCCATTTTTGGCAGAACTGTATGACATAGATAATAAAGTGATGCTAAATATTATAATTACAATTAAAATAATTGATAAATAAGTAAATATGTCTTTGGTAAGTAATATTAGAAATACGTACTGATAATTTGCGATATTATAAATACAGAGATTCTACAATAATAAATTATGTAACCAAGAACATGTCTCGTTAATTTAAACTTATTTTTGGTACAATTTATTTAACATCTAAATACGTATAAATTGCACCAAACAAATAAGACTATGCGCATACAATTTTAATTTAACTGTGAATATTCTACAAATCATTTTCCATCAAACAATAAGAACCTAATTTAACAAATACTAACATTTCAAATCAAACGTTATTTATTAAGTACACATAATTTAGACATAAGAAAATAAATATTCTATTATTATAATTTATAAATACATTTTATTTACCGAGGTCTTTTAAAACTTGATAAAGACCTTCCACAATTTTTCGATAAACTTCCGCGCTGCAAAAAAACACGCGATAAGATGGATAACAAAGAATCAAAAACAAGCAAATAAATGGAAGATCTGCCGTCTTGTTTTTTTTTCTCTCTCTCAATAATCAAACATTGTTCCATTTAATTAAACCAACTATTGGTATCGCGGTTTTAATACACATAAATCAGGTACAAGTCTAAGTTAATAAAAGAAAGATATTTTTGTAGGTACACGCACATATTTAAAAATCTACGCAAATACACAATTTATTCTCGTTTGTGTAAAAGCTCAACAACGATTACCGACATTAATAACTAACACTCTAGCTGATTTCGAAGACTAACAAACAGAACATCATTTTAATTTTAACAATTTGTTATCCTAACTAACTCTAAGCGCCTCGGTTATTTTTCCCACATCGGCGCTCCTTTTAGAATACTTTATTGGTGTTCCCTGATGTCGGTATGTATAGGTACCAACCAGTCTTTGGCCCAACTAAACATGGACATAGGAATTTACTATCGCACCCAGTTGCCGAGACATTTTTTTCGTTCTGGTAACTCATAGAGGTACGATACAGAAAGGGAGGGTGAGAGGGCCGAATCCATCTTTAGAGGGAATAAGGGTACTCCGATAGATACGAAATCAACGAATAGGGCAGCTCCAGCTGGGTGTGCGGAGGCGGCAACAGCATCAGCCTCGGCTTCGGCGACGATTGGACGGCCTTGTGAATGGCCATCCTAGCCAAATGCTTCAAGCTGCACGGCTCCGCTTTCTTCCTCAGCGGCTTGTCGAGCACGATGGAAGAGTACCATTTACCCTGCTGGTCGACCCACACCTGGGGATTGTTCCTGCACAACCGCGACTGTCGCACGTAGTGCTGCACCAGCTCGACGACGCTCGGAAACATCGGCATGGCCGCCTGCAAGTGCGGCTGCGCGTCCAACCGGAAGTAGCCGTTCGTGTAGAACAGGCGCACGGAGGCGGGGCCGCGCTCGGCCTGCACGCTCAGCGAGAACAAGAACTGCGGATCGGACGAGTTGCGCACCAGGAACGTGCCGACGGCGGCGCCTTTCAGCAGCTCGTGGCTGCGCTGGTACGTGCAGTCCTCATAGTACCAGCCGGATTGGCGCAGAGCCCGAACGGTGTCCGACAGCCTTTGGAGCTCGGTGTCGGGCCTGTCGGCGGCCGGCGGCGCCGGCGCCCGTTGGACGGGCGTCGCGAACGGCGGCAGGATGAAGGCGAGCGGCGCGCTGGGCGACACCTGCGGCGAGGGGCTCGTCGGGGCGAGGGCCGTCACCAGGCCGCCGCCGCTGAGGGCATGTAAGGACCTCCGAGCGTTGCTGCAACATGATGGCGTTGGCGTACAGCACTGGAACTCGTGCTTGCAGTTGGGACATACCGCGCTACAGCCTAACATTGCACGCTAATGCCATGCCCAATGGTAAATTACTAAAACAAAAAAATTTTATCTTTAGTTATCAAATATTCATTAGGGACAAAACCATATGAAGGGTACAGCGGAAGAACGACAATAGTCCATCCAAAAGATTTTCGAGAAACATTAAAATATAAGTTTACTTACTCGTTAGAAAGTAAACTTCAAGGTATCTTTTAGCCGTTGTTTCTTTACCAATTAACGATTTCATTATCTGATAGTAACTACAAAATGCTACAAAAATAAACTGTGAACTTAGTTTTGCAAAGATATGGACTATTGTCGTTTTTTCGCTGTAGCCTTCATATGTATAATAATAGTGAGAGAGACCAAACACTCATTGGGAATAAGAACATAAAACATGGTGAGTGATCAAATGATCATTGAGAACAAGACCACAAAAATGGTGGGCATACACAAGGGCTCATTAAGAACAACTAAACACCACAAAGGCTCTTTAAAAACTAGATTACAAAAAATGGTGAGTGACCAAAAGCTCATTGAGAACAAGACCATAAAAAATGTTGACCAGCTTATCTCAGCCAATCAGAGTCGCGTTACATATAAATCGCGGTTGTGTGAAACGACAGTTCGAGCTGTCAAAACTTCAAAAATTATTTTTCGACATTTCGAGGAGAAAATGGAGAAATGCATTTACCGAAGACACATGAGGCATGATGTTAACAACAAAATCATCGCTGATTTAAGTATATTTTTATATTTTCTATATATTTATAGTTTGAATAAAACATTTTTTATGCTAAATGGTGGGTAGCCAAAGTCTCATTAAGAACAAGACCATGAAAAACGGTGAATAAGGAGTATTGAATGAAATTTTTTGTTAAAACTGTTAAACAAAATAATATTCATATATTTGCAATTAGATATGCATTGGTGTACACATAAACAATTCTAGTAAATTAATTTAATTAACCGTTTTTTTTCTGCATTCATTAAAAAGATTCCCAGAAGCGTCGCAATCGGCGAGTATTCGTAATTAGTAATTATGCATATTCCACGTAGGGGCCACGGACTATATAGGAAAACACCTTGCTTTATCAGATGTCGTTCATCGCGATCGAAACACAATGGATAATCAATAATAAAAAAAAATAAACATTGTAATTTAAGTTCGGGGAATGTAGTGTGACGCGCCGACGAACCTTGGTTACAATTTTAATTGGCCGATTATCGACGGTTGTTACAAATACCTTCTAAGTTTCGAACTTTTTAATCGCCCATATACCCCGCGAGCAATTCGATGCGGTTAAATAAACTTTAACATTAACGAACGGTACTTGGACAATTTCCGATTATATTATGCGCGGAGTTCATCTACTCGGAAACCGAATCGTTTGCATTGCATCGATGGCAGTACAGCTATGTAAATGCGACGGTGGATTTTCAATGGAAATAGTCGCGTATAACGAGTACATTTTTTAAGGAAATGGATTTCTACGCCCACTCGCACGTGGAAGCGAGAACGCGTTAAATCTAATAAACCCACAGCTGCGAATGGCATTCGCTTGAGCTAGCTCCTGAAAGTCTATGAAATGAAAAATATACATGAATACACTGTGATTACTAGATGGAGTTGATGAGAGGGAATTAATTGTTTGTAATTTTATGAAGAAAAGTTTGTCTAATTTGTATTAAATCTACAAGTGCAGAGTAGAAATCTGGTAGTGTTGTAGTGTTGTAATTAAAAAGAAAAGTTATTCTGTTTGTCAATAAAAACGTTTTTTTTTGTCTAAAAATCTGGAATTTGTTGGACTGTTTCTTACATGTTTCTTCGTAAACTTAAAAATTTCCTCTTCTCAACTTTATCCAGCGACACACTGTATATAGATGATAGAACAGCTGCTCTATTTTGTATAAAATCTACAAGTGCAGAGTAGAAATCTGCTAGTGTTGTAGTGTTGTAATTAAAAAGAAAAGTTATTCTGTTTTTCAAAAAAATTGTTTTTTTTTTGTCTTAAAATCTGAAATTTGTATAGTGTGATAGATAATATCTGCTCTATTTTGTATAAAATCTACAAGTGCAGAGTAGAAATTTTCTAAAATACGAATTGTACTAAGTAACCTAGTGCTGTAATTAAATATTGTTACCTCCGATTTATCTTGAATAAATTAAACACCTTCAAATTTTATAAACTTTGCAGATTCAGGACTAATTTCGAAGAGTCGAAAAAAACCAGAAGTTAACACATAAAGTTCACTTTCAAAACGCCAATTGAACAACTACAACTAATAACTACAACTCTCCGTGATCCCCCCATAAATCTTCTTCCGTTCGGCGTTCTGCGCTTCGAATTCCCGATCGCAAAATAGGCTGAATAGGTTTCTCGACGCGCGGCGTTTTCCGATAATCTCACGCGACGGGATTATTACGATCGACTCCCCGAAGTCTATATTTAGCGCGGAATAAAACGTTCCCCGAATCGATTTCGGGGGGGATCTATTTTCGCGCGAATCGGCCGTCGCGACGCCTTCTATTTCAGACGGCGCTCTAGACCCAGACCAACGCAAACGTTGCCGTCCGGAATTATGCCAGTCGAATTTATTTTTATTCTCCGAGTGGATTATTTTTGTTAGGTTATTTTCTATTAAGTTTATTAGTTTCTAAAATTGGGGGATTTTGCGTGTGGTCAAAATATTATTTTACTGCATTTTTATAGCATAAAATTTGTTTCCCACCTCTATTAAACTTCTGTCATACAAATGTCATTAATGTTAATTTTGACAGGTTTTGTTTATATATCATCAAATGCATCTTAAAATCCCACTTATTTGCATACAATACAAATATAGTCATTTATCGTATAGTAGAGTAGATAGAGAAGTAAATAAGGAGCAGATTGGGGTAGAATAAGAGCAGAATAGGAGTAGAGTATATTGAAAGAGAATATGTGCAAGAAAATACTATTGTAAATAAAAATTCTTCTCAATCATCAAAAGAATTATTTGTGATTATTTTCTGACAACTTCGCCCACAATTTACCCATAATTTAAAATCTAGATATACTCCTTTGGCGCTCAATTTACTTCCGTTCAATTATATACGTGTGGTAAAAATCTTTTTTTTTGTATTCATCCCGCTCAGTTACCGAACGAAATAATAAAACAGTTTTCTAAAGTTGCCGGTGTTCAGGTAAAAACTGTAAATGGTAAACAGCAGGAAACGAGCGGAATAAATAATAAAATAGTAGGTAAAATAACGCGGAAAGTGGTTACACATACGTGTCCATTGTCGACTGCGATGTAATTTATTTCCACACCGATTTCTAGAAAGTCGTGTTTCCGGTTAGGATAATAAAAAAATAATAAAATAAATAAAACGTAATGTGTCATTGAACTAATTACCCGATGGCCGTGCAACGGCTGTTGCGATGCGAGAAAAATCGAATCTTCGCCGGTAGATTTCCGGCGCTCAAAATCGCATTAGCGCGCAAATAATGGAATGTTTTCCATGTCGTTACCGGTAAACGCTAATGGCTCGACTTGCCGGGCTAATTAAAAAATTCGGGTTATCAATTATTGCGATAAGTATGTACTTTGATAGTTCCACTAATTGGTACGCTGTATAATCTCACGATAGTCCCGTTTTGGGTCGTACTTTAACCGTATTCTTTTAGCGGAATCCAAACCGAAAAATAACGCTTATTTTGTAACGGTCGTTACTGCACCTCTATACCAACAAATCGATTCCCACCTCTATTAAACTTCTGTCATACGAAATGTCACTAATGTCAATTTTGATAGTTTTAGCTTATGTATCATCGAACGCACCTTAAAGTCCTACTAAATCGCGTATAATGCGAAAAGTTAGTAATTGGTCGTAGAGTAAAGGAATTTCTTATTAAATGAAAATTTTTTTCGAACAAAATTTCCATTGTAGGAGCGCCGGTTTGCTCGATTCGCCGCGATTATTAAACAAACCCGTCCGTTTGAATGATTTACATTCCTCGCCGGTCGACCGCAAGTACAACGTAGGACGAGATTTAAAGGCCGGAGACATTCATTATTCATCATCCTGTATTACCGCATTCAATTAGAATATGTTCCGAAGCGGACTTAATTTAGATCCCAGGTACTGTTATAACACCAAATCCGGCGCTTATAGAAGTAAATTTTTTCAATATTTACTCAAATTTACTCTACTCTAAAACTAACTCTATTTCCTGATTTGGCAGGCTCCTCGCTCATAAGCATCCAGGCAATCATAAAGCATAATTAGAAATATTTCTGGGCCCAATTTATCATCCTTATAAAAATTAATAATAAATTTTTACAGAAGTATCGAGTACGCCTTTGGTTTCGGTGCCCTCTTCCGTCGACACAAAAGGCTTCTAGGAGCTCCGAATTGTGCATAGGAATCCGTGCGGGTCCCACGAAGGTACTACCTCTCGGGTTCTTCGCAGAGCGAACGGTATAATGCGCTTTCCGCGAATAACTCGCAATCAGACTTCTCGGAACCATGGCGGAGAGGCCTATTCAACGCGTATCTTTCTTCATCTTTTTCGTAGGAAACGGCCCGATAGACCGGTCGAAATGGGGCGCTATTTTCTACCTATATATGCCTTTTGTGCGGACGTGCGAAATTTTGCGACCGGTCGTCGGGCATTAATTCCCGGTATACGAGGTACCTGCGCGAAAAATTGTATACCCGGAATTCCCCACCGAATTTACCTGAATTATTTTGTGCATTGCACGCGATTTTAAGATGCGTTCGATGATACATAAACTACCAACAATTGACGTTAATGACATTTCGTATAACACAAGTTTAATAGAGGTGGGAATCAATTTTTTGGTATAGAGGTGCAGTAACGACTGTTATTACAAAATACCGCAATTTATAACTCTGTTTAAAGTTTGATCGAGAATAATTTTAATTGAAATTTCGCCGTGGTAAATTCTGTTGTATTGTTTTTTCCTTTATAGCGAGACATTTCCGTCGATTAAAATAGTTTCGAATTGGATGTGTACAGGATACCGGCTCGTAATAGTTTTCTAATCTGCGAGTTTGTTTTATCCCGAGCAATGTCGGGCCCGATTAAATGCCAGCGCTTGTTTGTTATTTTTCGATCGATCGAAATTTTTGGTTTTCGATAAAAATCCGAGCGATTAGCCAGGCGGGCGAATTAGTCTTTTTTTTTATTTTCGAGAATTTATTTACCTTCCTGGTAGTCGATTATTTGAACAACCTGTTTTCAGATAACGAACAATAAAAAAATATATTGAAAATTGCGAGAATTCGTCGGAATATATTAGTTATCGCGATATCATGTCGTTTCGTGGAAAAACAACTAACTAATGTAACCGATAAGTGATTGAAACAACCTCCGTTTTTTTTTTCGATATAAAGATTGTTATTAAAATCGCACGAATTTTTAAATAAATAATTTTTTTTCTATATGTTTTTTCTTGTTTTATAGAAAAACAATACATCTTTATACATTCTTTATACATCAATGGTTTTGTTAAAAAATAAACTTGTATTAAAATTTGGAACCTGATATACAGGGTGTCTCTGAAGTAAAGAAACGTTAAAATGAGCCAATAAAGAAGTACCAAAACATGTTCAGTAAATCGAATAAAGAAAGATAATTAAAATAACAGTGACAACATATGAGACTAAAGGAAGTTGTCTTTATTGCACCCATAGCCTACATTGCAAACAATTTTATACATTACATAATATTTCCTGCTATTGTATGTACAACTAAACATCTTCTTCCTCAATTAACACACCCATCTGTGCACAATTCAACGAATTAAGAGCACCAAAAGCCGCCTGAATGCGGCCCTGTGGCGTTGCGAAATCGTCCCGTCCGACTCGAATGGCATTTTTCTCGTACCTGGCATCTTATACTTCTTAAAATCCGATTTTCCCGGTACCGGCGATGCGAAGAAGGACGAGCCGCAGGTGCGCCTCGACCACGATTAGCTCAGGAGATGTCGCCCGAAATCGTTTCGAGTTTTTAGCGAATTTAAATGGTCGAAACGAACGCCGTAAATTAACTGTAAATTCGCTGTTATTGCTAATTATATCATCGCCGTGCAACAATGGCGAGAAGGTCGCCGGTTTTTCGTGCGCGAGTTTATTTTTTTTTTTATTTTTTTAAGGTCATATTTGCGCTATTACTGCATAGTTAATACGGTTCATTACCGTTACTAATTATTTCTGGAATCTTTCATACACTAAGAGCGTTTTCACACGATGAGATATATGCAATATATTGCAACAATTAATTGCTGCAATATTGCATTACAGTTAAAATATAAGCGTAGTTTTCACACGTCTGCGATCCAGTAGTCTTCATATGCTTGTATTTTAAATGTAATGCAATATTGCAGCAACTTATTGCGATTTATTGTTGCAATATATTGCAACGTGTGAAAACGCTCTTACTCTAAAGGCATTTATTTTAGTACCTACCTATTTTTTGTTGAAATGTGCCCTCGAGTTCTTGTGAAATTCTTTAAAATCGATAAAAAAATCGAATAACAAAATATTCGATTAGATAATATTCAAGTGGCAATTCTAAAAAAACTTATCTTATTTAGCATAATACAAAAAAGTTATCTGCTTAAACTTCTAAATATATAAATTGAAAAGATTTGAGGTGCCTATTTAATCTCTAGATACAATTTCCGTGAATCATTTTTATCTATTTTACCGTACATCAAGATATACAAGATACATTATCTTCGATAGATTAATAAACGAAATGCTAATAAAAAAATGGTTTCTCAAAACGTCAAATACCTTTCGCAATCGACAGGAAACCGGTTATTACAGTTTTCTCGCGCGCATAAATGAATTTATTCAATGAAAATGAGTTATTTCTAACGTGTAATTAGTACAATATAATTCGCCTACTGGGAAACCGACAGACGGAAATTTTCTCCGGTCAGAAATTCGCTTATCGCGTTAGATAAAAATCCATTCATTCTTCGCCTATAATTGCGCTTATTACTACGATCCGTGATTTCCATTCGAGAAATTCCGCGAACGTAATGACGAAATCTACGTAAAAATCGCATTATGCAAATTTAACGCGCGGCGTTGCCGATTTATCTCAACATTCCGGGAAACCTATTCCTACGACCTATCTTAACATTTAACACGTCTAGACGAGTTTTCTTAATGGCGCTTTTTTCGCTACCGTCGATTAATCGTTTCTTCGAATTATAAACCCAGCAACGGGGTAATAAGATAATACGCATTTTTTTCTAAACGCTAATGCTCCTCCAAGGATTTTACAAACAATGAAACTAATCTTGTATATTTTGTTAAGTAAATAATGGTATTTCCATTCGCTCTGAATTCGTACCGTTAGATAAACGGCTGCGAGTGAAAGTATGCAGATCGAGATCGCCAATCTCGCTTCTAACGGGAAAATCGAAAAGCGCCGAGGAAACCTTTGGAAATGTAAACGACCCTGGGTATCGCGTGTGCCGTGGAAGAAGCGAGGCGGTCTCGGGATTTTTCAACGGAATTCATTATCTCCGATTTCTCGGTACTGATGGCCGGTGTGTGTGTGTGTGTGTATTTTTTTACTGCGTTAGAAAAGATACTTTGTTGAATTCGGTGAACTTAACAATGGCTTTCCAGCGACGAGATAAGGCGAATTTCGAGCGCACGAATTACTAATTAACTAAAAGTATTACAAGGTCTTCGATCCAAACCGATATTTAACGAATAAAAATATGTGTATTGAATTTCCAAGTTCTTTATACAGGTTGGTTCAATATAGGTTATGTACGCTATGGGTGCGATAAAGATTTCCATTAGACACTTACAAATGAAAAAGAAAGAGTGATATTGTGTCATTGACAACTTTTCACTTTGACAACTGTCATTATAGTAATCTTTCCTTGTTCGACTCATAGAAATGATCATATTGCAAACTGAAATGCACGAATCCTAATTATTTTGAACAAATGTCATTAAAATTAATCGATCAAAATCGAATGCGAAGGAAATCAACAATTTACAACTTAATCAACGCCTACTAAAAAGGCACTAAAAGAATCGATTCTCAATCGAAACAATTCCCGAACAAAAACCGAATTTAATTTCATTCAACAATTTCTCCTACACAGGAAATAGCCGATGAGCGAATTATCGCGAATGTAGGTCGGTTGATTTAAATGAATGGAGCGTTTTCAACTCACCTTCTATGCGAAATTGAGGAGACGGCGACTACTACTAGCGTATAGTACACACCACATTTTCATTCGGGCGGATATCTAAGGGCACTTAATCCCAAACGAAAACGAGCACTAATTCACAATGCAACACTAGTCCGAAACGAGCAACAGCCGCACATGACTTCTACACGGCGAATAATCGTAAATAATCGTAGGTTTTTGTGAGGTTATACGGATATGTACGCTCGATTTATCGATTTGTCGTCTGTGTGCTAGTCGGGTAACGAACGAATAACGAATGAAATTGGTCGAAAACCGGCCACTCCAGCCAGCTAGATCGTGTGTAGTGTAGTGACGCTACGGTGGGAGAGCGAGCGAGAGCGATGCGCCGGCGGCGCGTCGAAGAGAGAGACGAAGCGCATTGTAAACTTTCTGGGAATGATAGAACGTGTTTTCATTTCACGTTAAGAAGGCGGTTGGGTGGGGGAAGGCTCTGTTGAGTTGAGTAGTACCGGGAATCCTATGTTCTCGGAAGGCATATGTATACATATATATATGTACTACGTAGCCCGAGTTAGGCCCACTATATAAAAAGCAGCGATTCTAAAAATGTATAAGCACCCACTGAATTTTTACAAATCTACTTCCTAATTGTTGCACCGGAAATCGATGGTATGAAGTTGGAACGATTTCTAATCTGTCATTGAACTGTCAATGTCACTAACTTTGTAATACTAATGTTGAGTAATTAGCCATATTATTTATTATTATTTATAACATAAAAGTGTTTTATAACATACAGTTAGTTGAAAATTACCTACTGGTTTATATATGTAATAGCTATGCTATAAAAGAAATGTTGTGTGTACATTTTTTATTAAATGGTAGATTGTGTAGGATCCAGAAGGCCAATTTATTTACTTTCTTTAAAAGTCAGATTGGGATTGGGAAAAGACAAGATGGCTGCCGATGTAAGTAACTTTTTTTTCCTTTCTCTTAATTTTTTTCAAATATCCTGTAAGTTTAATCATCTAGGACCTAGAAGTATAGAATGTCCATAAAAAGGATTACGGTAAGATTGATCATACAATGGCCCTTACAACACTTAAATTATGATAATGATATATGGGTAAATGCTAAAGTGCAGGTTTGTTTGCAATAAGGTAAGTTCTATGAGTTGAACAAAGAAAGATTATTCAATTAATGACATGGTTAAAGTGAGAAAGTTGCAATCCCTCAATGTCACACTTTCCTTCTCATATGAGACTAATGGAAGTTGTCTTTGTTGCACCCACAGCCTATATGGAATTCTATTGAATTCTATTGAATTCTATGAGTCGAACAAGGAAAGATTATTCAATTGACAGTGGTTAGAGTAAGAAAGTTGCAATCCCACAATAACACTCTTTCTTTTTCTTTTCTGTTGACACAGAAGTTGTCTTTGTTGCACACATTAACCTATATTGCAAACAATTTTGCATCTACCTGTATATGGGTAAGTAAATGTAAATTTGTTTGCAATATACGATCAATTTTACATATATGAGTTGAACAAAGAAAGATTATAAATAACAGTGGTTAGAATGAAAAAATTGCAATCCCACAATATCACCCTTTCTTTTTCCTTTATTTGATGCCAATAGAAGTTGTCTTTGTTGCACCCATAGACTATATTGCGTACAAATTTGCACTTTACGTATAGATAAGAGTTTAAAGAGATAATAATATCAATAGGATGATATTATCTTTGCACGAAGAATCTTCTTATTCAAAATACCGATATTATCTAACAGATAAATTTATCAGCGCGTAAATAAACCAAACCCTTAGACTTAGGACTCGTACTTGCAGAGTAAACAGTTAGCCTTCCAAACAGTTTGGTAGGCTCTGATCGAGTGCAATCTAAATATGGTAAACATTTCGAATGTAACTGAACTTTCATTCGCGCGAACACAGTTTCTCTTCAATACCTAGTAATATCGCATAATGACTGCCTACCTCCTATGTAATTTCGACGATTTTCTTTATTTCTGCCGTTGCGTCGCCGCGTTGCGGGCCCGATTTTCGAGAAACGATCGCCTTCGAGAAAGTGAAACTAAAAATAGGTATGTAGTGGAACGGATAAGGATGCGACGACCGCAAGCTGCGAACGAAAGAAAAAAAAAATCGAAATAATTAGCGTTTCTCGGAAACGTAATAAGGACGAGAAGAAATCGCTCCTGCGGGGGGCTCGTTTCGCGATTAACACTCGCATACGGCGTATTTATAAATCCGAAAATATCCTTTCGAAATGTGTATGGTCCGATGGTTGGATTCCCAGAAATCGGTTTACCTAGTATTATTCACATTCACACACACCAGGTGTTTATCGGGTCTATGGCGCGCTTTAGACAGCGTCGGGCTGGCTGTATAATCGAAAAATCATCTGCCCCATGTGTTAGTAAACCGCTGCAAATTCTATCTCGCTACATACAACTGCAACGGAGATGTTTAATCGAGTTTTAAAATTCATGCATTACGTTGCGGTTAATAAAGCGGTTTATAAGTAATAGCGTTGTCGATTCAGATGTCTTGGAAACGCATAAAACTGCCTATAATACGAGTAAAGCGCGGATTTTGCACCTAATAAAAAAAAATTGTGCAATAAAATCGATATGAATACACATTTATGATTTAAGTGTTTCGCGGAAAACGCGCGATTTCGGTTTTATTTCGCTTTTATCTCGTACTAAGAAGCCGATTTTCCAGAAAGGAATAAATAGCGCCATTGTATTTTTACAAAAGATGTATAAAACTGATTTTATGTTTTCCGAGCAGAGTTTCGAAATGCGCACATACGCACACACACGTGTTCGGGCTTCTTATATTCCATTCAAATCAGTTGCGAGAACGCTAATGTGAGAACACAAAAATTTTATTATTACCGGCGTAATTACGGCGGAAAAATGGGAATTTCGTTGCGAGCCAGCCACACACACACGAAGATCCTAATAGCAGATTACAACACAATGATGTTACAATAGAAAATAACAAAAATAACGAATATTTATTATTTTTATTATTGAATCGGCGATTCGGTGACGAAACGATTATAGAAGTAGTAAAAAAGTCGCGCATAAAACTCGACATGCGTGCATGTTTACTCAATAATGATAATAATAATAGTCTAAAATAACTGCCCGCATTTTAAACATAAAATACCGAGAACTCGTCAACAGAATTATTTTCTATCTAAATAAGTATATTGATCAGTAATACCGAGAAATAATCAAAATAATACGAACGTTAGTGGTCGAATATCTAATGCCGCTTGCACATTAATCGTCGTGCATTCGCATAATAACGTTTTTCGATACCTATACTTTAAATTATCGGGTAGATATTGAATTACCGTGGTTTTCATTAAATTTTATCGGTGATTTTTGCGCAAAAGAAATTGAGTCATGACCGATGGGTTTGCAGGAAAACTTGTAGAAACATCAAAGTTTTGCCAGGGAACAATTAATTCAACTCGTGAAATTATTATTCATGCAATTAGATGACTAAAAATTGTGGAAATTTCTTCAATTAAAGTAATTAGATATTTTTTTCTAATGTGGGAAAATTAAAACTATTTAATTATAAAAGTATAGGATAAGTATTGCCAGACAAAAAGGGGAAACTTTATTAAATTAGTAAAGTTATAATAGGTACAATTAGATGACAAAATTATAAAAAATCTTACAGCAAGAGAGAAGATTTAAAGAGTTGACAGAAAAATTAAAACTAAAAGTACAGAAGTAGAATATGTTGTGCCAGTAAAAACCTTAGAAAATTTATATTAAACTGATAGAATTATTAATTTAATTAGATGACAAATTTATAGAAAATCTTCCGATTAGAGAGAAATTTTCTAACGTGGAAAAATTAAAACTATTATTATAGAAGCAGATATTGCATTATTAAGTTCTGTTAGGGAAAAACCTGAGAAACTTATTAAACTGATACCATTTTTACTACAAATTTTTATAAAATATTCCAGTTAAAGTAGAGAGAAATTTTTTAACGTGGAAAAACATGAAAAAATTTAATTTAATTTAATTTAAGCAGGTAATTAATAAATATAGTAGGCAAAATTATCCAGACGAAATAATCCAAGCTTAACCTTAAACTATTTATGCTTTGGCAAATAATAATTTGTGTTTAGAGGAATTCGATTTTGTTAGCAAAATATTTTGTTTCTAGCTAGCCAGTAAAATGAATTATTCGCTTTTCGGAAGTCTGTCTGGATCTAAATATAGCCCAAAGTCTGGACGAATCGATATTGGTGAATATTGAATAATAGATGGACCAAGCGTAGGAAAAAATTAATAAAAATTTCGTTCCATATATTGTTCATAAATCAAATATGAATATCTAATCTAGCAAATCTATATTTTCCGTTAGTAATTAATTTTTAACACCTTCTGACTCACTGTTTTATCGAAATTTGGATTTGTGAGTAACAATAAAAGGCGACCTTTAAAAGTAATTAGAGTAAAAATTATGAATGGGTTCTCGTTCATTCACAATAATTAGCCTAATTAGGGAATCTTTCAGCAACAATTTCCATTCGTTTCCCGGCGGTTAAATATAAAATTCTCGGTAAAAGCTTGTATTTTTGCGGCAAATTGTTTATATTTATGATACAGGAAGCTGGACAGTCGACCGTCAGACGTGACGTGCTCCCGCTTATTTTTTCGAAAATTTCTCTAATGTATTGCCAAGAAAAATCCGCGACACAGTTTGTCGCAGTTACGTCAATAAAATAATATCTGGATTTGTCATTAAATATGCAAGTCTAGAAACCATGGCGAGACGCGCCGAAATAGAAAAATAGAAATTTCATTTTGACTAGACTCGAATAATTTTTTGAAAAAAATTATTCAATATTCCAAAATTAAATATAATAATCCGTAAACTAGCAAATCTTGCGAACTGTCAATAATGTCAGTAACTGTCATTTTGACTGTTCATTTGACGTTTGATCTGACAGTTCGTTTGACAGTTCGACCTTTTCACAAAGTGAAAAGCGCAAAAGAATTTAAATTTCATTTAGACTAGACATGATTTATTTTATTATTATTACATCAAATTGTTCAAATTGTTCACTCTTATAATCCCTTAATTTATCACAAAACAAGTGAATCTTTGCGAACTGTCAATATGTCACTGAATGTAATTTAGACATTTCTTTTGACATTTGATTTGACAGTTCGACAGTTTCACAGATTGCGTGATTTATAAGCATGATTAACAATAAAAATTTGCTTGTTGAATGGAATAATTAAATACAATACCTAATTTTGTAAACATAATTCGACCTTTTTTGTTCGGTTTCGGGCGCACGGTGTTTGAATAGTGGCTCCACGCTATTTGAGTTAGTGGGTCAATTCGTGATAACTCGTCAACGTCGGCTCCCTTCTCGGAATTCATTAAATATCCCCGACATTTTCACTAAAAGTCGTAAATTTAGAAAGCTACACCCCCGGGCGAAAAAACGCTAAATTAAGAGGGCTCGGGCGCTTTTTATAGCTTTTCCGGGAAGACTAAAAGTAGCCCCAAAATATCGAGAGTTTCATAGATTAGTTTTTTATACTTAAAACAATTTACATTCATGTACCTACTTTTTTAATACAATTGAGGAGTAAACAATTTAATTAACCGGTAACATTAATTTCGCATTATTAAGTAATTTGGCTGGCGAAGAAGCTAATTATGGAGGTTTTTTTAACTTAGCGGGAAATTAGATTGTATTTAGAGATTGAATTAAAATGATATTTCTGCGAACCGCGGACGAAAATATGTTTTCAAATGGCGATAAAAAAGAACTCGTTTTTCGTACAAACGAATCTAATAAAACGACATTACCGGGAAATACAACTGACGATCGGTAAATTCCATTCATCATTATCCAAAAACGAATACATATTTATTATTAGGAACCGATTTCGGGGCTATATTTAGTGGGACTGTGTCGTGACGATGTTATAGTTATAGAGGGTAAAAACGACCCTTACGAAACTTCCGAGAATTCTATAACCGAATCGCCGTGTTTTATTCACGAGCCGATCGTATCGGAAAGTACATTAGCGCTATTAAAAGAAAAAAGAAACAACAAAAATTAAATAAAATCTTCATTTTCCAGGAAAATACTTACGTCACTATATGGAAAACTATGTTATAGGCAACCCCGTTTACACCTAGTATCAAGATTTTATACATTATATTATCGAAACATACCTGTTGAACTGTTAAAATATTTCTGCGAACTGTGGTGGAATAATTAAGCCAAATTTAGCTTAAATATTCCCACCAATAAATCAGCAAATTATTGACAAATAAAAATTTTAAAATCTTGATTTTAATAACACATGAGAATTTTGACAGCTTATAAATATTATATATATAAAATATATATAAAATATTCCACCAGTAAATTAGCCAATTATTGACTATTCGAAATTTCAAAATCTCTGCCACACAAAAATTTTTGCACCTATAAATATCAAGATTTTTTAATAATTATTATTATCCACACGTAATAAAGTAGCTAAACCTGTTGAACTGTTAATTTTTTGCGAACAGTGGTGGAATGTTTAAGCCAAATTTAGCCCAAATATTCCACCACAAAATTATTCAAATATATTTGCCCAAAGAAATTATCTATAAACTTCTTAATAACAACATATGAAAATTTTTACACCATTCATAAAGTAAGCACCTGAATTAATTATTTCGAATTGTTATATTTTTTTGCGAACCGTAGTGGAATCTTTAAGCCGAATTTATAGCTCAAATATTCCACCAATAAATTATATCCAATTATAGACCAATCAAAATTTCAAAATCGCTTTGTTAATAACACGTGAAAATTCGAATGGAGGCAATTCCAAAAATTAATCCAATCGCGGTTTCTGGGAATTTTCGCCGGTGCGCTTGGTCGTTTCATATACCAGAACTGATTGGATTATAATAGTTTGGGAAGTACCATTAGTTTTTTTCCTTAGCTGCGCACACACTTAAGCGGAATTATTTTTAAATTGGTTTTTCGCCGGAGAAGAAGAGACACGTTAATAAATACACGTATACATTTTAGTGAGACATTTTCCAATCGATCATTTGTGTATAATACCACAGTATAATATTATATTGTGATAAATACACTCGTTCGATAATTTATTGTGTGGGTATTAAAATAATTAGACGGGAAAACTATCCGCTACCGTTTACTCAATGAAAAAAAAAATACGAGGCCAATCCGCGATCGGTTTAATTGAAATTCGTTTCTCGGAACGTTTTAGCTTATTGTAATTGCAATTTAATTGAAGAAAATACGTTCTAATCTGCGCTAAAAAAGGTTTTCTGCGAACCGGAATTAATTACATTAATTTTCCAATTTCGTACTTATCCAATAAAAGGCACGAATGCAATAGTAAGAAATATTTTGGAAAAAAATTGCTTAATATGTAATGAGCAATTCAGAATTCTCGCAATAAGTATGTAGGTCTTGTATGAAATTCCGGGCACGTACAGGCTTTTATAACACGTCCATTCCACCGAATTACGCTCGAAAATTTATTATTGTTCGCGGCGCTTTAAATCAATCGAAATGCTGGTCGTTTCCGCGAAATTCGCATGACGTTATCCCGACTAATGTTGCCCAAATTAGATCAAACTTTCCTGGAAAGCTAGATGCATCCGCGTAAAATATAGGGCAACGCGTCTGGCTGCAGTCTGGATCCGGTTTTGTGAATGAATAATTCGATATCCAGAGGTTTTACAATTCACTCTGCACCGGATTCACATCAATTTAATCCGGTATCGAAAGTCGCATTGTACGCGAATAAGCGGGAAATTAAGATGCGTTCGATGATACATTAAAAAACTGTCAAAGTTGGAATTCATGACATTTTTGTGTTAGAGAAGTATAATAGAGGTGTGAATCAATTTTTTGGTATAAAGGTGCTGTAACGACTGTTATAAAATAAGCATAATATTTCAAATATATCGTTCTTCTGATTACTCTACTCTATTTTACTTTATTCTACCCAATTCTACTCATCGATACGATAAATTGCTATTTTTTTCGCATTGTAAACGAATAATCGGGACTTGAAAGTGCGTTCGATGATACATAAGCTAAAACTATCAAAATTGACATTAGTGACATTTCGTATGACAGATTTATAATAGAGGTGGGATTCGATTTTTTGGTACAGAGATGCAATAACGACTGTTACAAAATAAGCGTTATTTTTCAAATATCGTTCCCCTGATTAAAGTGCGACCCGAAAAGGGAATATTATTTCGGTGGGGGAGTTCCCGGTGCACCGATTAATTGCAGCCAATTAGCCGGAATACCGTAAACGATATCGTAGCACAATGTATGGTACTTCATTTATTATGAATCATGTCGTGCGACGGATGCATTTTCCATAAATTATTACAGCGAGGAGTCGATCGTTTTGATAAAATACTGTACAGTGGCACAGACTTTCCTCGAATCGTTAATTATTTCTTACTCCCGTAAATTGTCGTTGCAGGGTTTTCATTGCCGTTGAGTTTTATCGTTTTTTTTTCAGTGGAAATGACGGTGCTTTTGGTAGCCTTTCCAAAGTCTATTTAATAACTACATTTTGTATTAATAGTTGTGATTTTTTAAAGCGATTTTTAGCGTGAACATCGAAGAAACATCACGTGTGTACGTACGATGATTAATTTCAAAATAAACGATTTGAATTAATTACCTATTGAAAAGTTTTCGTGAGTAATTTCTCCGGTAACGCTCGGTCTAGGATAGCAGGAAATTTACGCCGAAAATTACTCATTGTTTATTTTCGCTGCAGATATATTTCTGCAAGAAAACATTCCTCGAATATCTAGAAATAGATTAGTTCGATGTAAAACGTCGAGTCTTACCAGATATCTGATAGATTTACGTGCAACTGAAATTCTAATTTTGCATAAGGTCAATCGAATTTCCCAAAAAAAAACTAGTTATTCCAGTTGTAAACAAATTTAAATAAGCACCAAATGGTTCAATTCCGCTATAAATTATGATTTAATTGATGCAGTATCTAGTCAATTAAAATTTAGTAAAAAAATTATTTATAAACATGAACAAATAAGTGTTTTTTCTATTAAATTTATTCGTAGGTACATGAATTAGAATTGTAAGAATAATTTAATGAATCTTATAATACTTGATTTAATTGTACTTTAATTAGGTGCAATTTAAGTGAATTAATGGGTCCTCCATATCATTCCATTAAAAACTCACTTTACGGAAGTAATTACAGCATACCAAATTTGCTTTTTCAACGTATTTTATTCAACTTGAAATATTACAGGAAATTATAAAACTCGTTTTACAAACATCTACACAATTCAATCTTTCTTAACTTCGCCTTTATTGACCACACTGACTAGATGTCCGTAATGCACAGGCTGCGACAGAACATCGATAAAGTACTTGGACAATTGGTTGAGGGAAATTACATTCGCATCGCCAGTTGCATCTGGCAAAACATCGTTTCGGGCTATGTAACCATCAGCAGGACTGTCTGGAACATTAAATGAACTAATCAGATACTGGACAAGATCAGGTGTTGTGGATATTTACGAGTAAAATCAGCCGGGCAGCTGGCTATGTAGGTCAATCCAGAGGATTTCAGAGCATCATACATGGCGTGCTGGTCTTTTACTGCGTTCCTGTACAGCGCCGGAATGTCTTCAGTTTTCATCAACACGAAATCTGATAGCAGCGCGTTGATTAGGGGGACGTTTGCTGCTTTCATCGCCTTGAGGACGTTCTGGAGACCTCTGGTCATGTAGCTAAGGGTTAGAGAATAGGTTATAAGTAGATATAGGTGGGTTTAAATAGCTAGATTAAATACTTGGAAGTGTCTTCATAATTATTCGTGCTGATAGCTACAATGACTGCGTCTACTCCTTTTACTGCACTTTCTACATCTTGGTAGTTTTGTACATCCCCTGTGATGATTTTTACTTTGTTTCTGATGTCTTCAGGTACCTTGCTGGCGTGTCTGGACATCACTCTTACATGCAGACCTGCGATAAACGATTAATAATAAATACTTGTTTAAAATGAAATTTTGCGTACTTACCTCTAGATAGGGCTTCTCTTACCATGCCTGAACCGGCTTGGCCTGTACCGCCGATGATCAGAATTTTCTTGATATCGTGGGAATCCCCCGATGGGGCGCTTTGCAGTACTGCTGCGTGGAATATCAACACAAAGCATATTTCCTTCAGCATTTTGGGGATTGATATTTTCGTTTTAAAATACGTGTTAACGGCACCTCTGTCTCACGGAAACTGGTATAGAAAATAAAAACGAACAGGCACAAAAGCAGCAAAACTTGTTTGTGTTGCTACGGGTTAGTGATTTTGAATTTTTAATTTGGGAAAACCGATTGAGATAATTCAGTTGCTATAATTAACGAATCGTTTGCGATATAACTGTTGTTCTTCTTCGGTATATAAATTTATTCAAGCGATTTGAAACTATTATAATAAAAAACCTGTTTGGCAACAATAGTTTTTTGTAAGTAGCATTATTCAGTAAGATTGTGGGAGTTTTAAGTACTTTAATTAACCGCCTCCTTATTGATTATTTATACGCTTGTTAATTTTGAATTAATTTTTATCAGTACTTTGAATTTTATTTCACCATCTGCAACTGAATAACATGGTGTGTAAAAGTCGTCGATAGGTCAAGACAACTGTCAATAAAAAGAAGAGTTTGTGTTAAGAACGTTGACAGATGACAGTGACAGCTAATCATGTGAGTCAAAATTTTATCAAAAATTATTTGCATATTTTTTTATTATTTATTCTTTCTAAATACACAGTGATATTTTATCTGGTTCGAAATTTTAATTTACAACGTCGTTATCTTATCGATTTTTCGCGCTGTAATTCATTATCGACTTTTCGTGCGGTTATTATTATTCAAATTCAAAGTAGAACTGTTTGCCAAGAGAAGACGTGAAAAATGTCCAAAATATCGGGAGAATTACCAACGGCGGTGCCTTTGCCGGACAACGAAAAAGACCTGAAAGTCCTAGTGAACAAGTGCAAAGATTGGGCCATAATGCACGGGATTTCCATGAGATCGAAGGTGAATTTCAGCGAAGATATCGTGCAAATAGCCCCGTTTATTCTCACACCCACCAGCATACCCAGTAGAGAGTTCAACAAAGTGGTAGAGCTCCAGACTATCCTGCAAGAACTGCTGCACAAAATAGCCAACGATAGGGAATTCATTAAAGCCTGCTACAGGGATATAATCGAAGCCGATGAGTTCAGCGGCAGATTGTATAAGATCTACGAGCAAGTCGAAGAAGAAGGAGTAGCGCAGGTAAGAGTTCGCCTTTAATGCACTCTCATCATCCCATTGCACAATTATCATTAGAAGAGAAGTTTTTTTATGCAATATCATAAGTTTGAATCATTCGTTTAACATTCAAATTGAATTAATGGTTTCGTTGAGTGCACTCGAGATTTCGATGGTTTAATATTTATTTGATTAGTTTCCCGCCGCAACATCAAACAGGTACTTCACGAAAAGCGCCTCGTAATGGATTCGATTTTTTTTTCTGTTTAGAAAATTGCGATGATGCACTTACGATCGGATTATTTGATGCAAAACACGATGAACAATAATTTTAAGCAGGTGGAATTCAACACGATATCCGCGAGTTTTGCGAGCCTCTCCACCTTTATGACCGATTTGAATAAGTACTTTTCCGAATCCAATAAACCGAATTAATTGTAAACGAATATTTCGATTTTCTAGATACGTGCTGGGGGAATTGGGATGCACGGATAAACTAAAAAACGTAAGAAGTCGAGCACGAAAGGGCATCGAAAGCTTTTCTAACAGCAGTAAATTTTAGATACCTAATAATAGGTCTTTGGTCGGTTTGGCTCAAGGTCTGATAGACGCGTGGAGATTGTATAAAGATCAAAACGCTTGCATAATGTTTATCGTGGAGAATCCGGTCCACAACATCAGCGATCAGCGTTTGATCGAATTCGAGATTAAGAAATTGAATCCAACGATTAGAGTGATCAGACGGACGTTCCTCGAAATACACACGAACGGATCGTTGAAAGATAACCGGGAGTTAGTAATGTAGGTTTGTTCGTTTTTTTTTTTCTCTTTTTCGTTGCTAATTTCGAATCGTTACATTCTTTTCTAGCGATAATTGCGTGATAGCCGTGGCATATTTTCGCGATGGATATGCCCCGAGTAATTTCCCGACAGATAAAGAATGGGATGCCAGGCTGTTGATCGAGAGGTGCGCGCATATTTGCGAGTTATTCGATTACGTTTGTATTGAATGTTTTTTGTATTTTAACGTTTCAGGTCGGTCGCGATTAAATGCCCCGATATAAAATTCCATTTGATTGGACAGAAGAAAGTTCAGCAGGAACTCACGAAATCGGGCGTTTTGGAGAGATTCTTGACGGAGACCAAGAAGATTAAGGCCGTTAGGGAAGTGTTTATGAACATATACGGACTTGAATTCGACGAACACGGTGACAGGGCCGTACAAATGGCGTTGGATAATCCGGAAAAGTGAATTACTTACAATCAATTAATCCATTTTAGCTGAAATTTAAACCTTTTTCAGCTTCGTATTGAAGCCGCAAAGAGAAGGAGGCGGATATAACATATACGGTAGCGACATCAAAGACCTGATGCTTAAGATAAACAATTCGAAAGAACGATTATCTTACATTCTCATGGAGAGGATTTTCCCGCCTGTGTCAAAGGGCTACATGATCTTGCCCGGTTCACAACCCGTTCTAACTGAATTGATATCCGAGATCGGCATTTACGGAATACTCATTAGGTAAGCATGTGAAGTTATTGCACGTTGAGGTGAATTTTAATTGATCTAATCTATTTAGCGATGGCCAAAAGATCGTAGTGAATGAACAGGCGGGCCACATGATTCGAAGCAAAGTATCAACTTCGAACGAAGGTGGAGTAATCGCCGGAGCCGCAGCGTTAGATTGCCCCTATTTGTTCGATTAGTTTAAGGAGAAGCCACACTGATTTGGTAACTAGCAACTGTGATCACATTTCTATTCCAATATATATTTTGATTTGCATTTATTCTGAATGGTATTTACTCGGGACGTGGTACTTTATTGGGGTTCGTTCTTTTTCTTGTCCTTTTCGATTATGTGTTATTACGTTATTATTATTCACTCGACAATGTCAACAAACTAGTAAATTTTTGTAACACAGGCTATTTATTCAAAAAACATTTACGCTGTCACTGGAAAAATTGCAACACAAACAAAGCAACGCGAATCAATTATTAAAAGAAAAAAAAATAAAAAAAAATCTGTAAATAAATATTAAGGTATTTCTATTTAACAATGTATAGTTTATAATCATCAACCTTTCCACAAATCTACAATTAAGAACATTACAAGTCGTTTGTAATTTTACGTAAAGAAACAAGAAACATTTTTTTTCTACAAGGCTCCGTGGTATATAAATAAAACAAATTACAATAAAGTACAACTAAGCTAAACATAAACAATGTCGATAACAACTGTACGCTACCTCGTTTGTCCAATATAAACGAAAAATTAGGTATTTTTGATTCCAGTACATCCGGGATTCAGTTACATCAAATAAATTTTAGAATTCAATTGTGCCTAATCAAATTAAGCTGGATAATAGTTAGCATAATGGAAAATTACGTATACTTTGGGAATTTAGTGTTTTATACATTTTATGTGAAAATATATATTTTTTAATAAATGCATAAGAATTGTATATTTTTAATACAACAATTCGGAAACATTTAGAGTTTGGTTAATATTTTTGCCGTAGATTTATTAATCCCGATATTAAATTATTGTTAAATTGAACAAACCGTGTAAGCGCACGCGTACACATTTCGTGTCGCCCTACGTAAAATCGCAGTAAACAAAAGTAAAATAGTTGTATAATTATAATATATATTATTTTTATGCCGTAGCTTGTATGGAAAATAACACATTTACAATGTACACTTCTCTGCTTGTCTCGTGTAAGAACTATGCACTTTTTTTGTATATAATATATATACAGTTATAAATTTGCTATCTATGTACAATTTCTATTAATAGGTAAAGGGGTATATTAGGCGAATTTTTTAATTATTACTAATTAGTCACTTAAATATACTTGACCCAAAAGAAAAGCTTATACATCGTTCAATTTTGAGAGAGAGGTACGTTACGAGTAATCAAAAAAATGCATTCATTCAATTGTATTTTGAGCGTTTTCTTCGATTCTCAAACATTTATATATTATTATATAATAAGTAAAAAATATCAAAAACTTCGCCTACCCCAATAGCATATCACAATCTGTACAGTTAGCGGAGAGGAGTTTGTATTTATTCCCATCACTATTCCGATAACGAAGACTCCTCTCCGTTGGTACTGTATATGTCGTCTTCTTCTTCCTCCTCCTCCTCTTCCCCTTGGCTGTCCGAAGACGACAAAGACGTCCCTGAAGACGTGCTAGACGATGACGAAGTCGACGTCGATATATCGCGCACGTACTGATTGTACGGTGAAAACTGGTATACGTTTACTTGATTCTGATGCTGCTGCTCCGAAGGATGGTGCTGTTGCTGTTGCTCTGGTTGGAAATCGGCAAGGTGGCTGCCTTCCCAGCAGCCGCTGCCATACTGTCACTTTACCTCTTTTTTACGTTTATTTTCGACATCAGAAACTACAACAACAACGACGAAATTCAATAAATCGGGCGTATTAACAAATTATTATACAGATCGTCCGAATTCATCCGCTGCAAGCATACAATGAGAATAATGAGATAGCTAATTGAACTTTTGCTATGTAAGGAATAAAGAGAGCATACGAAATATCCACGCTATTCGCTAGTGGACGAAGCGAAGCGAATTCTATCATCGGCCGGCAACCGATAAACAAGTTTCTGTTCCTTCCTATATTATACAGTACAGCTTCAAATCGATATAAAGTGTCAATGTTATGAAAAATGGTGCAGGAGTCATGTCAAATTCAAATATTAGCGGCGCGGTATGAATATTAAATATACTCATAAATAGCATTAAATTCAAATAAAATAAATTTAATTAATTTTCAATAATATTGAATTGCCCTCTAAAAAGAGCTTATTTTGTTGTTCAAATAGCAATTTCAGTGTTTCTATTCTATCAGCAAATCGATTTAAAAAAGTAAGATCGATTAACATGTGAATTACGAGCAGTAATTCCTCGAGTAGGCATCCTCATCTAGCGAATCATCAAAATCTGAATACCCACGTTCAGATTCATTGGGATTAATTTTAACAGGTTCTAAAGTAGTCTCAATTGTACCATCCAGATTCCACATCTTTTTCTCCACCTTTATTTAAATTTAATGCTATTTATGAGTAGATATATTTAATACTCATACCGCGCCGTTGATATTTGACATGACTCCTGCACCATATTTCATTGATTTAACATTGACGGATGAGTCACTTTATATCGATTTTAAACTGAACAGTAATATTGATTGATATTCTAATTCTAATGCTTGCAGCGGACCATAGACCTATTAAGTATGGACGCGGCACAATCGTTATTTTGAGGTTATTCAGCGTTCCCAATGATAGAGAGAGAGGTCCGTGAGAGATGGAGCTAGTTTGGGCTAAAAGTAGGCGGGACCAAAAAATATATAAAATATATACAGGGTGTGTGGAAAAAGGCGATTAATCTGTTAAATTATTTATACGCTTAATATTTAAATATTGTTTTTATCTTGGTATTCACTTGGACAGAAGAATGACCTGGAAGAAACATATTTTTTACAAGAGAAAACAGCTAGGTCTTAAATTGCGAAATCTGTACAGGCTAATAGGTAGGAGGTTCCAAATAACAATACAAAATAAGAACTGTATTTGCAAATGTGTGGGAATTTAGGCTCAGCTGAAAAATGCATTTTGCTCGGTAAAAAAATTATAAATCCTCAACCCTATTCTACCATAATCTACCCTCCTCTACCCCAACTACCTTGCATTTCTGAAAACGTAACTCACGTGGTCTTTTTCTTTCTTACTATTGGCTAATGCATTGTCCAATCTCTCATTACCATTTGTCCAAACTAGCTGCATCTCTCTCATTCATCGACAACACTACCTCTTTGTCTAAACCGCGTCCATAGTTAATAGGTCTATGCAGCGGACGAACTTTGACATATGTTATGCAAACTACTCACCAGTACTTCGAGTTTTTCGCCTTAACGCCTCCGATTCCGATTTATCAGACACTTTGTTATTCTCTCCTTTGCTTCGAGTGTTCTGCGCCGGCATGTTGCTGCGCACCGATCGTCTGGTGCTCACCACCACGCCGCCGCCGCCCTTCGACGAAGCCGTACCGCCGCCCATCGTCGTCGATCCGGCGTTGTTATTCGCAACGTTGCCCGGCCCGCCGGTCTTGCCCGGCTTCGACTTCGCCTGCGCGTTCAACGCCGTCTTTCGCACCTTCTCCGATATCGGCTCGTCGCTGTCGGACGATCCGTCCGCTTGCGCCTTTAGGTGTTTCTTCAAATTGTTGGCCTTCGCCGACGAATCGTTCGGTTTCTTCACCTACAAACACAATACATACGTTCGCGTTAATCTACGAGCAGTTTTGGACAATAAAGTTTGACAAAACGATGAAGTAAGGATGGGTTTTTGCACCTAAAAGAGCTCTTCAAACTAAACTTTATACATGGTATCCCAATAGTGCGGTAAAGATCATTTACTCATGTTATACTTAGCATTTCTAAAATACGTTTATTCACCGCACTATTGGGACTCATACATTATATCTTCGTGCAAAAACGCCCAATTATTTCATACAATAAACCAAACAAAACTAACCAAGACATCGGCGTTTTGATTGGCATCGCCGGCGGCGGCGACCCGCCTCGATTTCTTCTTCGTCTCGTCCAAACTCTGATTCGAGCTGTCCGACTCGTTGCGCTTCCTCTTGGCGGCCGGCGCGCCCTTCGGTTGCGCCTTCGTCGCCACCGGCGAATTCAATTCGGGACTGTTGAGCTTCGACAGCGCCCTGGTGCGCATCGACGAGCGCGTCGCCGGACTGGGCGAGCTCGGCAACGACTGCTCGTTGGGTATCTCGATCAGCAGCTGCTCCAGCAGGCTCTTGTTCTGCTTGTTGCCCGACGGCGCGCTGTTGACGGCGGCGGCGGCGACGTCGTCGTCGGAGAGGGCCGGACTGACGGCGCGCGACTTGTCCGGATTCGAGTACGTGTAGAGGGCCGGCGTGACGCGCACCGGCAACGGTTCCAAGTCGTCTTCTTCTTTTTTCGCCTGTAAATACAGATTGTAGTCTAGAAACGATCAATCTAACTGTCTAACAGATAGAAATGGGCCGAAAGGATGCGAGTAACTCAAACAGCAATCGAGAGAAGAATACTGGGGAGTTACCTTGAGATAGACAATTCGAAACAGGAATAACAAATATCATAGAGCGGATAATGACGCTAAAATGACAATGGGTGGGACTTGATTAGTACCAAAATTAGTGCATTGAAGAAGAGACAGAAGTTCGTGGAAAGGTTTAGGGGAGGCCCACGTCCTACAGCGGCGTAGAAATTCAATTTGTACAATCGTAATGTTTACAATTTGATTACATTACCGATTTGATTGGGTTGGTAAAACGATTGTTAACGAGTCATGTATTTTATGTATTCCAGCGTGCAAAGAGTTGAATACGGGCGATTTCAATTCTCAAATAAACTCAAATTCAACTCACCTTTTGAACCGTATGATTGGTTTCGACAGATTGCTTATTATTAGGAAGAGTAGAGGCGTCGACGTCCTGCTTGATACCATCCTTCGCGGCGCCGTCCTGTTCGCATTTATTTTCGCTCAAATTACCTATACCTGCATCGAACAAAATTCCAATTAACTTCCTATTCGAGTATATCCTTTATATATTTACCGTCCAATCTATCGCTGTCTCCGTTGAGTCCTTCCATCTTGGCCAATTGCGCCTCAATGTCCAGCATGTTAGGCACTTGGGTCTTGGGAGGTAAAATGTCGGCGTGCGGACTTTGGCTGGCCTGATTGGGCGATTTCTCGCTCAGCGCGTCCATGCTCTCGATGCCGCTGTCCTCGCCCTGGTTGCCGCCCGAATTGGGCGATCGGTTGCCGTTGCCGTTTCCGACGGACACCGTCGACGGCTTGTCGACGCCGTCGATGGATTTCCGGTTGTTCGGCGTGTTGCACTTGTCCGGCTCGGGGGATTTCTCCGTCGCCGGAACCGATTCCTTCGCGATCTGATTAACCCAAGTTTTAGAATTAACGAGTAATCAACCAAGTACCGGGCCCTCGTCAAAATGGCCCGAAATATTGGACGATTTTGCCTCTGGGGCTATTTTGACGGGTCACGAGTACCAGTAGTTCATTTCAAACTTCTAGTATGAATATTAAGAATTTTTATAATTTTTTTAGTCACTTTTTATTACGCTCGGTGTAGTACTTGAAGAACATTTATTGATCTGTTAATAAAGACATCGTAGGTGGCATCTTAGGCACAATCCATCGTGCAATCTTGATTAGTAAAAAATATATGGGAAGAATATTTAAAAAAGGCCCTCGATTCTGCACCAAATGAGCAATACAATATAAATTTTTCACAACTATAGGCGCGATAATTTAGATACAATATCAAATAATAATATATCAAAATATCTCTTAAATGGTTTAACATTTAACATTTAACCCACCCTTTACCTCACCAAACGTAGCTTGGCACTTGAAAATCACATGAGTATCTTAAACGGGAAAGTGTGATGGACGATATTAAAAAAAAAACCGAGTCTTTCACTACCTACGAAATGTCGAGCGGTATAAACTTCCTGCTATCAATGTCAATTACCTACCCTATCCCATCTCTACAATTTGCAATGAACCACCATCTGCCAAGCTACATTGGTTGAGGTATAATATAGTTTAAAAAAATGGTAACTCACCTCTGATGATGTTTCGATGGTAGGCAACGTTTCGGTGCTGAGATGATTGACGATTTCCGTCCTGTGCGGCGGCCTCGAGATGCCCTTTTCGCCGGTACCTTCGAGCAAACCTTGCTTGAATTTCGCCTCCATGTTCATTTCGCCGGCCGTCGGCAACGTGACGGTCTTCGCCTGCAATTTCTCCGCGAAATTCTTGCTGAAAATCTTGTTGTTTTTGTTGGCGTCCTTCTTGAACACATCTTTGATTTTCACCTGCGAAATAATGAACCAGAATTATACCTAAATATCGAATTTATGCATCTAAATGGCGGCCTTAGCGATCAGCCGGCCTATAACGAAGGTAGGGTGAACAGTTTTCGGCCTGATACACAGAGGGCGCTTCCATCGGCGAAAATTCTTGGTTTCTCTTTGAGACATTTATAATTAATTCTAGAACTGTCTAGAACCATATAGAACGTTCTAGAATCATTTGGAACCATCTATAACCATTTAGAATGCTCCAGAAACATTTAGAATTATCTAGAACCATTAAGAACGCTCCACAAGCTTTTAAAACTGCCTAGAACCATTTAAAACGCTTCAAAATCATTTAAAAGGCTTCAGAACCATTTAAAACGCTTCATAGTCATTTAGATTGCTCCATAAGCGATCCAGAAACTGTTACTAAACTGTATCTAAAACCATTTAGAACACTCCAGAACCATTTAGAACTGTTTAGAACCATTTAGAAAGCTCCAGAAACATTTAGAACTCTCCAGAAGCATTTAAGACTGTCTGGCTAAAGCCATTTGGAACGCTCTAGAAGGATTTAAAACAGTCTAGAACCATTTAGAAAGCTCCAGAATCATTTAAAAATTGTTGAGAAGCTGTTGACTTAATAAGAAGAATAATGTATTTTTCCAATTGAAAATCGCGATCGTTCATTGTCAGGCCGAGATCTTTTCTTCCTCGCCTTCGTATACGTTCAAAATATACAATGTGGTGGCCTAGTTACAGGTAAATTGCAGGTAGTGATTTTGCTTACTTTGTCTTTTCTATTTTTCTGCGGCAAACCGGCGATGGTGCCGACGTTCGTCGATCCCAACACCGGCTGGTCGTCGTCGATTTGCTCCGATTGGCTCAACCGTCTCTTCTTGTCGTCGGCGGCGGCCGAGCCGTCGAGGAATTTCTTCGTTTTCACCAATTCCGAATCGCTGCCGCGCCGCTCCTTCTGTTTGTCTTTGTAGTGGTTGTGTATCACAAATTTCGACTTCAGATCACTCTCTTGGGTCAGACTAGCAAATACATCCTGAAACAACAATTCGCAACGTTTAAATTTCTTTCGTTTTTTTTAACGAGAATATTCGCGGTCGATTTCGTGATAAAGGCGGTTGAAGTGTCCTTTAACAAAAGGAAGGTTTAAAATAAAGTGTGCTTCAATTTTATTCCTAACGTCAAATGATTTCATAATAAATGTAAAAGGTTTCTTTTAAGAAAAAGGTTGATTTATAAAGATTATTTTAGTAACGGTACAATTGAACTAATTCGGTACATTTTGGAACATTTGAGCCTATCTGAGATTGTTTTTGATTACAAATTTTTTGGAGATAGATCGAAATTTCGAAGGATAGTAGTTTAGTAGAGGAGATGAATTATGTTTGCTTTAAGAAATTAAAACAGAATGTAAAACTACAAATAATGATACACAATGATTTGCTCTTCTATTTCATACAAGATATGCAAAACTGCTTCTTTTTTAAGTCGAAAATGTTGGTAAAAGTCTAGTTCAAATATTTTTAAAAACAGTTCCTTCTCTTCCTATAAATTTTTGGTCTTCTACTATAAATTAATTCTTATTCATCAAAAGAGCTTTAACTTTCGAAATTATTCATCCCACTAAACTGACAAAAAGCTTACAACATGGCAGTACAAACTTTCATTCACATACATAAAAATAAAGCTTGTGTTATAGTTAAAGGACACTTTACCCCATTAATGTCCAAAAAATCGACACTTTACCTTTAAATGCCACTTTAGCTCTGAAGAACCCTTTAGGTTCATTACGAAATTAATTACACCCAAAAAATCCTTTACAGTTAAACTATCCTTTAGTATCTTTTCATGAAACCAGTCGCTAGTGTATAATAAAAGACTAGCTCTATAGAATGGTAAGGGTAAATCTTTTGGAATATGTATGTATTTCTATTTACCTTATGTTCATGAATAGCTTTCAATTTTTTATTCTTCTTCTGCTCGATCGTAGCGAGTCTCGCGGCGAGCATCGAAGAATTCGACACGTCCATCATCAACGAATTAACGTTTTCGCTTTCCTCCGTCGCTCCCGCAATGCCACCTACTTCGTTCTTCTTCATCTTCTGATAGTCTTGGTTCTTTCTAACCTATACGACAATATAACAATTAATCTATACATATTAATTAGTATGTACGCGAAATATACCTTTAATTTCACTGGGGTACCATCAGGATTAAGTTTATTCTTGTTCTTAATAACGGCGGAATTTCTACCTCTAAGCGATATGTGCAACGGTGGCACTCTGAGCTCCTCGCCGGGCGTCATCAGCGACGCCGTACCTTTCTTCGGCTGTTGATTCACGAAGCTAACGTCCACTTTGTAAGCGGCATTGATCGGCTCCGATTTCTCCAGCTTCAACCTCAGCTTGATCTTCTCCGGCTTGAGCGCCGGCGAATCTCTGCCCCTCTCTCTGGCCTTCGAGTTTTTTAGCCGCTGCGGCTTACCGGCCGCCGCGACGGCGGCCGCCGCCGTGTCACTGGAACGCGTTTCGCTATCGCTCTGATCGGTCGTCGTGTCGGGTCGAGTCGTCGAACAGGTGTCCTCGTCCGAGAGGTTCGTCGGCGAGGGTAGGCCCGTGAAGACGTCCTTCAACTCTTCGGTGTCGCTCTCGCCGCTCGACTGCGGTTCCAGTTCACCCGTCAGAGGATTGATGAGAAATTTCCGATGGTCGTCGACCGCCGTCGCCGCCGCCGGCGGCTCGGCCGGCATCATGGCCGCCGCGTGATCGGCCAGAAAGTCCTCGGGCAGATCGGGCAGCGGGCTGCGCGTCAGCTCGCCTTCGAGCGTCGGCAACAGCGCGTCGAGATCGTCCGGCTTCAGATCGGTCAGCGTCGGCGTCAGATCCATGAGGGAGTTGTTGCTGTTGACCAGCGCGTCCCATTGTCGCGACGACACGGCGACGGAGTACGGCGGCGGCGAGGGCATGCCTCTTAAAGCTACGTTGTTGAACGGCTGGTGGGACGCGGGCGGGTTCGGGTTCTGCGACACGATCGACGTCGACGAATGCAGAAAGTTGGCCTTCACTTGCTGCGGTAAATAGACGGCCGACGGTTTCGCCATCGTCACGTTGGGCTGCGCCAATTTCTGATGAGTATTGTTCAATACGTTGGGAACCGGCTTCGGCGTCGGCGCCGGCGCGGCGCCCTTGGCGAATGCGTTGGCTGAGGTAACGGGTTTTTGAGATAGCAAATGCTTCGGGCCAACGTTCGGTTGACCCGCGGCGTTCTTCAACAGAGCAGCTGTTCCCAACTGTTGTTGTTGTTGTTGTTGCTGTTGATACATATTGTTGTGTTGAATAGGCACGGCTGTTGATTGTGTTGTACGGGGCATTTGGGCGAACGAGCTGTTCGATAGAGGCGAAGATATGGTGTTGTTGACGTTCTGTAGCCCAGCTTGTTTCACCTAAAAAAAACAAACAAATACACCTTTACAACCGAACACGTTTCAACGACATTTCGACAACGTACCTTTCCGGGATTCGAAAGCGTTCTGTGGTATTGCGGCGGTGGCGGCGGAGTCTTGTTTACCGCACCGGTTGTACTTGTCATTACGGTGCTATTCTGCCTAATGGAAGTATTAGTTGCTAAGGCGCTTGGTGATATTGAAGAGCTGTTAGCCTGAGTCGAAGGGATAGATTTCGCCGCCTCCGGCGCCGCCGACGCCGACGACGCTTCGGTCGAGGTCCGGGCGATGGCCGTCGTTTTGACGACGCCCGAAGCGGACTCTTTGCCGCCGTCGTTTTGCAACAGATTAACGAGCAGCGGGCTCGATATCGTGACGGGTGGATGTTTGGAGGGATAAGGGGGCGGTAGGGAATTGAACGGTGCGTCGCGGTTGCTGTGGATAGCCTGCCGAAAACGAAACGTAACGTAAGTAACGAATAATCTAAGGGGGTAATCGATGGAAATTCTCACCTGATTCATGCTGGTAAAGGGAAACGGACCGGCGAAAGGCTTGTTAGTACTGGCAACGTTGTTGGGCGGCACCGTGTTCGCGCCCACTTTGGGCACCACCGTGTCGGGCGGGCACACCACGTTGGGCGATTTGAATTGCACTTGCATGTTGTTGCTAGCCGATACCGATGTCGCATTGGTCTGCAGAAACGTGCCGAGATCCGATTGGCTAGCATTGTTATTACTGTTACTACCATCTGGAAGGAAACGATTTTTTTCTATGTAATTAAATACTTACATATTTTTTAATCGATTTTTTCACTTCAAGTCGCGTTCATTTTGAAATTCAAATCGAATTAACGATTTTCCGAATGCTAATGTATTCATTAATGCTATGGTTTGATCGTGATTTGCAAAAAACTACTAGATGTTTATGTTTAACATAATAACATTGATTAAATAAGGAACATAAATATTTTGACATATTCATTCATAAATGCATTCAATATACAAACACGATAGTAACAGTTCTTAACTAACATTAGTAGGATATAATAACAATTTAATAGAGAACACTCTAGATAATGATTGGGATATTTTTATTATTTATTTAGATCAATAGTAAATGTTTCAATAGCATAGCTTATCTTTTCTTTGAAATTAGTAGCATGTACTCAATGATTATCAATCATGGATGTTTTCAATAAAAACTGAAGTCCATTAAAAATTTTCAATTTCAAGGATAATATGAAAAACATTTTAGACGAAAATTTGGAAGAGTATCCGCAGAAATAGTAAGTGTACATGAATCCCAAGTTTCATTTAACAATATGTATATTTCATTAAAAATATATTTAGATTCCAAATACATAAAAATTTTCTTCTATAACTTATTCCTTTTTGCTTTTATTTTTAATGTCATAGTGTATTTTTTACCGACTTTTAGAAATATTCCGTAATAAATATGCATGTAATATTATTTTAAACATACATCCATAATTTTATGTCAATGTATAAAATTTAACTGCAAATAAAAATTTAAATATAATTCAAATTTTAAAGAAACTCAAAATCTAACCTTTTTCGATGCATTCAAACTATTCCTGTACCTTTTTTTTAAATAACCTAAAGTAGTTTTCTACATATGGACAGTTTAAGAAAGTCGTGGGAGGCCATGCGTTATCAATTTCAACTTTTTTTTTAAATCAAAGTATGCCCTGTAAATCTAGGGAGTTTGTGGTAACACTGATAATTCATTGAAAAATCCCTATAGTTACTTCATTAATTTCTCACAAATGTTTAATTCAGTTTAAAAGTGACGTTTTCGATTCATCACTGATTTGTTTTACAATTTTTAATTAACATTTTTACAACAATTATGTAACCTAATTATTTAATCAATTAGTTTATGTAAAATAAGTGAATTTATTATTTATTTCTAACGTTTAGCATTCAAAACTGACTGATTTGTCCTAACAAACACAAAAATTAATCGTAAAATGATTCTCGGACAATTCTGCGACTCGAAACGTATAAAATTAGATTAAATAAAAAATGAACTTACCTTGAGAAGTCCTGAGTATAATTTCCTGCGGCTCAGAACCCGTAGCTATTCTCAACGAAATAACTTGATCCCCTTCAACTTGAACACTTAGTATACCTAGGGCCCTGAGTTGTTGGGAGCCCTCGTTGGCGAGTTGTCTAAGGCGTAACGCTGCTTCCCTAGGAATGGACAGCGTTACCCGCACTGAGTTCCAGGGCTCCAGTTTGTGTACTTTCACTAATTCACCCAAAATAGTATTCAAACTATTCACCAAACAGTTCAACTGTGTAGGGAACCTGGGATCTGACAGGTCCCCTTCACAGGTTAATATCGTCGATAGTTCTTTATAACCGTCGCTGTTTGCTGCCATTTAACAACGGCATGGTGAGCCGTGATCGCTCCCGCGTCCATTCACATGCTGAACGAGACCCATCCAAAGTACTTTGCAGGCACCTAAAACAAGAATCGTCGCATTAGTGCATTGTATTTACCTATAGCGACGGATAGTAATGGACCGTTTATTGATGCAAATCGATTCGAAATACTATCTAATTCGTTATAAACCGCACGTACGGACCCAATTGCGCGGCGATTCTATCATTTCGAGCAATTAAACGGCACCAATATCGCAAAATAAGAAGCTGGATATGATCGCAGCCATCTTGTTCCTTTGACGGGGGAGTGTTATTCCATGTGTTCTAATGGAAATTTTACACTTCACAGATTCATTTGCAACACAAATTCGAACGAAATATACAATTGACGTTATATAGAATGCGCTCGCGGAATTTGCAACTGTCCTCTCATACATAAGTTGTAATATTTATTACGGAAATTGATTTGCTTACGGCCAAGAAACATTATATACCCCATTTTATGTGACATACTTTTGACACTCAAATGAAGAATCCAATGAATAAGTCTTGCTAAGCACTTGTCTAATTAAACTATATGGTCACTATAATGTACGATTTTATGTAAAAGGATTGTATAAGCACTCATAATCTTATTACAAATAATTAAACGCTTTCAACAATAACAACTTGACGCCATTCGTCATGCGTAAACTGAATGCGCACAAGGTTAACACGAAATCGAACCATTACGGAAATAAATTTTTGACATTTACAAACTGACATGTAACTACGTTTGTTTACGTACTCCGAACTGACTTCCTTTGATTAGATCGTCTTTCTTCTTTTTCTTACTCATACAAATATTATACTTTTTTAGGTATAAAAATCTGATTGCGTACACGGGAGGTTTACAAATCAACGAATTTTTAGTTCGAATGGTGTTTTTGACGAACGGAGGTAAAATTAAAAACAAGGCAGAAATTATATTTTTTTTCGTATATTAATTGAATAAATAAAAATCGGTAAATTAATATTTGTTATAAAAAGCATGGCTAACTCTAATTTCTCTGTACGCAAAATTCAAATAAATTATATTCCTAATCCAATATATTTTGAAAAACAAAATGTATGAGCCCAGATTGTCCAGCGTGTTTACGTAAGTAATTAAATCAATTTTTACGATATTTCTGATTCTATGAAACATAAAATTCACCAATTAACTCAAACTAATATATTTTTTTCGTACCGAATCGAAAAGAAATATGGAGGCGCCTTCATGATGGAGTTTTTTATGAATACTTACACATGTTGTGAATACAAAGACAAATTCAATTAAAACTCAATATTTTAATTTTTCCCCTTACATAAATACTATAATAATGTCTAAGCCAGATTATCAATTTAATTATCCGGTTCGCAGGAATCGAAGAGACCCTTGTTCCGCATTTCATTAAACCTCTGTTCGATATCGAAGTTCCTACAAAATAGAAATAAATTAATCAAATGCACACAAATATGAGGAGATTCGCGTTGATATAGCAATCCTCATAGTTACTATCAAAATAACATAAGTACTTGAAGTATTCTGCGTAAGCCTTTTTCCTATTATCATTAACCATCGTTTTATATATAACTGCACCGACGGCCGAAAGGGCGACTGCTATGATGACGTTCTTTTTAATTTGACTGGCCAGGAGGCCTCGAAGTTGGGGCTTCGACACTTTGCTTACTTCTCCTCCAGCCATTTTACCTACAAAACATTACATAACGAAAATAAAAAAGGTTAATTATTTGCAATCAAAAATGCTGTGGTTGGTTTGTATGAAAACGTTGTTTTGGAGTATCTAGTATGCGTGTAAATGAAAAAATACTTACGATTATTTGGTATTAATCAAGTGGTCTTTTAACTAGATGCAATTTTTCTTTTTTTTTTTTTATCAAGTGAGTTGATGACTTGATGTCAGAAATATGTCAAATGCGGAGTTGTTAAGTTGCCAAACTTCTCCTCGTGTTGGTTGTTAGATAAAACGAACTTAGTTAATATTCGTGTTACAATTTAAAATTAGTCTTAAAGTAACTCGTACTTATTTTGTGCGTTTCGAAATTCCTAATTTTATAAAAATTTGTTAAAATAAATACACCAGTTTGGAAACTCCAAGAATACGCTATAAAAAATTTCCTAAAAGCGAGGAGTCTACTACAATTTGGCAACGTGACGTTCACCCAATTCTTCTTTCTATTAACAGTTGTATCCTTGTAACATAAAGGAAGTTAGCGAAAACTAATTATTTTTTTAAATCCTACAATATTTATTAGACCAACCGTCGCTTATCTATCTACAAAATGCAATGCAACTATTCATCATCGTCATCTGTGTCGCAGGAATTGAACACGCCCTTCCTTCTCATCTCGTGAAACGTTTTTTCAGCGTCGAAATTCCTGAAAATGGCTCGATCGTTTGAAATAATTATATCGAAATGTGAGCAAGTAGGTAACTTACAAGTAGAAATCCGCGTAAGCCTTCTTGTTTCTAGCCCCGTATACGAATCTCATGTAGGCCCCGCCGATGAAGCAGGCGATACCGGCAATGACGAGGTTCCTCTTGATTTGCCTGTGAAGGAGTCCCCGCATTTGGGGTTTAGGGAGTTTTCCCGCGACTTCCGCCGACATTTTCTGCAAAATTTCCATTTTTTATTTCGGTACTTTACGCTTTTATTTAAGATTGATGAGAATTTTTCACCGGGACTTATTGATATGGACGAGCTGTCAATTTGACATTTTGACATATGGTTTTGACTTATGTGACATATAGGGGGCTTCAAAATAGTTTTTAAAAATATCAAAATTTAGCATAAGTGATAGTATGCGGTTGGGAATTTAAAAAGTATTTATTGTAAATGTTTTCTTTGCATAACGATTTTATGCATTTAAACGGTGAATATGATTAAGCAACCGGGAAGTTTTCTAACCGCATAATAATCGCGTTACCTTTGATGCGTTCTATTGGTTGTATAAATGAAAAATAAATAAACGATTATGTCATCAAGTAGGTGCACATGTTGAAGATTAAAATGCATTTTGTTATTTTTCCTAAATTTCTGCGCATTTTCCAAACGCGAATTAGTAAATATGTGTCCATTATTGCAATGATATGCATCACAAATTATATTGATAATTTTGAAGAAATATTACTAAAATTATGCTCATTTTTATTTTTTTTACCACTTACCCTTGAGGTATTTTAAACACTTTGCTTTTTATAAAAACGAGTTAATGAATTCCCGATGTTAAATTCACTAGTTATTCAATAAAACATCAAAAAGGTGTGCGTTACTCCATTTTTATGGGATAAACTTTGCCTACGTGACTTTCTGAAGGCTTCTTATTTGCACCTCCCAAATAACATTAAACAAAGATTTTCATTCTAAAATCATTGCATTATAAACACTTCCTATTTTTACCATCCTCTATTTACAATTTTATGTAATATTAGATACTTATCACATATTGCAATTTAAAAAAGTTCAAAGCACACATAATGCACCATTTACGATAAAAAAAAGTAGTCAACCTACCTAATAGATTTTCCAATAAGTATAAAAATAGAAAATTAAAATCACCAGATTGCACTTGCAGTTGCGAAAAACCACTGAAGACTGAAAATTTTTCGTTAATCGTTTCGCGAGCGATGAGTTACGAGAGCGATATCAAAACCGATAAAATGCAAGTATGTGGTGTTTGAGCATTAAGCAGATCGATATGCAATTTTTTTTTGATAATCATTCTGTAAACTTTAAACACCTGCTTGCATATCTCCAAGGATCACCGGTAGAAGGGCATTTAAATATTTTATTGGCGATAAAAGCTATAAAAGTAAAAATATCTAAAAATGAAAGGATGGTTGAGATGAAAACTAAAAACATTCAGAGGTTTTCTTGAAGATAAACTATTGGTATTTTTTAATGAAGAAAAGGTTTAAAATGTATATAGGTAAGTGCAAATTTGCTTGCAATTTGGTTAATTCTTTAAGTTGAAGAAAGAAAAATTATTAAAATAACAGTTGTTAGAGTGAAAAAATTGCAATACTAAAATATCACTCTTTTTTTTTTATTTATATGAGACTAGTAGAAATTGTCTTTGTTGGACCCAAAACAAAAATTTGCACTTAACTGTGTACTTTTATCCTATTCAAAATTTTATAATGTATAAATAAACATTGTTCATAAAAATTAGTATTTTGTTTCAACATACTGTTAGATTGTTTCATTTATTTCGAAAAGGTTTTTGAAGGCATTTTTGTGAAATCTTGAAATAAATATTAAGTTTTTTGGATCACCCTATATTACAACTAACTACAACTCTATATAAAAAAGAAGAATTAATATTGACGAAATCTGGCAACAGCGAAACCACTATCCTATTTTTAGACAAACACTGTTCGACATTTGACATTAGCAAATCGCGAATGTCAAAAAGTTTCCGACTGTCAGTTAACCGTCAACCTCTTAGCGAGTACAAGAAATTACATTGAATATATTCCATCTGTTGCTTTTTATAGTATTTAAATTGTGTTCACGAAAATGATTTTAGTTTCAGCCGTTGAAAAATAACCATGCGGCATCTTTGCTTTATTTCCATCTAACGATCGAATACACATTTAATCATGTACTTCGACAATACCGGGGTAAGTTTCGGACGCAACAAAAAAATCGCAAGATTTAAACGAACGTTATTTCTTCAGCTAGCCGTAGTGGGCACTCCGGAAAATGCGGGATTAATGGGAATGGAAGACGAGTATCTACAAAGCCACTGCATTTTCGTCGACGGAGGAGACCGATTCGGAGTTTCTGCCCTTACATTCGATAAACACGAAGAGCTCTTATGGATGGGCAACCAGGGCGTAAGAATCGATTATTATGCTTACCAAAGCTTTTATTAGTACCATTTACCACGTACACATGTTTAATTGTTTCGTAATAATAATTGTTTTATTATAAATCACAACAATAAAACGCTGTATCGTAAGTCAATTGAATGTACGATACAACTATTTATATTCGATTGACTTTAGAACAACTGGCTGTATACACATTACAGTTTTATTACGTTTAAATGTAAAATCTTCACCAGGGTCACGTTACATCCTACATAGCACCGGGCCTATCAAAATACACTTCGTTTCAAATACACCCGACAGAAGAAGTGAGGCAAATTCTAACGCTAAACGAGGGAATCCTCGGCCTCACGGCCAGCACCTTACGATACCAAATCCGCCGAGGGATACCCGTCTACACCCACACGTAAGTCGATCAGTCACTTTGATTGATATCTCTCGCCTAAAGTCATGCTGGTTTTCCAGTTCGGCCAACATGAACGAGATGCAGTGCATATTGCAAATGTCTCCGAGCCGGTTCTTGCTCGGCAGCCATCAGCACAAGCTGATCGATTTCAATCTGAGCGTAGGCAAAGAAACCGTCGTGGTACAGTGTGCATTTATATCTATACAGAGTGTTTATTAACTACTTGTACGGGTAAATCTTTGAGTAATCGCGAGATGGGAAGTTCATATGAACGTTTCGTTTAGGAGATAGAGTGTGGATACTCAAAGATTTACCCTTTAAAGTGAATAAACACCCTGTGTAATGTACGCTAAAATTGGGAATATTTCTAGACGGAAGTCGGAGATGGCTGCGTGATGTTGAGGCCGCACAGTCGGTTCGTTTGCGCGGGGAATCCCCTGGGCAGGATAGACCTTCGAGATCCGAATACGTTGAAAGTAGAGCATCGAATCGATACTCACAGCGGTAGCTTGAGCGATTTCGATGTACAAGGGAATCTATTGATTACTTGCGGATTTAGTAACAGGTACACGATTGTCTTGTTTAAACGAACGAGTAATTCGAGTAAAAATTTTGTTGCAGACACACCGTGTTGGCTGTAGATCGATATTTGATTGTGTACGATTTAAGAATGCTGAGAGCGGTATCTCCTATGCAGACCGTATTAGATCCGTTCTTTCTCAAATTCATCCCTTCTATCGCATCCTCTCGATTAGCCGTGGTGTCCGTAATGGGACAAATTCAGCTGTTGGATACCATCGCGTTGGCGGAACCCAAATTGTGCCTCTTCCAAATGGAGAATCCAGGTAAAATTTTGACCTTTTACGCGCCGGGTGATGCAGTTACTAAAACGCCTCGATGTTGTAGGCGCGATGTGTTTGACGTTCGACATATCGTCGAGCAGCCAAATAATGGCGTGCGGTGATAACTCGGGGCACATTCACGTGTTTTCGCATTCGAAAGCGACCGATCACGTCGTCAATACGTATTCGAGACCGTCGGAAATGCCCGACACGCCGAGCATCTATCCCAGTTTCGGCATCAACGATTTCAATACGCCGCTGTCGGTGATTCCCATGCCGATCGTACCGCCGGAGATACCGCTGGCCTCCGACTGGCCCGCGCATCTGACACAGAAACTCTACAGGTAGAGCGATGGTGGTGGTTGAAATGAGTTTGGAGTGATTGTGTTGCTTTTTTTTTTGTTGTGTAGAAAACCAGCAGGAATCGATCCTGAAATATTGTCGTCGATGAAGATGCAAGGTCCGATTGGGTATTCTCGAAATCCGAAAACGACGAGGCGAAATCAAGTGAGAGTTGATAAATTAAAACCAGTTTATTATTTGTAGGATAATCGTTTCGTTTATTTAGTTCACGAGTAGTTTAGTTTATTTATTTTTTTTCATTATCGGTTTATTTAATCGAGTTAATTTTTGGTTTTACAAAAGTTTTATTTGAATGTTACAATAAAAGTTGTTTAATTTCCATTTTTCACTGTTAGTTTCTTAATTCTTCCGCCCTAATTGTAGTTTCAGTCGAGTTAAGTAGATATATTGTTAATGTAATAATTAATTTCGTATTTGTTACGTTTGTTCGTTTTAGGTCCCGTACGATTTCTCGCAGAACGGCTATTCGAATAACAATTCGCATTCGAACAAGAGCCCCAAGCACGAGGAGAACGGCACGTTTATCGCAATACCCAAGAGGTACCGTAAAATCGATGTCAAATACAACAAATTAGGCACGGATGAGTTTCAGTTCGATCACTATAACAAAACTGGTTTCTCCGGATTGGAGGCTACGTTGCCAAATTCCTACTGCAACAGCATGCTACAGGTGGCGCCACTTTCGCAAATTCAATCGCCATTTACCATAAAATGTAATGTAATTTGTAGGTGTTGTACTACACGCTATCTCTAAGATCGGCGCTGCTGTCGCATTTGTGCTCGAAAGAGTTCTGCCTGTCGTGCGAATTGGGTTTTCTGTTCCACATGCTGAGCACGTCGTCGCAGAACCAGCCGTGCCAGCCGGGGAATTTCCTGCGGGCGTTCCGGACGGTGCCCGAGGCGTCGGCTCTGAGCTTGATTCTGAGCGATTTGCACCCCGATGCCAAGCAGAAAATCGAATTGTCCGCTCTGATTCAGGTATTACGATGCGCTGCAATTTCGCATGATTCGCCTTTTATTGGAATTTCGAGATTCTAATAAAACGAAAAGTATGTTTACACATATGATTTTATAGACAATTTTTAGAGTTGGAACAGATTTATCTTGCACCAAATGCACGTGGAATTGTCGGAGACTAAAAAGAAGGAAGACAGGAAGGTTAATAAGCGGTTGTTTATCTATAAAGAGACCGATTTTCCCAGCATTTCCGGGGAGTTGTACAAAGACAAAAAGGCGTCAGGTATGTTATACACTCTGTCCCTAGATAGTGTTAACTAAAGGAAGAAAATTGTTGTTTTCAATTTTTGATGAAAAGTTTACATAGTGTACTCTATAGGGTGTTCCTAAACATCGTGTACATCCGAAAGGGGGCGATTCCTTGGCTTATTTTATGACTAAAAGTTCATATAAACATAGATCCGCAAACGCTTCGTTACCTTCGTATCTCAAAAACTGCAGGAGCTCTAAAAAAAAACAAAAAAAAACTTGAAATTTCAACACCCTGTAGATCGTTAACGAAGCGTTTGCGGACCCATGTTTATATGAACTTTTAGTCTTAAAATAAGCCAAGGAATCACCCTTTTCGGATGTACACGATGTTTGGGAACACCCTGTATAGTAAAGTAACTTTAAAGAAAAATGAAAACTTTTTGATTTGTTCCTTTCATCAAACTACATCAATTGATGCACTATATTTAATTTTTAGTATTACTTTAAAATGACCTTTTCTTGTTATAAAAATGTATTTTTTTTGCTTATTTAAGTTTCTTTATTGTATAGGAGACGTAGAAATAAAACTAGACGATGAACAAAGAGAAGAAATATCGGATATTAGCAAACTATTCGGCACCAAGCAATTGCAATTAAACAAATGCCTTAAATGCAACAACGAAGTAAGTAATTATACGATCTAAAAAAATTCGTAAATAATCGTTGATATTTTAGGTAAGAAAAGAATCCACCCTACTGGCTTGCAACCTGAATTACCCGTCGCTCGAACTGGACAAAGACGAATGGAGTTTCTGCGAAATCCTAAAGAGATCCCTCTGTCCCCAACAAACCACCCCGGCGTGGTGCGAAAACTGCTCCAAATTCTCCCCTACGTCCCAACACCGGCTCATACAAGTACGAAAATCTCCACTAAACTACCCTACGATTACATGTACGCAATTTTCCAGTCGCTTCCGAACATCCTATCGATCAACACCGGCCTGCACAACACCCAACACAAGCAGTTCTGGCAAACGCAAATGGACAAAGTCGTCGCCAAGGTATCCAACATGGAGGTCAACAACAGAGCCTCGACTCCCACGCCGCCCGTGCTGGGCTCGTCGAAGCCCTGCCGGTACGGCGACCATTGCTCGAGGCCCGGCTGCCGGTTCAGGCACAGCTTCGACAACGCCGCGCCGGCCCCACCGTCGAAGAATCCCTACTGCAGCAACAACTGGCTGCCTCACAAAGTGCAATTGATACTGAAGAAGGACGAATTGGACATCAGGAAAATCGAAGAGGACAAAGAAGTACGTACGAGTGTTGTTGTTACGGCGCATAGATGACATTAGTATGACAACAGGGTCCTTTCGTTTAGGACTGCTGAGGTGTACGAGATGGTTAGAAGGAAATTGGGGTTAATTTTTCTGTATATAGGGTACAAACTCAATTCGGTTTGAACCTAGGTTCAATTCTGCATCTAAACATACTATACAGTGAGGACCAAAAGTCCGTCGACCCCCCTTTTACTTTTGAATGGTAAGAGCTTTTGTCGCGCAATTTGGGGTGTTCGAGTAAAAATACAATTTTTTGACGTAAAAATGACAGTTGAAACTTTCAAAATGACAGTTAGACGCCATTTTTAATCTTTTTTTCTTATGGAAAGGGGGGTCACAGGAAGTGACACCTCGTTTTAAAGGTAATTTCATCCTTAAGTCAACCCCCAAATTTGAAAACATTTTAATAACGCGTATTCACGTGAAGACCAATTTAAGAATGACCTTACAGATTTAAGAATTAATTCTGAACGTTCTATAAAATGTTTCAAATAATTGTTGTTATGGTTTCTTGGCTCTGACATTTATTTGTCAAATTTAAAGTTGATGAAAGTGACAGTTTTTTCGTTTAAAGGACGAGCCATTGTCACTTTCAACAACTTTAAATTTGACAAATAAATGCCAAGAAACCATAGCAACAATTAATTGACACATTTTATAGTACGTTCAGAATTAATTCTTAAATGTATCAATATGCCCGGGGGTTAAAACTAAATTATTCTTCGCATGAATACGCGTTATTAAAATGTTTTCAAATTTGGGGGTTGACTTAAGAATGAAATTACCTTTAAAACGAGGTGTTACTTGACCCCCCTTTCCATAAGAAAAAAAGATTCAAAATGGCGCCTAACTGTCATTTTGAAAGTTTGAACTGTCATTTTTACGTTAAAAAATAGTATTTTTACTCGAATATAAACACCCCAAATTGCGCGACAAAAGCTCTTACCATTCAAAAGTTAAAGAGGGCTCCGACGGACTTTTGGTTCTAACTGTATAACCGTTTCGATTACATCGTAGAATCCTCCCGTACCGGACGGAAGCGACGTCCAAGCGAAAAAATACGATCTCACAGCCGTCGTGTGCTACATCAACGATCAATCGCTCGCCGAAAAACGGAATTTGGTGGCGCTGGTGCGAGTGCCCGACGCGCACTTGAAAGACAGAGAATGGTACCTGTTCAACGATTTCAGCATCAGCCCGGTATCGTCGCACGAGGCCACGTGGTTCAGTTTGGACTGGAAAGTACCGTGCGTGTTGTACTACTCGTCGCACGCGGCGCTCGACGACGTCTCCGAAGTCAAGCAACGTTTAACCAGGGTAGGATTTCAAGTCAAGGAAGTCAAGAGGCTTCATAAATGGAGTTATTACTGTGTCTTGGTGGCGAAGGGAGTATAAAATTGTAGCGTTTTGTTTGTTTTGCTAGGAGGTTCTTTCGGAGGACACGTCGATAACGGGTGGGGCCAATTCGAGGGGATCGTCTTTCACGCCTTTGCACGATAACGAGGTTTTGAAACCGGGCGATTTGGTGGCGATGGACGCGGAATTTGTGACGTTGAATCAGGAGGAGGCCGAGCTGAGGAGCGACGGGAAAATGTCGACTATAAAGCCTTCGCAGATGTCAGTGGCGAGGATAACGTGCATTCGCGGGTAAATTTAATAATAATCCGGTGTCTTGGGTTGTTTTTTTCATTGGGATTTTGTGGGTTTTAGGTCCGGGAATCTGGAAGGTACGCCGTTTATAGACGATTACATATCCACGCAAGAGCAAGTCGTTGATTATTTAACGAAATTTTCGGGAATTAAACCCGGCGATTTGGACGCGAATTTCAGCTCGAAGCATTTGACTACGTTGAAGTCCACTTACAAGAAGTTGAGATATTTGATCGATATAGGGGTGATTTTCGTCGGGCACGGTCTCAAAAACGATTTTAGGTCAGTTAAACTACAATAATACATCAAAAATTTATTATACAAACCTTGCTATGTTTTCCAGAGTTATCAATTTAGTGGTGCCTCCCGAGCAAGTAATCGACACGGTGCAATTATTCTACCTAGCCCATCACCGGATGGTGTCCCTCCGGTTTCTCGCCTGGCATTTCCTAGGTAAACTTCAGAATTATGTAGATGACATTATCAATTATCGATTGTTGTGTTTTTAGGTATAAAAATCCAATCGGAGACTCACGATTCCGTGGAGGACGCGCGCGCCGCCCTTCAGCTGTACAAGAAGTACAAGCAGCTCGAGGAGCAGAATAAAGTGGGCGAGGCGTTGGCCGAGCTCTACGAAACAGGTAAAAGGTTGAACTGGAAAGTGGCGGAAGATTAACAAAACAAAAACATGGATGAAAACGTCGGCTTGTGAACGGTTTCTTCGTACTGTAAAAAATCGCGAGTTTTTTTGCGGTTGAGAAATTGTCGCAGTCTGACTTGTAGATATTTACAAAATAAAACGCAAAAATATAGATATTAGAAAATTAGCAAATGATATTAATGTCTTGATAGGGAAAGGTGGAAATGCGGGGTTATTGGTAGCCCTGTATATGTCCCACTTGCAAGATCAAAAAGTTTCTATCGCGCATTGAACGAAATTAAGAGATCTATTTTTGAGACGGTTTTTTTGGTTTGTTTGTATTTTGGAATCGAGTCATTGTTGGAAAACTTTTTGTATTTTTAGAGAAGTAATCCGAAGCCGAAAAGTCAATTATATCAAATTTTTAATGCGATTAAATAATTCAAATGCCTTCATGTGCGTAAATTTCGGGTATCAGTTAATTATTATAGGTTTGTTTAAAGTTCATTTTGATATGTTTGTCATTTATAAAGTACCTGTTTTCAAATACTATTTTTGTCTTTATATTTGATTTTTGTAGTTCTAGAATCTCGTGGGATTCCCGTCAATATCCGGTCTTATTTACTAGTCATTTTATACAATATTTTTTTATTTATACATGATAGTTCGTTGCCGATTTTCTTATGTAAAATTCAGCGATATAATTCTCAATTATTTTTAAGGGTATGTTTCTACCGGAGTTTGAAGCTGTACCATTTAATATTATTTCAAGCTCCGGTAAATAAATTGCGCTCATTAAAAATTTGATATAATCGAAATAATTATTCATGTGAAAATATTGATATTACAAATTGCAAGTACAAGTTTTTTTTGTTAAATTGTGCATTTACATGTAGTAATCATTCCACTGTTGTTTATACCTCAGATTCTGTTGAAACAAATTTATTTTTTCTATGGTCAAATTCGTAATAAATTTATAGAAAAAAAAACTAGTGATATTTTTTTAAAACCTATTTCACTTTTTGGAAATTAAAGTGATCGAGATACAAAAGGTAAAATAAAAAAAATATTCGTTTACTTACGTTTATTATGTAAATTTCGCATGAGTTTTATTAACAAAAAAAGTCTTAAACTCATTAATATAATCCAGTAACGTGGGACAGCTATTAATCTATGTATTTTACCTAACTGAAATCAATACATTTTAAGAGCTACAATGAATATGAATATGGTTCGATCAATCGACGTTCACCTAACGTTTTATCGAGAAATTAGTAAAAATTTCGGTTAAATGAAAACGTCGATTGTTGTAAATAATGACAAACATCTATAATCTACTGGCAGTATGAATGAAGAACGATGTGTGTTTGACCGCATGATCTTACTCACTAAACTTGGTTTTCATAGTTAAAAGTAAACATATTTTAAATGTATAGAAAAACTAACAATTTAAATATTCCACAAATTGCATATTACATACTATTCGTAACGAAGAATCACAAAAAATGATACGTTCGAACAGAACATTTCGCGACTCTTATGATACAAAAAGTTAACATAAAACTGTTAATAATAAATAATATTAATACAAAATGTACTATCGATAAACCCAATAAAAGCTCTTCTTCGACATAACATTCTCAGTTCATTAGTAGAAAAATATAATTTTGCCTCTTTTCGACTATTTCAAAATATATTATTTTTGTCCATCTCTTTCTTGTTACACACAAAAAATACGACTTGTCAAGTTGAGCCATTTTCTTAATATGCAATTTTTTTACTAAAAACGAATTATCACAAATAAACTATCACAAAAATTAAAATAGTATGTGTGTATTATAATCCATCTAGAAACCACAAATAAATTCGTAGAAGATATTATTATTAGACGGGACTTTATAATGGATACTAAACAGTAGGATTACAATTCAATGTCCAATAATTCCCAATGATTATAGTTATTATTGACCATTTTATTATCCGAAGAACATTCAAATAGTATTACTAAATAGATTAAATATTGATACATGTTAAAAGTATTGATAAAAAACACCTCTAATTGTAAAAACAAACGGCAAAACGACCATTGCGGAATGTTTTTACCCCGAAATATGAATAATATGCATAGCAAGTAACATTTACACATCCTACGATATTTATGCAATGCGAACGAACGAAACTCCACCATTGAACACGTTATTAACTAATTTCTGTAAAGTTATCGTTCATTCCACCGCGAGCGATATACTATTTCGATCAATACTTGTTAACTTCCAATAAGATAAAAATACACATTTAATTCCAAAAGCGATTATTCTCATCATAAAACTGATAAGAGGACAAACATAAACTAAATAAAAATAAGAAAATATAAAATAACACGAAATTTACACATCAGACCAATAATGATCGAATTAATCTGATATGTAAACGTTATGTTGGCATATTTGATGAGATCATATTTTCGAAGAAAAAAAAATATACAGGGTGTCCTGCTTAAGAACCGAGACAAATCAAGGGCTTGTAGATGAACCCAAAATATAATATTTTAAGATCTCTCCTAAATTTAGCTGTTTTAAGTTTGAAATGCAACTTTCTATTAAGTTAAGCTGTATTAAACAGCAAATTTTAGCCTCCTACACTCCCCTGCTTGCGCCAGTTCTTACTCGGGACACCCTGTACTATTTTTAATCGAGTCGGCGCTAAAAGATGCCGGATCGGTAACAGAACAATCGATCAATCGATGAATCGCCATCCCCGATCAGCGTGCATCGTTATCGAAGCTTTTAACTCGAAAACCAATGATAGAAATAGTAAAAAAAACCAAATTACATGACAATATAATGTCAGTTCTTTTTATACGCGCGGCATTACCGATTTGCCGCGTATTAGAAAGTCTCTTAATTTGACGAATGCCCGCGGCACTGAAAAAGGTCCCGTCGCCGGAACGAGGCCCCCGTTCGACTCGCCTTAGCGAATAACAAATCGAGTCAATGCGATGGGACATTCGATAAGACGGGCCCCGAGACGTTCGAGACACCCTCGCTCCGGCGATAGGAGATGCATACATTCTTTTTTTTATACAATTTTTTTTTTATTTTATCTCAGATGCGTTACCACAGATACAGTTTTCATTTCTAACACAGAATGCTTTGTAAAGAGCTTTAAGGTTTTCGTATATAACTTAAACGATTGCACATTGCACATTGTTCCCTAAAAAGTGGAGATAGAGATGTAAGGGTGGGTGAAGAGACTGTCTCGAGATTGAAGAAATAGAGAGTGCCTTACTATCAAAAGCGATTACAACGGTCATTACATGATTAATTTCACGACATTCAAATACGTTTACGCACCACTGTTATCTAAAACGAGAGATATTATAGCGAAAAACACGAGTTTCATTTTATTTTTCGATTATTTTTTTTTTCTGTACTAGTTCGAACCGGGCTAGTCTTTTGTCCGTTAAATTTTCGTTTGGCCGGCCAGCTAGCTAGGTCCAGTCCAAAAAATTGAAATTATTGTTCAACGTTAATGATAGTCCGTAAGACATCGTCAGTTTGTCTTTTCTCAATCGAAGACGCGAAACCGGCGTCGGCGTCGTTCGGCGTCGGGACGTTCTAGTACTGTCAGTCCCAGCCATTCTCTTTGATCATGTGAGCTAGTTCGATTATGAATTTGCCTTCCTTGTATTTCTGGCTAGATTCGAAGGCGTGTTCCTGCACATCAAAATCAGATAGATTAATATAGAATTTACCAACTTTGGAAATTTTAGAACACGTAAGAGTGCGCAACTTCTACTGCGCATGTAACGAGTCAAGGCGTGTTGATAGCGCTGTTGCCAAATGTTTAATGTTTACATTCTTCATTATTGAGTTTTAGGTTAGGTTAGGCTATTTTATATCATATTAGATTGCTAGTAATTAATTAGATTTTTTAATTGCATTCACATTGATAATTTATAATTAGCAAATAAATGCCAAATGAAACGTAAATAAACTTCAATTAATGAAATTGCGTTAATTAATTAATTCAAATATTTATTCGTTATTAATGAAAATGTTGTAATTTGGAGTAATCGATTTAATTTCCAATTGCTTTTCAATCGAATAATTTACCTTTTCTAACTTTCTCTTAAAACCAATAAAACAATAAATACTCGGCAACAGCGCGTGTCGAAACAGTTCAAAACGTCTCGATTCTTTATAGGCGCAGAAGTAGTTGCGCACTCTTACTGATTCAACTATTAATTATTACCCCCAATTTTTATATTAAATGAACAGATTTTTCTACAGAAGGGTTTTTCTAACAGAAATCAATTACATCAAGCACTACTACGAATGTATTGTCGAGTTGAAACTCCATATTACTGTGAAACCCTTCCGATAAATTAAGAAAAGTCGGTATTCTTGCGGGAAAACGTAGAAGAAAATAAAATACAATTCGAATATACTTACATATTTCCAACCTAAGGTGGTTTTGCAGCATTCGCAGTAAATATCGGCGACTGCATGGAGACCCGTTAGAAGGACTCGTTCTTCGGCGGGACCGCAACCTACGTTCACGCTAGAAGATTAATTATTAATTAATTAAAATCGACGCCATTAGAAAACCACCTAACTTATACGAGTTTGTTTGTATCTGAGTAGGCTATGTGGCTGTCAAATTGTCATCGTCCTGTCAGACCTGTCAACTTTTCACGTTTTAAAACGACCTAATTAATTCACTTACATATTTTTTTCGAGTAGGCTGTATAGCTGTCCTGCAGATCTTTCAAGACATTAGAAAACGACTTTATACACTCATGTTTGTTTGAATATCAGAGTGGTCTATCAGAATCAACCTGTCAAGATCACGAACGTGTTTTCAAATGTCCGAAAATTCGAATTTATACACATATAATTTTTATTAGAGTACGCTGTGTGGCTGTCAAACTGACATCGACCTGTCAGATCTAACTACTTTTAAAGAATACCTAACTACTTGTAAACTTTCAAAGAAACCGAAATTATGGGTACACATATGTAATGTTTTTACCAGAGTAGGTTGTATAGCTGTCAGATCTGTCAATTTTTGGGTAAATAGCTGTCAAAGGACATCGTACTGTAATCAAGTGACCTTTAGAAACGTATCGATTTATTCGATTGCAGTTCTTTCTGTGGTCTTTACACACAAGTACTTACACCGAATTAAATAGATAAGCTCGACCTTGGCTACCTTGGAACGACTGAAACAAAACAAAAATTAGATGTCAATCAATTTTTTTAATGAACAAACTAAAAAATCGTCCAATACAAAGAGGCACTTTTATAGGCATTAATGAGCGTTCGTGCGCATTCGCATGTACACTATACATTCGCGCTTCTTTTGTCATATCTATAATCCACTTACATTGCATAATATCGAGTTACTTCCTGATATAACTAGGTCATATTTTACTTCACAAAATGTACGGCGAATACGCAAACACACAATATGCATTTTCCTACGTACTCTCATCTATGTATTTACTACACACCAGTTTCGATTCACTATATTGACCTTCTACCGAGAGCTGCATAAATAATTCGATTTTACAGGGTGTCCCGCCTAATTAGAACCGATACAGAGAAGGGGAGTGTAGGGGAGCCCCAAAATATGTTATTTAATACTTAAGTTAATAGAAAGTTACATTCCTCAGAAGTTAGAGGCCTTCAAAATGGAGTTACTAATTAAAAAAAAAATAATAAGGCAGTAAAACAAATTTAAAACAACACAATTTCATATACGTTTTAATTGTACCAAGAGCATTAATCGATAGTTAGGAAGAGATCAATTGGTTTATTTAAAGGGTTCATCTGGGGATGATGCCTGTTGGATGATTTACCTGTTGGATGATTCAATAAATTATTAGTCCATTTCATAGGTAATTTCATTATAAAACTTTTTTATTCTTTCTGTTTTTTAAAGTTCTTTTTTCGTTTTAATGAAAAAAACGCTAAAAAATAAAGTCATGTATATTTAGCGAAATCGAAAAGTTAATTAAACAATTCAGGCATTATTAGCCCCCTAATATTCAGACTGTTTTAATTATTACTTCGAATACTTTGTATACGTATTAATCATCAATTAGTTATTTCGTGTATGCAATTAAAATTTGTTAAAGCAATTAACAAATAAATAACGCGTCGCAATTACAGGGAAAAAACGAATTTCCGTGAATCGCAATCGATTGCAATCGGCCATCAACGTTTGCCTGTAGGGCGAATTTGAAATTTTAATTCGCGTTCGAGTTAAAAAGCGACAACAATAGAGCGGGATTCGTTTAAATAAAGGCCGCTTGATGGATAATAAATAGTCAATACATACATCTTGCTTCATTTCAGTTTGCAATATGATCATTTCTATGAGTTAAACAAAGAAAGATTACTTAAATGACAGTTGTCAGAGTGAAAAGTTGCAATGACACAATATCACTCTATCTTGTTCCTTTATCAGTGTCTTTGTTGCACCCATATACAACTTGGTGCATTACAGTTTGCAATATGGTCATTTCTATGAGTTGAACAAAGAAAGATTACTAAAATGAGAGTTGTTGCAGGCAAATTTGCACATACCCATATACAGGGTGCATATATTGTTGCATTTGCGTCTGGTAAGTAAGCGAGTTCGTTGAATGCAATTAGGAATCGCCTTGGAAATATTTACAAATAGTTTCAATTACATAATACGAGCAATAACGATACTGCACAAGGCTGAATGTATAAATAATAATTTAATTGTTAGATACTTATAATAGTAATGCCCTATATTAATGTTTTCTCTTTCATTATATTTTGTAAGACAATAAAATTATTGTTAAAAAATAAATGAACGACCTTCTCAAAAATTTACTACTTTTTACTAAATTTCATCTTTATTATTAGTAGGCCGAGTAAATTATCAATTGAAAAAGAAACAATTTAAAATTGATGCGAAAACGTACATTTGCCAAATTCAATCAACAATATGCATTACATTTAACTGATAAACCAAAATATTTTATCTAATATGCTTTACAATAACATGTATTCAAATAAAATCAATGCGAAATTTTTAAAATATTCTATTTCGAAATTTCCTTCAAACATAACTTGTTCCGCTTTATCTATAGCATGGCAGAAATTATAAGCATCAGTCCCTGTAGCGCAGCGGATAGCGCGTTGGACTTCTAATCCAAAGGTCGTGGGTTCGATCCCCACCAGGGATGCAATGTGGCATACTTTTTTTTACACCGAAAATTGTATTTTTTTTTAATTTCAAACGAAATGTATAATACATTTCTGTTTGATAAATCGCGTAGAATTAAAAAAAAACTCCTAATTTTATTGTTACATCAAAATGTTTAATTTATAAAATACCGAATTAAATACGACGGTCGCTCATTAAAAACCGCTCTTGAGATGTTTTATAGCCGATGAAGGCAATTTTCGAGATTAATCTCGAATTATTATAGCGGCGCTTCCAGTAGGTCAAAAGTGTGCGGGTTTTAATATTGTAATATCCGAGGTGTTTGATTAAGGTCAATAAACCCGAATTGATGAACGCAAATTAACGAAACCATAGCAAAGAATGATAAACATACAAGCCCGATAAATGCTCTCGCTACACTATACGTTTATATGTAAATTGGTATTTATGCAGCTTTCTGTGTGTAACAAATAATGGAAATACACCCCAAAAGATTTTGAAGTGCCGGTCTAGAGTGCGGTCTACCCTAACATTTGCGGTCTACATATTTCGTCGCCCATATTTTGCAAAACTGAAACTCGCAAAACTCATTTGCAGCTTCATTCAATTTTTTTCTATAATATCTCCTACAGTTTTCGAGATCCCTGTACTAATTATTGAAAAAAAAGTCACCCTGTATTATTTCGATTCTCGATAAATTCTCGATAAATTGAATTACCCACACACACTGTTCTATAAATAATACCGGTAGTTTTTTCTCTTGCTTAATGAATAGTAAATTTTCCAAATCTTGCTGTTTTATACTTTGTGTATAATTAATTTGGGTAGACCGCATACCAAACCAGACGCGATAAGGTAGACCGCATACAGACCGGCACCGAAATTGATTTTTTTTTAATTTGAAAGAGAAGTTTACCTTAGAAATGAGTTCATCGTGATTGGCTAAATGAGCCCGGCAATGGATGCACGAATACGTGCGATGGCATTGAGGTAAATAGGCCTGGAACGTCTTGACCATGTTGACTTGGCTGCCACTGCTGCTGGTGCTGCTTGTGGTATTGGCTGCGACGGCAGGCCATGCGGATTTGTCACACCTGGAATTAATTAAACACGTCTTTTTTTCCTCGATTTAAATTCCCCAACAGCGACTTATCAATGAAGCCTCTTAAACTTTGCGTTTGGCTGTTGGCAAACAAAGCGAAAGGCCGCCTCCCCCCCTCTTAGGTATTGATGTATTATTTGTTAATTAAATTAAGTGATAATCGACGATTATTAATTGCTTTCATATATACGCATTATTTTTCACAAAAAATTGAAAACACTCGCAAAAACAAGCGTTGTAAACAAATCGTTGGTTAAAAATAAATTTTCACGCGTAGTATATTTAACGCAAATTGGCTTTCATTCACATTTATTTTCCTCACATGCTGATTGCGCTAACGAAAAGTTTACACTGTTTCGGGATTAGTTCGAAACAAAATTACATGTGTAATTTTATTGAATATGTTTTTCTGCTGCATATAAAAAAAATTAATCGCATTATGTAGAAAAATGTTTGGGCAAATAAATGTCCTTATCGTATTCTAGTTGATATTGTAATTATCTGTGTCACGATAAAACTGTTTTCGAACTCGACTATAAAGTATATTTCCCCAATTGTGTAACGCCTCGAGGATTAATTTGAATGTAAAATTATAATTCGGCCCGTGCATAATGAACAAACAAAGTGTATTTACAAAAATAATTTCTCCTTGAACCGATTGTTACTAATTAAAGCAAATTTTTTTTGTGTTTATCAACATTGTCTTACACACCGTCTGAATATTCTATTGTGTAAATATTTAATCAAGTTTTTTGTATTCCTTTTTTACGCTGTAAATTGCACAAGAACACCAATCTTGGTATCAAACAATAATCGCTCTATTTATTTATTGGTATTCTTGTTTAACAAGCTGCAAGTCATAAAAATTTATAGAAAACACCTACCCTTTAAACACATTACCACATGATGCTAGCACCAAAACAACCTGCAAATGTTTGTGTTAATAAACAAAATAAATTTCATAATTTATACAAAGTGATAGGAAAAAAGCCTAATCAAGCGAGAAGCGTGGGAAGATGCAAAAAAATGTAATTAGGTTGGAGAGAATGAAGGGAAATGTTAAAAAATACATTCAATGCAGTTTTTAAGGGAGAAAATAAGCATGTAAATAAACACGTAGTTAGAATTGACGTAGATACAAAACTGTTGTTATGCTAATTACTGTGTAATGTATAAATTATGGCGAAATGTATTTAACATATTTTTTTACAAAGTTGTATATTGTATTCATTCAGAAAATCATTTACAATTTACACAAGAACCAATTACATACCGGTTTTAATTATACAAATAGACATTGCGCAGTCGAGTTTGATACAAAATTTATTTATCTATTTAACAGCTCAAATAATATACAACATAGAATCAATTAACGGAACGATGTGTTCAAAATTCGGGCCAATAAGATAACCGAAGGAAGCAAGTATTGATATTAGAAAGGCTCTTTTTTCTAAATAAACTTTCAAATGACGTTGTCGGAGAAATAAAATTCTCGAATATGTAAAAGTAAAAACATCATTTTGCAATTGCAAATACGCAATTCAAGCTTATCAAAAAAGAGCGATAAAGTTACTCAAAAAAACACATCTACATAGAAAAAAGCAATCTCAAAATTACGTATAAGTGAATACAAAAAAATGTAAAAACGCCTGTAAAAATTTACCTTATGAAAAACACCCCAAAAAAGTGAGCGATCTCTTTCAAAAGTTTAATAACCCGCGACCAAACAAACCGTTTAATTTCGATAAATTTTTGATTGTACCTTCCACAAAATTCAATCGAGCACACGCACGCACTAATCACCTGCGAAACGCTTTGTTATTTTCGTTTCAATAATGTTTTTATTATTGTTGTTATCGCATCAGCTGTTTCTAAACGAACGCTTGCCCAATGCGCTCGTATTCGCTCGGATTTCGGTTCGAAAAAGCGGGGGGGGGGGACCCCCAAGGACGCCCGTATTTATTTATTCTAATTCGAACGTTTATCGCAATCTCCGCTGCATCGGCGATATTTCCTGGATTTGCGAAATTAGAACGCCGGAATATATCATACGCAATTCGAATATCTCCGGCGACTGCTAAACCGGCGTTTCTGAATATTTTAAGAGTTTAGGTAAATTATGAATTTCTATTATTCGTGCGTACCTCGACGAATGTAGCTTGGCACGTGGAATTGAATTAGATGCGCAAATATTTGGAAAATTTGGTAATTGGAAAACTTGTTTTTACCTTAACTTTTTCCGGGTTTGTATAATGTTACTCAAACACACTTGTCAAAGTTTGGAAAATATGAATATGGTGGTTTTAAATTAATTATTGAGTACTACAGTAGCCTTCTTTGTGGATGTTAATTTGATAAATAATTAAGGAATCAATGTATAAGTTTGTATCTTTTTCTTAATATGTAAGGAATTTTCCTAAAGCGCCTTCTCCTAACTACATAAAAATTCCAACTGCCAAGCTACATTTGGTTAGGTATAGATAACACAATTAAAATAAAGATTCTTCAAATTTCCGAATATTAAGCCACCCTGTAGATGGAGCATTAAAAAGGGTTGGGAATCGAAAGGCCCCAGACGGGTTGTATCGATGGAAATGGCGGTAGACAAAAAAGACCGTTTTCAGGGACGATGAACCGTCGAATTAAGATAAAAAAAGGGAAAACGTGGAAACCGTGGAAAACGGGAAATATTCCCCTGACGCTGTGGCGGCTGCTCCGCCATTTCCATGATGAGAAAACGTAGCCGTTGGGCGCTCGGAAAAAAATTAAAAACCAACTCTAAAAATGCACTTAACGGGAAATCACTCCGCAAATAAATTACCAGCAGCATTTTTAATCGCTCGAAAACCTCAAGTAAAGCGAAAAAAAAAATAAATAACTAGCGAGCAAAAATGATTTCGGTGACGATTCAATTATCGAAATATTCCAACGATTAGTCGACCGGAAAGCGAGATAACCGAATCGCCGGATGATTGGACAAAAAACGCGCGAATTCCGATTTATTTATTCGCCGGGTCCGGGAGGTCGACGTAACCGCCCGGAGACTCCGGTGGAGCCGCCGAAAGTTTGTAGACCCCTATTACCGCATGCACCTTCTGCGCTCCCTTGCGCCCCCTCGCGACGTCTGTTCGTTGAACTCCCGTTTATTAATCTCGACTATCTGGTTAATAATTTAGCGCTCGTTGTTTGTTATTAACGCCTCCGAAATGCGACCGAGCGCCGCATGATTTTCTATATGTTGTTATGTTCAACGGAGCTGGCTGAAATTTTTTGAAAAATCCCGTGTGAATTAATCGATTTGAAGGTATTTTGTTATTTGAATTGATGCTCGATTTTGTACATCGCCTGATTTTGAATGGATGTAAATTGGGCGCGAAAATAATTATAGATTTTTATCTTATAGGTGGGTAATAGGACGTGAAGATTTAAAGGTCCTTTTAATTCGATATGAATTATTAATTTTTATAAGTGGGACTTTAAGATGCGTTCGATGATACACAAACAAAAACTGCCAAAATTGACATTAGTGACATATCGTATGACAGAAGTTTAATAGAGGTGGGAATCAATTCTTCGGTATAAAGGTGCAGTAACAACAGTTACAAAATAAGCGTTATTTTTCACCCAATTTACCTATAGATTCAAAATACCCTTTTTTAACCTATCGGGTAATAAATATATTTTTGCACCGAATATACCACCACCGTTGATTTTATATGACGGCTACATCAAAGCCCAAAAACCTCGATAATGATTTTTTTAAATAGGCTTTTATTTTTGTTTTAATTCCGTTATTAATAACCGGGCGGAAAGCTTGCCAAAAAATACCTGATTCAGAATGCACAAAAATTGAAAATAAATACAAAATTTGCAATCATTAAAATGTCACGATGAATAATTCGCATCGCAAATATTCGAATATAAAAAATGGAATGTCGTTTGGAGGTTGAAAAATGCCAAAATGCTGCTGAAAACAACGTTTACACACCAACTGCAGATTTAAAAAAAATGCAATGTAAACGTATACCGAGCGTGGAGTTTTCGTTATCGGTTATACGGAGACGACGATATGCAAAGTTAATGTGTACACGAAAAATAATCCAAAACGCAATAATTAGAGATAGCAATGTGTTGTTATATGATAAATTATTAAAACACCAGACACACTGGCTTAACAACACGATATTATCGCGCGTTTTTAGACAACAAAGAAACGCGAAATATGCGCAGTTTTCTTTCTAAAACTCCCGTTTTTCCAGTTCGATTTACGTTCCGTAATTATTATTTCAAAATTGCATATGTTTGACGTGAGCTTTATAAAATAGAACGCACGTTTTAACGGCTTATACCGCACGTATACATACATACACAAACCTAATCATATTTATAGTAAAATGTAATCTAAATCGAAAGAGCGGAGCTACAATATAGTGAAATGGGTCAAACGCATAAAGTGATTTATTTCAATTTAAAATAACAACGAACAGAAAGCTTTTATTTAAAAAAGGAATGTATATAGGAAATATGAGATTTAACGTAGAAATTTCACGTAAGAGGCCACTTAAAAAATACGAATCTCTGATTTAATTTCCCTAACGGTACAGTCCAGAATCGGCATATGTAGGTCTAGAGGATAAACAATAGAGTCGATTCAAAGTAGAATGAAGTAGATTCAGAGTGGAGTAAATTCAGAGTGAAGTAGATTCAGGAAAACGTAAAGTAGAGTACCTAGTGAAGATTCAGAGTGGAGTAATGTAGGTAGATTTAAATTAAAGTAGATTCCGAGGAGAGTAAAGTAGAATAGAGTTGGAACAGAGTGGAATAGAGTTGATTCAGAGTAGAATAGAGTAGATTCAGAGAAGAATAGAGTTGATTCAGAGTGGAATAGAGTTGGTTCAGAGTGGAATAGAGTTGGTTCAGAGTAGAATAGACTCAGAGTGCAGTAGATTCAAATTTTAGTTGATTCAGAGTAAAGTACAATCAAAGAAGAGTAAAATAGAGTAGATTCATGAAAACGTAAAGTAGAGTAATATAGAGCAGAGTAGATTCAATGAAAATTAAGTAGAGTGTATGTAGATTCAGAGTAAAGCAATGACGTAGTGTAGATTTAGAGTAAAGTAGAGTAGTGCAGATTTAGAGTAGAACAGTGCTTATGCCAACTTCGTACTGTCAAAATTGCCAACATGAACCATCAAGTGACAGGATATCTTTATTATTGGCTAATAAATTTTTTTTGTCAAATTTACCCACGTCCGTTAGAACGGGCGAATAAAATAAGCGAATTTCCGCCGGTCGGTATACAAAAACGTGGACAAATAATAAACCGATTTTATTATTTAACTTTTCATGATAAAATTGCATGTTCGATTTTTCAATCGAAAAAGGGACTTGCTTAGTTGGTATTCCACGGCACGACCGTCGGCCGTCTATTTTTAGCAAATAACATAGGCAAAAAGGACTCGATATGCACACTTATGTTACACGTATATACAACACGGGCCCCTTCTCGCGTTCGGTTTTCCATCGGCGCGATTTCAGCGGTTTAATAATTTATTTGGAATTACGTGCGGCGAAAATAAGTGTCCCGGATAGAGTTCGGGCCGGGCGGGTAATTGACCTGCAGGCGGTTTTTCGGCCCATGTCCGGGCTCTTCGGAACCGCCATTTCGATTGATCCCATGCATAATCGATTCTTTCTTAATATACAGGGTGTAACGAAAAGATGGGTCATAAATTATACCGCATATTCTGGGGTTAAAGTTAATTGGATTCGACCCTATTTAGCTATATCCAAAATGCCATTTTTTTGGTAACTCCAATGAATCTTAATGATATTTGCTACGATTTTTTTATAACAAGTGCATTTTATCATTCAATTATTTGGGAATCTATAAAACATTGCAATGCGTAATTATTCTACCGTTAGTATCTCACAATGAAACTATTTTAACAACTATCATTATCGACTTTTATAATTGAAAATTTCCCAAAATAAAAGCAACTATTAGAAATTCTTCAAGTCTACTTTATTTGGCTATAATTGATAATAAGTAATTACTTCACTATATCAAGCGAAAACACGACCATAAAACCGCATTTAAACCGTGCAAATACGCAAATAAGTAGGTTTAAAAAAACCGTCCATTATCTCTCTAACTACAAACAAATTATAATAAACGGTTAATGATCTAATTAATTTTTTATGTAACCCTGTTAGTAGGCAATTTAGCAATAATGTGAGGTGTACGAAAGGTCAGAAACAACGGCACACTTCCACGTCTAATGATCACAACATTGAACCGATTTCGAAACAATGTACAATGGATCCAATTATTGCAAGAAGTCATCAGAAAAGTTCCGATTCGCACGAATTACATGGAAAAATAATAAAATATAAAGTATACAGAGTATCTCCTAGGATCTCCTTGGAAAAATCAGTGTTAAATAAAGAAATAATCCATCACAATTGTACATGTTTTCTAATTATTCCAAGTGTACTGCGCCGCTGTAAAAAATAGTAAATATTTCCCGGAGTGCTCTAAGCGCAGCAATCCAATTTTTGCTGTTCGAAAAGAATAAAGGAAAACGTAAAACAGGAATAAATCAAAAGAGACATTCCTATATGTAACCGGAGGTATCTGTAACATCTGATATTTCCAATATATCGCTAAAGGAACATAAAAGTCGCTTAGGGATAAAATAATCCACAGTCTCCATCGAATCCCGGTTATTTTTAATCATCTAATCATTAATTTACGTTTAACGCTAGTTTAATTGGACGTCAATTCATCAATCAAAAACCTGCTTAATTTATTAAACACTTTCGTGAATTGTTACATTGTACGCAATATTTAGCGTGTTATATCATCGAATTTACCGTGTAAAAATCGATGTCTTCGTAGCCGGGCAGATTCCACGCAAACATATATTTCCCAGAAATATAATTCAGTCATTTTTTCACTGCAACTCGAGCATTCACATCCTGCACTTCTGCATTCTCTGGCACACTCTACGTGCAAACAATCCTTTAATTTATAGCTCGCACTGTCACCACCAAATTTATCACACAATAAATTTTTTCATTACATATTAAAAATGTAGCGTCGTTTTTTAATCATCATCTCTCCCTCGACGATTCGTCATTCCTACTTCTTTGAATCCTTTAACGAGCAAACGGTGCAGTGACCCAAAGAAGTAGGAATAACCGCGGAATGAGCCGCAATTGTATTGTGCGGAACATTATTTGTTCTCTCCCTGTAGGCGATTCGCGAAAATATTCGAGCGAAAACAAAGTCTAGGCCGGAGGTGAAGGTTAATACTTCGATCTTGGCGTCTTGCCGATTTTTTACGCGCGATTTTTTTTGTATCGGGATGGAAACAACGAATGGATGGTTTAGCGAGTACAAAACGGCGAAAAAAAAAAAAACATAATGGAAGCGATTTACAATGCCTTTAGAGAAGGATTCCCGGGCAAGTTGAGTTTAGTTGAGCGATTATCGTCTCGTAATTAAATTACCTGCTCAATTAATAACCGCGTGCTATCCAATTACCTGCGCACAGGGTGAAAGTATTAAAAAAAAGGCTCTGTAATTGCACTTTCAAAGTTACCCGTTTATAGAGAGTAGCTAAATTATCTGCACACAGGGTGGAAGTATCAAAATTCCTAATAATTGTACTTTCAAAGTAACCTATTTACAGTGTGCATTCTAATTACTCGTATACAGGGTGGATGCATAAAAAATCCCTATAATTGGACGTTCAATCCCATTTACAGGGTGCGCCAATTTTTAAAAATTCTATAATAATAAGTCACTATAGAATTGTATACAAAAAATTGCCATCGAAATAACAATTTTTCGATACGGAGAGAACGTGGAGAAAAAAAATCACAACTCATTCGAGGAATTCATCGGGCGCTCGGAAATTTTGAAGAATTTCGAAAATATTAACACGGCTGAAAATTCTCGAGCTATTATAATTCGCAGCGGCGAAAAACCCGTACGAGGAATTCGCGAAATAAATATATCGTCGGTGTAATTTTCGAGGAAAACCCCGGTTAATATTTAATAATAATATCGACATTTTCGACGGGGACGGTTGTCAAAGAAAACCCGGCCGGTGCGCTATCGATTGAATGTGGTAAAATAATAACAATAAAACACCATAATCGAGCGCCTTGACCTTACACAGGTTCTCTCGAATTCAACGAATAATTCGTGCACTTCCTATAAAGTATAAAATACGAGACGTGCGGTTATTTTTTTTTAATTGAAATTTATGTACGAAAGGAAACGGTTCGAATTCAGCGCTGTTTATTAGACTCTTGAACTTAGCTAACGTTTCTTATTCGATTGTAAAATTGGGCTGAATAAAAACAACAGTTTTACTCGGTGGGACAGGTCAACAATCTAAAATTGCCCGAAAATCAACTGTAAAAATAAGCGTTTGTTTACACTCGACCGGACGTTGCCGGTTTAAAACGCGAATTGGGAATTTTCTCCTAATTATTTTAGGCACAATTGCGAATATTGTTCATCTGAAACTCTCTAATCGCAACAAGAATGAGGATTACTCCTTTACTTGGAATACGAAATTAAAGTTTGCATCGAAATTCCTTTTAAAATGCCGTAATTCCAATGAATCTACTTGCGAAAGTAAACTTAAATTTTTGTTTACTTTAACATTATTCTAAAAACAGATTACTGCAGAAATGCGATATAGCTGCATTTTGCAGAGTAAAGTCCAATATTCTAGAAAACTTTAACTTGAATTGAAACTCGTGTATACCATGGTGTATTTAAATAAACCAAGTATATTTAAGGGGTGATTCTGTGATGAATCCCTCCCCTACCCTTAAATTTTTTCAGTGTTATTTTGATACACCCTGTAGATTCCTCGTAGATGTTTGTTTTAATATACTCTACATGTGAATTAACGATATATTTACAGAATGAAAATTTGTTAACTTTATTATTCCCTCCAAAACGCAGGTATTTTGGCAAGTAAAATAAAAAAAATCGATTCGAACCGATTTTTTTGAATCGATTTTTTATTTACAATGAAAATTTGCTTGTTCGTCCAAAAAAACGCAGGTGCTTTGGCAAAAAATAGGTAAAGAAATATGGATTCGAACCAATTTTTTTGAATCGATTAATTTTTTTCGATTTTTTGTTTACAATGGAAACTTGTAATCCTTGTTATCTAACTACACTAGTTAGATATTCTCTGCCAAAACTAAGAAGTACTTTGGTAAATACATAATAGGTAAAATAATCGAATATTCTTTGAGTCGATTTTTTTTTTCGAATCGATCAAATCCTAGTCAAAACACGGAAAACCCGTCTCGAGAGGAAAAAGGTCAACACACCATTCCCGGGTCCATTGTTGCGAATCGGTGGATTCCAAACAAAGAAATAGCACCTCTTGTTCCATCCCACACACGTGGATTACGGCGCAGAAACCGAACCGAACCAAAGAACCTACGTAGTGGAAAACCAGATGTGAAAGTCTAACAGCTGACTTCAATAACAAAGGCTGCGAGTATCGAACCTTTTTTTTTCCATTTCGTTTTTCCTTTTCGAATACGCTTCGCTCGCGTTTATCGAATCAAACTCTCTCTCTGTGCAATTTACTTATTGCACATATTCGAGCCTACTCGATTGCCGATCTTTCGCTCAATTTCATAACAACAAAAACAATCTAGTTACCTGTTAATTAATTTTTACGCATGCAGGTTGATGTCTATGCATGTCACTAATAATGATTTTCGCGATAGTTTATGAATAAACGTCCAGCAGGCGACGAAACGCGCAAAACAATAAAATCGACGGAATTAAAGGGTATAAAATGGCAGCAGGACAAGTGCATTTTTCTAACAAAGAAACAAAGCCAAATACGCATCTAAAACAATTGTTCGACTTACCTTAGAAATCATGCGTGTGTGTTGGTGCGTTCGGAGACCGTCAGCAGCTGAATGTCCGCGAATCAACCCCGATTTTCAGTTAAAAACATTAAATAAACAAGGCGATTTTGGCGATATTCAATCTGCACCGAGTCCCGTTTCCTATTCGACACATTCAAAAGCACTGACTGACACTTGGAGGAGAATGGGATGAGGTTCGATCAGCGCCGTAAATAACAAGGAGGGCAGCACTTGTCGAGGTGCGCATTATAAACAAACCCGAAGCGTTGCCAAGTCTCATAATATTCACGAAATCCTCGAAATTACTAAACATATTTTACAAGTTTGAAATGATTAATACGGAGTAATAATTTTATATTGTTATTTTGCTACTTTTTAATAAATATAAGGTGTTATTTATTATTCAATAATGCATTCTTATTTTTTTACTAAGCGTTTAATTATTTTGACACCCTTTTAAATTTTACAAATTGGTCCTCTCAATATGTCATTGATATGTCAATGTCCCTAATGTCATTGTTTAAGTAATCAATTATTATTAAGGCTTTAATAATTTAAATATTTTAATATTATTTTTAAACTTTTAATCGAATTGAAGTATGACAGTCACGACATTTTGAAAAAAGACCTAACTTCACGTGATTGTCATTTATTATATGTTATTTATGTGTTTATTAACAATAGATTCTATAAATACAAATAATTGTAACAGTTTTGTTGTTAAACGAAATTCAAATAAATCTTTGCAAAAAATACACACTGTATTATATCATTTATAACATTTTTGATTTGTACCTAACTTCACGTGATAATGTTACAGTGTTTGTCCCTATCTTGTTCATCTGCTAGAATAAGACAGGACATTACATAGTTACAGTTGCAAGGACATTGTTTAGTAATCAGTAATCACTCTCACCAATCAGTTAGAAAAGTTGTGTTGTGTTGGTGCAGGTGCAAGTTTTTGTTGAATCAAATACTTTTCAAATAACGATTATTTATCAGATTGTTACTCGTACTTATCTCGTATAACTTGACAGTAGGTCGAAGGTATTATTATGTTTTATGTTTTCTATTCGAAATATTTAATTGAATTGTTATGTGCTTTGTGTTTGGGTTTCCCCGACGTAAAATAATGACAATTTGTAAAGCAGCCGATTATCGAGGCGTTGGTGACGATGCGCGGAAAGAATGAGATGTAATTCGATAAAGTTTTTTGATAACTCGGCAATTTTGCCAGAAATAACGCCGATATATCTTTAGAACTAACAGTCATATTCACGGACGGTGTGCTCTAAAAATAAAACTCGAAAACTTTTTGTTTCGCAGATTTGTGAAACCGTCGGTGCATTCACATCGGAAATTTAGGTAGAGCGTTTTAAATTGATAATTTACCTGTTTTTCCAGGTCGCTTCATAGTCGATAATTAGTGATTTCAAAGTTTATTATTTTATCTAACTACAAAATGGAGAATAACATTGAACATGAAATTTGCAATAATTGGTAAGTACTTTTATCTAATCGAACTATTAAGTATAATTCTATTAAATTTCACGTAAAATTGTTTATATATTTTATCTAAAAATATTGATACTAGGGTAGAGGTATGAACAATTAATCTTTTAGGCACAATGTGTGGATAATAAGGAACTTATTTTTAGATGTGATTTGTAAACGTGGAAACTATGTGGGTTAGAATCCAGATTTGCGCGTTTATAAAAACACTAAAAATTAATCCAACTATTTTTTTGCACAACCAATATCCAGACTATATGAAATACAATACACCACACTTCTTATACAATCTACTAACAATGAAACTCCCTTTGTAGCAAAAAAGAAATACCTCAGCCCAACTACGTGATCCACACGATGCACTGCGCGAGGAACATAACGTTGTGCAAAGTTTGCAAGGAGCCCATACCGAAATCCCAGTTTCCCGAACACGAGAAAACCTGCAAGAAATCCGCCATACCGAAGCCCAAGCCCTTGCCGCCTGCTACCAATCTGGAAAAGAGCCAATACTTCCAGACCCGCAAGGCGGTGGAAGACAAAAAAGTCGAGGCCAGAAAGGAGAGGCAAATGCAGAAAATGGACCGACTAGTAGACTCCGGATATTCGTTGAAAGGTTAATAACACCAGCGCAACTACAATTTAATCGACGCGATTTATTTTAGAGAACTCCACGTCTTCGTACTCGAGAGAAAATCGTAATTCGTACAGGGATTCGAGCAGCAACTTCGGCGGAAGCACTTCGGATACTTCCAGAAGGGACAACTCCGATTCGTCTTACAACCCTCGATTTTCCAACGGTTACAGCTCACCGGCTACGAGTAACTCGCCCGTAACCCTCATTAAACCCGATTAAATCGTTCGTCCGTAGATAAAGCGGAGAGGAAACAGGAAAAAGCCGCCTCGCCGCCGCCGCCCCAGGCGAGAAAACCGGAACCCAAGCCCACGGGGATGCTATCGTGCAGATACTGCGACCTGGACCTGCCCAAATTGGAGTTGGACGATCACGAGAACTACTGCGGCACGCGCACCGACAAGTGCCTGGACTGCGGGGAGCTGGTCATGTTCAAAGACAAGCAGGTCCACATGGACTCCACGCACGCGGGCGTCAAACGACGAGGAGGTATTGCTCGCGTTACCCGTTGAATTGTTCGTTACGAATGTTGGTTTAAGGTGATCGAACGGTCAGTTGGGACTCGTCGTCGCAGCGCAACGAAGCGGCGAGCGGGGCTCGCGAGAGACCCGGCAGGGCCATCAGACCGTTCGCGGAGTTCGATTACGATCCCATGCCCTATTTGCCGGCGGCTTATCAGGCGCCGGGCGGCGGGGCCCGCAAAAAGGAAGGCGAAAGTTATAAGGAAATGTCCAGGAGACTCGATTGTAAGTAACGCTGCAAATGTAAGTTTGGCAAAAATTGGCTCTATTACGTTTGGGGTATAAAGGGTTGCCTGCCCGTCAGGCGTAATGGATGCGAATTGTGCCGAATGCAATCTCTTTCGTACGTTTTCTTATCTCTACTTTCATAGGCAAAACGGAATACATTAGAAACATTTTGCACGATTCCGCCGCTATAACGGTGCCATTGAGGAGAAGCGGAACGGCCCCTCGAAATTATTTTTACCACCACGAAAAAGGTTCATAGTGTGTTCGCATGTTTGTTCTAAAGTTCGAATTACCGAGCAGTTTTACTAATGATTTTACTAAAACAGCACCAGTCGCAAAATGCGAAATATCCGAATCGTTTTTTGACCTTTCGCTTTAATTATGGATCTATTAACGTTGTTTCAGTCGCAAGCGAAATTTCGCGTATTGGACATCGGCCAACTTTCGAACCGAACATCGCTTTCGCGTTTTTTCACTCGATGCAGCTTCTAACGATTTTATTTTCTCATTAACCCGGCGCGTCGCGGGCGCTCGTGCGACCTGTAGCATCCGATTTTTCTTGCAGATTTCTCGCTAGCGGGTTCGCAGCCGCCGAGGCACCGGCGCCGCAACCCGCCGACGGAGCTGGTCATCCCCTGCGAGTTCTGCAACGTGCCCATACCGCACGAGGACCTGGTGCAGCACGAGACCGGCTGCCGCCCGGACCTGGCTAGATACAATCCGAGGAGGAGGGCGGCCTCGCCGGATGAGGATTATTATTCGGAACCGGCCAGACAGCCGTCTGTCGATGACGAGGATCTGCCGTGCGAATTTTGCGGGGACATGATACCGGCTTCTCAGTTGATTTCCCATCAAATCAGGTGCACTTGATTCGTTGTTTGTTGGGGGTGTTCTTGATGGTTTTATATAGAACGGATTTATCGCATAATTAGAGCACCCTGTATGGCTTTTTCACCTTTAAATTGGAATTGAACGGTATAGTCCAAATGTCAATTGGCTTGCTTTCAAGCGATAAGTGCCAATTTGAAGTTGAAAAGGTGCAGTTTCTAAAAACTTGTTTACTACCCCTTTTTTCATTTTATAATTTCGTTTTAAATTTATTATAGTTCGGTATTGAGAACATTGTTATATTGTAATTAATGCGGCGAGGCCATTTGTAATGTTGAAGCTCAATAAAGCATATTTACTATTCGAGTTTGCGTTGTTGAATCATTGGATTGGCGAGAAATGAATACTTCCTAAATTTAAAATAAGTTTTATTCACTAAATATCTTTAATATACCTAATGACAAATTTATACTCTTGGACAAAGTAACAGCAATTGTGTAGTGTCAAAAAAAACACTAGTCATTTAAATCTTATCCCTTTTTTTATACAAATTTTAATGTATCGAATTTTTTTACAAAACTCTGCGCAACGATCTGAAAAGTAGCACCGAAAGTTTATTCGATAAAAAAAATATATAACATAAATTGGACAAAAAATTACGATTTAAAACGAACTTTAATCAATTAAATAACGACAATATTGTTAAAAAGTATTAAATATTATTTAAAATGCACAATCACTCACAAATTTCTAAACGACTTATGAACAAAAATGTACAAATTAGTAAAGCGGCTCCCTTTCGAGATCGTCGCAAACAACGGTAATAAAATTTATTCAATAAATAATAGAACGTTACTTTTGTTGTATGAATATATATTTTTTTTTTGTTTTAATTACTTGAAGCTGCAATTTGGGTATTCGCGTTCGTAGGTTGCGGGTTAGTATGTTTGCATTGATTAGGAATCTCCGAACAATCCCTTTGTAGTTCCGAATAACAGTTCGTGCACACCCGCACCGGATTGTAGAGGTGCTCCGACGGCAGCGGAGTGCTGTTCTCCGAGCAATCGGCGCAAAAAATCCTACCGCATTTTCTGCAACAGAACCCAATAGAACCCGAACTCGCGTCCCGCACCGCAACAGAAATCCCCGCAGACTCACCTACAGTGATGCCGCCTCCTGCCCAACCAGAATTCCGTGCTGCAACCGGTACACCTGCTGACGGCGTGATCAGGTACCCATAACGTTCGAGAACAATCCGCGGTCGATCCCTCGTCGACGGCCACCCAAGACAGGTCGGAACGTAACGATTCACCAGCCGCAGAGGCTTGCCCTTCACTAGTACTACACGTCGATTCAACCACGGAATTCTGAAACACAACCCAACGTAACATCATATACCGGGGCGCGTCGTAAAGATACGACCTATCAGAAGTGGCTCGAGATACTAAGCGAGAACGTCCTGTATAACAAGTTCTAAATATCCGTTTTATTCATAGTCCGTTCGCTATGAGGAGATAGTAGTGAAACCATCTAGTTTGTATAGAAAAGCAAAAAAATCCAAAAAGGCGGTCTAATAGTCTGTTTTATTTTAGTATTGCCATTCTGTATACAGGGTGTGTAGTAATATTCGACCCTTCTCTAATCCCAGATAAAGTGACCTGAAGATAATCAACAGTCATGCTACTGGGATATTAAAAGTACTAAAAAGATGTAATAAAATTAATAATTACTTTCTGTGATATTTGAATTGCTACCCTTATTGATCAAATTATTTAAATAGTGCCTATTGTAAGAAGATTTTATTACTTTCTTCCGATAGCGAACAGAGTATAATTCTCGAAACACTTCTAACGGGTCATCATTTGGACACACCCTGTATATTTTTAATTCGTCTAACAACGATCATCGAATTTTGATTAAGGCCGTTTTCGCAACGGTTTATTCAAAATTGCAACGATGAAAGCGTGATGATAACAAAATAATGATACGTTATACGAACACAACGAAAACAACGAAATAAATAATAATGCTCACCTTAATTAGTGCGTTTTATTAAAAAAAAGGGAAAAGATAAACCTTTCGACACCCCCTTCGTTTTTAAAAACTTTCTAATTTATCTGACAAGTACGCACGTTCAAGCAACGTTTTCGTTCGATACTCTAAAAAATTAATGATAGGATTTTTTTTTAGTTCGCTTTCTCGATCGGACGTCTCTATAATCTTCAACAAAAAACGGAAAAAAATATCACATTCGTTCAGCGAGTACAAGAAATATCTCCTCCTGCAACGTCAATCAAAATTAAAGGCACATTCGGCGTACTCGAGCCCGTCCTAAACACCCAAATTTTGAAAAAAAAAAAATAATAAAATAACAAAATGATGATGAACGTTATGCTCGCATCACATTTAAAACGTACAGTGTGATGCAAACATATTTTTTTTTCTAAAAGTACTCGATCGAGGATCATAAATAATATACCACAAGTTTGTTACTAGATAGTAACATACACTATTTTATCTACAGTAGATTATAGGTATACATTTATGATCCTCATGCCCGTATTCAGAAGTTTATATTAGAATAATACATGTCGGTTATATAAAATTTAACCGACCGGTTATATCATAACGGTTGATTATAGTAACCGTTTGGTGTCCCTATATAATCAACCGTAAGAAGCAAAATAATATTCAAAATTCGGCCGGTTTTGTAACCAAGGGCTTCTGAATATTGGTTGAAATATTACAGTCGGTAATATACGTATAATCGGTTGGTTACAAAATCATTTGATTAGACGAAACATCTGAATACGGGCGTTAGAAATACAAAAATTGAAACTTACATTATCATCTTGTCGATCACAGTCAATATGGTTGCATCTAAGGCGCGATTGCTTAATCAGATTTTGCCTTGTTATGTGCAACTCCTTCTCAAGCATCTCCATTTTTCTCTAAAAAAAAAAAAAACAATCCGGATTAGGAATTCGATTAGCAAGTAACAGGAATCGGTTTACTCACAGTATTTTCTTCGATAATTTGATTCAGCCTTTCTTGTACAACAGACCTGAGGACGACCAAACCGTCGTCTCCGAGCGGATACTGGTAGGCGTAAATGTTCTGTTGCTGCGTCAAATTGTGCAGGGAATTGTCCCAGCCGTTGCTGGCCGTCGTCAAATGCGGCGAATTCGAATATTTCGAACTGTCCCTATCTTGGCTAATTGTCGCGTTGCCGTTACACCTGTTACTGGTCGAACATAAACTTTAAAAAATACGTATGATTTATGATCTCCTTTGTACAGGGTGTTAATTAATTGTATGCCGATACTTCAGGATGTGAATGTTTGGATGATTTTAAGAGGAAACGTTTATATCATTGTACGTCCTAAACCTCTTAGTTTTCGAGCTACAGGGTGTTAAAATTTTAGAAAAAAAATAACTTATCTATCATAATTTTCTTATTACGGCAGATATCTTACCTCTCAAAACCCACCAAATTTCATTTAAATATCTCGTCAGGTTCCAGAGAAATACAGAAATAAAGAAACTTTAACACCCCGTATCTCAAAAAAGGAAGCATTTGCGGATATATGTTTATATAGCAAAATATCATTATTTTCTCATGCAGAATCACCCCCCGATGTTTGTCGCACTTATCAATTAACACCCTGTATACACGCTATGGTATTATTACACTCCGTTCGCTATCGGGAGATAGTCGTAAAAACGTTCTTCAAAAATTATACATTTCGTTGAAACTCTCTCTTGCATTGCTATCTCCCGATGGCGAACGGAGTATTATAATTAGAGCTTGGAAAATATGCACTAAAAAATGGCAAAATATGCATGCAAATGTGCACTAAAAACCTTCAAAATATGCATTTATATGCTTTGATGCTCGATGAAAAAAATTAGAAACAACCAAATATTAAATATTTTTTTTTAAATTTTTATTAAAATAAAAAGACATACACATACAATGCCATCAGACTATTATTAAAATCTACACAATAGAACATTAGAAGAATGCTTCAGAATCATTTAGAACCATTTAGAATGCTTAAAATTCATTTAGAACTGTCTAGAACGATTTAGGACGCTCCATAATCAATTACAACGCTCCAGAATCACTTAGAACTGCCTATAACCATTCAGAACGCTCCAGAATCATTTAGAACTGTCTACAACCATTTAGAACGCCCCATAACCGTTCACAACAATCCAGAATGACGTAGAACGCTCCAAAATCATTTAGAACTATCTAGAACGCTCCATGGTCGTTTAGAACAATTTTTTAAGCACTTTCCATGCATCTTGCATATTTTCCACGCCCTAATTTACAAACTAGAAATCAACACTCACGTGCAAACGTTCTCGTCGCCCACGAGCGTCTCAGTACTGGTCTCGTTCGATCGTTCCATATCTAAAAAAGCCTCGACGACGTCGACCGACGCCGACGCCGCCGCCGTCGCAGCCGCCGCCGCCGGCGCGCTCGCACTCTCACCGTTCGCAACGTCTCTATCCGTACCGTTACAGCGCGGCGAAAAAGTCTCGTCGTCTCCCCCGCTATTATGATTTATATCACCGTTACTGCGCGCCGGCTCTCCTTCGCCCGTTCGCTCCGAACCGTTCTCTTCGGCCGCTTCGGCTACATCGTTGAAGGGCAGAACGCCGTCGTCGGCGATCGGTTTCGGTCGATCGCGGCGCAGTTCGAGCCGTTCGACGAAGTCCGACGCCTCCAGGCCGATCTTGCCGGCGTCGACGGCGTCGCCGTTGAACATGCAATCCTGGTTGCAATCGCCGTCGTCCAGATAGTTGGAGAGGAAGTTCTGCTGGTTGGAGTTCAGGTGATCGGGATCGTTCGACATCAGCGTTGCCAGTTTCCTGTGGAATTTGCATCGGACGGAGTTAATAAAAGAGGGTTAGATGAGGGTCGATTTTATAGCGAAACGTTGGAGTGTTTGCTTTAAGAGAATGAGGCTTTAAGATAAAGTGTGCTTTAAGGGGCGATTTCATAATAAAGCGCTAAAGTATCTCCTTTAACAAAAGATTGTTCACCTGTGCAGTACAATTTGCGCAGATTTACCCTCTTCACAACACTACAAACACTACCAGTATCTTTATTTCGATGCTATTTTTTTTAGCGAATACTTACGGATCGCATTTGATGTTGGGATCGCTGGATCGCCGATAGTGAAACGAGCAGTTCTCGCCGTCGTTGATCAAATCGCCGTACGATCGGGTCTTCGTCATGTAACTGGGCGACGATTCGCGCGTGTCCGGATAGAAATTGGAGCACTCCTCGATGTTGCCGTCCTCCTCGATCGAGCCCAAATACAAGTCGCCCCAGAACCACAAATCTCTGATGTTGCATTGAGGCCATAACACCTAAAAAGCGAGACGATTAATTCGAGTCGATGTGGAGATTAGAGCGAGTTACTCACCCGCCTGTTGAAGGCGCCGGAACTACCCGAATACAAATTGTTCCTGAAACACGGCGAATTCAGAAAATCCCAGATGGCGAACGTTTTCCCGTAGACGATCTTCGATCGCTCCCTTTGCGTGTTGCACAGGAACGTTCCGAACAAATTCGAATAGACGTGCTGGACCAGTTTCACCTTAAAAACAAATTGCACGATTCGTTCACGAATTTCCTATTTTTTTTACTAATTTGACAACAGCGCAATGACGTTCTGATACTGCACATACACTGTGCTTCATTCCAGATCGCAACAAAGGTTATATAGGCTGTAGGTGCGATAGATACAACTTCAATTAGACATTTATAAAGGAAAAAGAAAGAGTGAGATTTGTGCCATTGCAACTTTTCACTCTGACAACTGTTATTTTATTAATCTTTCTTTGTTCAACTCATAGAAACGACCATGTTGCTGTCTGAATCGAAGCGATCTGTATAGTACCGAGGTATCTTACCAAGTACAGTTCGGAGAATTCAAATGCGCACGGGAATTGCACTTGCAGCTGATGCACGCAGTCCAACCACTGCAAGAACACGGGACATCTCTCGTTCTGATCGTCGCTGCCCGACGAATGGCCGCATCTGTCGGCGAATTTGTGCCCGAACGCCAGCCATTCTCGCTCGATTAATATACGAAAACCCTGAGAAAATATCCCGAATTAAAAACCACCTTCAATTACTGTATAAATTCGGAAGATTTCACACCCCGTTCGAGACCAGGAGATACTAATAAAACCTTCTTGAAGAAGTATATTTAAAGAAACAGAATAAAAGTAGGCATTAGTGAATTATTAGACCGTATTTATAAAAAGAAGCACAACCTTTTGCTGCAAAAAATGAAGGAATTGCTTCAAGGTATATGAGTAAAAAGAAGAGAAGGAAGAGAGGTTGCTTTAAAGCAAAAGGTTTTATGGTTTTAAAATCTTTGTATAAGGTTTTAGAACCTTCTTCTCTTATTTTTTGCTTCTATCTTTTACTTCAAAGTAAATGCTTCATTTTAATAAATATGAAATAATCATTTGATACAAAACTAACAAGTACCTGTATAGTACAAGAGCTGGGCGATTCGGATATCTCAATGACAGGAGTATGAATAAAGAAATGTAGAGGTACTTACGTCTATGGTACGGTAATAGGGATCGAGCATGAGCTCGCCCAATGCGACGATTTGCGGCGTCCTGTCCCAGCCGTCGGAGCAATGCACCAGCACCGGCCTGGCGTCGCGTTCCACCGCGGCGACCAGCGTCACCGCCGCCTTCATCAGGCCGGACATGTGCGCCAGCCAGCGCGTGCCTTCCAATTGACTGAACCAGCTGGAAAACGTCCATGAAAATAAAAATGAGTTTATACTATTTAGTTTTTTTTACTAATATAGTTCATTCGGGTCGCGCTTTAATCAGAACGATATTCGAAAAGTAACGGTTATTTTGTAACAGTCGTTACTGCACCTCTATACCAAAAAAATGATTCCCATCTCTATTAACTTCTGTCGTACGAAATGTCAATAACGACAATTTTGACAGTTTGTGTTTCTGTGTCATCGAACCACGGCCGTATATTTCTAAGGTCTGGAAATAGGCTATGCTTATGCATTAGAGAATTTTTCCCGTTAATCGAGGACTTTTTGAATTTCACTATTGCGCTGCACCGTGGCGAACGATTGGAGGACCAACTTATCCCAGCCAATCAGCGTCGCGCTGCATATAAATCGCGGTTGTGTGAAACGACAGTTCAAGCTGTCAAAACTTGAAAAAATATTTTTTGACATTTCGAGGAGAAAATGGAGAAATACATTAACCGAAGATACGTGAGGCATGATGTTAACAACAAAATCATCGCTGATTTAAGTAAATTTTGTATCTATTTTTAGTTTGAATATAACCTTTCTTAATGCTAATTTTATATAATTCGTACGCAAAACACCGTCATTTACAACATCGCCTCCTAGCGGACGTTTTAGGAAATTACGGCCGTGGTATCATCGAACGCATCTTAAAATCCCACTTTACTAGTAATCGTAGAGTAGAACCAAATAAAACAGTGAATATAGTGGAAAAGAACTATTCGTGGTTATTTTGGTCATTGCGATGTGTTACTCACTTGGGTTGATCGCCGCCGGGATACGAGCAAAGCTGTCGTAAAGCGTGAAAACTCTTGCGGATGGAATGTATGTTGGCGAGGTTCATAAATTGTATATCGCAGTTCGGATAGTATTCCGGGTACTCGCAACCGCCGCCTCTCGCTCTATTAGCAACGGCCGTCGTGTAAGATCTGGCGTCCATTATTAAGAACTAAAAAAATAAAATAAAAATAAAATTACACCTTCTAACCACCCGTATCTCTCGCGTTTAGCTACCTTCTTCTCCGAATTAACGACGTTATTGGTGATTTGCAGCGACTCGTCCGAGTGGTAAGAGGCCGGCGAGTGGGACAGGTTCGAGTCCTTGTCGACTTTGTCGAAGTGCTTGAAGGACCGGTCGAAGTTGCACGCCTCCGATATGGCCTTGATGAGGTCCTCGTCTTCTCCGGATCGCCAGCCGAACCAGCCCACCTCCGGCTGGCTGGATCGCACGATGACGGCGCCGTTCCGGGCGTGCCTGTACGCGTAATTTTTACGTTTATTTTCGTGTACATTGTTTGCGAATTAAAAAACGATACGTTGACCTGGACGTGTGCGATTTGGACGCGTGCCATTGCGAAAATTTGCGTTGGCTGTACAGTCCAAGCGGCCGAGGACAGAAAAAAAAAACTTATTTAGTAAACGTACCTCCAAACCACGGCGGGTATTCTTCGAGAGCTTCGAAATTTCGCGACGCTCTCCAGCATGTCGTCGTTGATAGACGACGGGACGAGCAGGTAAGGGGGATAGGTCGGGCAGAATTTGTAATTCTCATTCACTTTGGATATCCTCCACGAGTGGCCTTGGAAACCCAGGCGACACATCTGAAAGCGAGTAAAAGGAATTATTTTTTAAGCTATTAAACTGTTGAAAAGAGGGTAGGAATGCTTAGGAAGATGTACGAAGGGATAGAGTATGAAATGTATTAGGTTAACTTTTGAACTATTTGCGGAGAGAAGACCGGGGGAAAAATTACCTCGTTCTCGAATAATCGCCTGTCGAAGGTGTAGTGTCTTTGATTTTCCAAACGCAACAGCACGTCCTCGCCGCCTCTTTCCTTCGACCATATGCAATGGTAAAATGCGAATAATTGCTCCAATTGACGTGGCGGCTCCGCAGCCTTCAATATGCGATCGTACCAAAGCTGGCATTTTTCGTTATTCTCAAAAGTGCAACTACAAAAAAGCAAAAAACAAAAATTGTAGGGTAGTTGTAAAATATTTACGAAAACAAAACCATTTTTTATCGAATTATAAGTCAATCATTCCGTAATCAATCCTACTTCTTTGTTCTGCATCCCATTTGATTATTACAGTATAATTATTGTACAATATTGGCTAATAATTCCATATTTAACTCGAAAACTCCAATTATTATCCTACATATTTTTAAAATAACAAATAATTACTCGAACATATCTAAATTTTGTAATCATCTCAAAATTGGTACAAATATTTACAAAACAAAACCATTTTTTAGCGAATTATTAGTCAATCATTCTGTGATCAATCGTACTTCTTTCTCATTCAAATAAATTACATATTTATATACCGAATGATAAAGAACTTCATTCGAACATCCAACCATATTCAAATCAGCGAATTCACCCAATTCCCACAAATAATCCTATTTATAAACTCAACAAAAACCTCAAAAACAAATTAATCTAACCATTAATATTAAATATAGATCCATATCAAACGCATAATACACTAATATCCCATAACATCGAAACCCAACCAACCTGCCCTAGTATTACAATAAACGAACTAACAGATAGTACTAGTACAAGTAGGGCTAGCGGTACTCACAGATATGTCCGGGCGTCTTTGCAGCCGATGTGCAAATTGAACAGCTCCCTGATTTCGACGAATTCGATGAGCGAAATGGGAATATGATGTGGCCTGTTCCTGCTCAGCAAATAGAGCCGGTAGTTGGTGACCACCACCAGGCCGTCGACGGAGTCGCCGGAGTCGAGGACGGTCTCGCCGGCCAGCAGATTGAAGGGGACATCTTTGACGTTCGACGGTTGCAGGGGGTACATGTGGATCGACTGGACGTGACATATGGAGTTCGGCTGGTCTTGGGTATCCATTCTGCAACCAGAAGCCGTCTAATGAGATGGTTACGAACGCGGTAAAAATCGTGTGTGGTAAACTACAAAAAAATAATACGATTCACCTTGACCCGAGTCCACTCTAATGAATTTTGCAGGAAATTATTTGCTGAATCAAAATAATTGCGTTCGGATATGTCGTACCCTTCGTTGATGCATTCTTTTTATAGATTTCATTGAATTGATTCATTCGAAGAGTGTCGATAGAAATGGAAAATACTGATATGATAAACCTCGGAGAGTGAAATTGTTCATTGCACGCTAGGAAATTTTTTAACAAGTCAATTGAAGCCATTGACATACTTTCTTTCTTAATGTAACGGACATTTCGAAAATATTTTTATAATTGTTATATTTAGAATATTTTATCTAAATGAATTCCAGCGCTTAGGCACGAAGGCGAGTTAAAAAAGGTGAAATTTTACAACAAAATTACTAGTATACGAGTCAAAAATTCCATTGATATGATGGCCTTTTACCAGTTTAATATCTCACATTAATACATTATATTTTCGGATTGTTACACAATAAAAAAGAGTAAATAAAGATAAGTGTGGTATACAGGGTGTTTATTAATCATTCGTTACCTTGGGATTCCCTAATAAGCATATTAAAAATCTCATTATGACCATATTTTACACATTGTATTTGTTTTCAACCCACAATTTAGGAGATGATTTTTATAAGCACTAATAATTTGTTTTTTTTTCATCTATTCCAACTTTCTCACAATTATTATTATCCTCCATAAGTTTTTGTAACGTAAAATACTCAAGGTTGTGTTCCTTAATGATATTATACCAAGCAATTTAAAACTGATCTTTTCCAAATAAAATGATTGTGAGTACTCGTAACATTATCATTACGAAACTACAGGCATCATTTAACTATTTCGTAGAGAATTTTCTTTAGTGTATATCGAAGATTAGAGATAATTAAGAAGAAAATATTGCTGGATGTTTAAAGTAACTGCTACATATCCAAAAAAATAATGTTATTTTCTACCAGTTAAAAATAGATTATTACAGGTCAGTTAAATGATATGTGTGTATTAAAACCCTTCCAAAATAGTTTGACCCTAATTTATCGAATCAATAAGAAAACAATTTTTTTGTACGTACGCCACAAAAATACAATAAATATCGCTCGAGATTCCCAGGTTTACTAATAACAATTTATCGATATTTCATGAATATTAGCATAGAAAAAAATTAGAAAATTAGTCACAACGAAACATTACTCACCGCGTGCAATTGAACCAACATTAATTTGCAAAATAAAACGGAAATGTATACCAAAAACCTCGAAAACCTGCTCTAATAAACCAGAAAAAAAGCGTAAAAGAACCGTTTCAAATTCTACCGATAGCGTTTAAATAGATAATTATTGTTAAAAAATGTGGACAAGAGTGAAAGCTGTATTGAGGAAGAGATTTCCAGGTGGGATTTCACTTTTATCAGAGGCCCCACTTCCGATCGGTCTAGACTTTAGAAATTCGGGGCGTCTCCGAGTTTGCCCTTGTGACCATGAATGATACCGAGAATGCAGATGGAATAATTAAAAATTACTCCGTTACGATACCGCGGCTCCGGAATCGAAGTTATCGCTTATTTTCACATAATGCTGACATTGAAATGTAATTAAACGCTTCCAAATTGACAAGCTGAACGGAAAAAAGTTGTAGATGTAAGGAATGCAAACGTCCTTAAGAAAACTATGTCATATGCAATGTGACCGATCTACGGCGACGAATTGCGTTTACTCACTTTGTTTTCACTGTAATAATATGTAATCAGACATTAGAATTAGAAGAAAACACCATTTTTATCACAAAAGATCGAAAGATAGCGAAAAATAATTAATAAACATCAATCACGTCGCACGTCACTTGGAGAAATGTCAAATGCAACTGACACATGTCATTAACAGGATGCTAACAAAATGACACGGAACCGATTTATTTGCACCACAGAACGATAATTTCAACGTTGGCACAACTGTCACAACAACGCAAATTATTATATTATAACAATAATCCCCAAGAGGGCGACTGTGTTGAATGCGATTTTTCTTATTTACCTGCGACTACTGCTTCTTACATATTGAGTTATATGGATAATTAACTTTGAAATAAACTAACAATACAAATGAAAATGATTGAACTATTGTTGACGGATTTATTCCTTCAATTAGTGTACTCTACGTTCATATCATTACACCGGTGTAGTTTACTGTCATGTGTTGATCTCTCCTGGTATTTAATTGGACGAGAATTGAATCTTGCTGACGTAAAAACAAAGTTGTTTTGTAATTGGTGGAAACAACCAGTGGCTGGTTTCTTGCTACAGCTATCTTCTTTTTACCATTTAATAATTAGATTCTGCGCAGAGACTCGAGATCAAAGTCGCCATATTGGTAACTGTCTAATTCGGAAATTTAAGTAAGTAAATATAGGATTATCCACGTATTACCTTAATTTTTCAACTAATTTTTGGTAAATTCGCTTCTACGCTCAATCATTCGTAAGTAAATCTATAATATTGTTATTTGTTATTAATTTTGTGCGCGAGAAACACTTGAATATTTTTTCGAGTTGTTGCATAAAATTCACACAATAGTAATCACAAAAATTTTTCGTGTAAAAAGAGCAGGCAGTCTGCAATCAGTACGTTCGTTTCGTATTGCAAAATTAGAGACTTGACATCGTACGATTGGCGAAAAAAATTAACTTTTCCTTCGGACATTCCAATTAAAATTTACTTTGCTACATGGCAAGATTTGACAGATGTTCCAATTTTTTGACGTTTATCTTCTTCTAACGTTAAATAGAATCGAGGAAAACAGTTAACTTTAGTTTTAAGTCGTGCGAGTACGTATAATTTACCATTAAATCTAATCACGCTGATTATCAATCTGTTGGTTGTTTTAAATATAATGGGGAATTAGTAACAAAGACAGTTCCAGGAAGTTGGTGATAAATTACCTACGTATATATATACGTTTCGATCTCGAGATTGCGATACCAATTTGTGTCGTATGTTGCAGGCAAACAATTCAAAAGAAGTGTTTTACTTCGAAAAAGCAACCATTGCTGGAACTACAAAGATGTCAGTATTAAATCAAAGTGGAGAGGAGCAGGTGGAGTGCCCATTGTGCATGGAACCGCTGGAGGTTGATGATCTAACGTTCTTTCCTTGTACCTGTGGTTATCAGGTAAATTTTCACCAGCTAATATCATTATGGCCTTTTTCGATTCGAATATATTTATCTGTCAATTAGCATATTTCCAATAAATTTGTAATGTTGATTAAATTCTATAAACAAATATTGTTAACGTTACACCTAGTAATGTTTTTGGTGTTTCTGGAATTTGATCTATTTCGATGTTATATTCGATATTTAGATGATATTAAAACCTTTCAGATTATACTCGAGAAACTTTCTATCGATAGTTGAGTTGAACTTTGAAATCTTGTACATATTAACATTGTCTAATAGAAAGGAGTGTTTGGTTGCATTTAAATAATCGATTCGAGAATTCTCTTATGGGAAATTAAATTAAATTACTTTAATTTGTCATTAAGAAGCTCCAATATTGTTTGTTGTGATTACCATTTAAATTGTTAGTATCACACAAACATTTTCTTATCAAAAATAGGCTTGTTTATCAACAATCAGGGGCTACAGAAATCCCAAATTCATAATGATATTCCAATTATCTAGTTAAGTATATAAAATAATATTTTTTTGGTTTGCTGAGTAAATAATTTTGATTTATTTTGAAGAATAAACAATAGGCAATTAGAAATGTTGTGTGTAATTTATTAGTGCACAAATGGTGGAATTGATTCAAACAATTAGAGCACTATAAATTACTGGTTTTTTTTTGGCACAAGTTTCCGTATAAACGCTTAAATATAAATTGCACAAATGAGTGTTAGAATTTATTTTGAAGGCGATATTTATTTGTTCATATACACTATGATACTTGCCATATTTGCGGACAAATTCATTTTTTAACGTGAGTAATGCATATTAACGAATTAATAATCATTTTTTGCAGATTTGCCGATTCTGCTGGCATCGCATTCGTACCGACGAAAATGGACTGTGTCCCGCTTGTCGCAAGGCTTATTCGGAGGATCCGGCCGACTTTATTCCATTATCTCAGGAACAGGTAAAAATCGGTTCCTAACGTAAGTAAGTTAAGTCTTTTGTTGCTAGAGGAAAGAAACTGCCCCCGTCCGATTGCAATAATCGAGCTTATTAAACGCATGTGGTATTGTGCATTGATGTGAAGTTATACAGGGTGTAATTAATGCAATGTACTTATTTTAACGGGTGATTCTTAGGCTAATTTTGAGTCGAAAAGTTCATATAAAGATATGTCCCCTGAAGCTCGGTTTTTGATATACCTGCAGGGTTGTAATTTTATTTTGAAGATTTGAAAAACCGTTTGCGATATTACATTATTGAATTCTAGGTTAACAAATTATGGTTTAAATACGTATGTACCATATCTATGTGCATAAAATGTCGACTTATTATGAATTTAGGTAAGTAGAAAGTTTTTGGTGTGATGTTTTAGATGTAACCACTAGAGTTTGTAATTATTTTCTTTAAAATGATGAAGTTCTATGGTAAAAACGCAAAAACTTTTTGTTTAAAATGAAATGGTTATCAATAATTTTTAAAGAAAGTTTCTAAAAACCAGTGGAGTACTACTTTTGTAGATAAAATTGTACCAAGACCTACCCATATTTACGCCACTGGTTAAAATAAAAATTATTTTCTGTTTAAAAAATGCGTATTGATACTATAATATGTTATCCTAGAATTCAGTGTAATATCGCAAACGGTTTTTCAAATTTATGAGAAAAACCTAAATAAAAATAAAACTTTATAACTCCTATATATCGAAAACCGAGCTTCGGAGGACATATCTTTACATGAACTTTTCGCCTCAAAATTAGCCCAAGAATCACCCGTTAAAATAAGTACATTGCACTAATTAACATCCTGTATATGTGTTTAGATATCGAAGTTGAAGGCGGAGAAGCGCCAGCGCGACCAGCAGCGCAAGGCGAAGCTGACAGAGAGCAGAAAACATTTGGCCAGCGTGAGGGTGGTGCAACGCAATTTGGTGTTTGTGGTGGGATTGCCGATGCGACTGGCCGATCCGGAGGTGCTCAAGCGTCACGAGTACTTTGGAAAGTTCGGCAAGATACACAAAGTGGTGATCAACCAGTCGACTGCGTACGCCGGCTCTCAGGGGCCCAGTGCAAGTAATTACACCGGTGAATGTTCGTTGTAATTGGAGATTAATGTTGTGTGAATTTTTTTTGCCGTAGGTGCCTATGTAACTTACATGAAAAGTGATGATGCTTTAAGGGCCATTCAAAGTGTCAATAATATTACTATAGAGGGTAGGGTGATTAAATCGAGTTTAGGTACTACGAAATATTGTTCACACTTTATGAAAAATCAGACTTGTCCCAAGCCCGATTGTATGTACCTTCACGATTATGGTGAGTAAACACAAACACGCATCTTTATAAACTATACAGAATGGATCATTTACGGAACTTTACACTTATAGAGAGTTGGGTAATGCACTTGAAACGTGTTCTGAAATCATCCCAAAAAAGGCTCTTAAAAGCCACCTAAAAACCACTCTAAAACAGCTTAAAAGTATGGTTGAAAACTATCCCAAAAACTGCTCTAATACGGCTCCAGAATCGCTCCGAATCCACCCCAAAACCCTGTCTAAAACGGCTTCAAAATCGCTTCAAATTGATTCCAAATATGGTTCAAAACTACCCCTAAAACAGATAGAGAATGGCTCTAAATCCATCCCAAAAACCACTCTAAAACAGCTTCAGAATCGCTTTAAATATGGTTTAAAACCACCCCAAAATAAGCTCAAAAACGGCTCGAGAATCGCTCCAAACTCACTCCAAAAATCACTAAAACACCTTCAAACTCGCTCTAAATCAACTCTAAATATGGCTGAAACCCGAACCAGCTCTAAAAAAATTATAAATACATTTTAAAATCTCTTCAAAACTGGTTTAAAACAACTCTCAACGAAGAAGTTTCCACATTTTTATACGATTTCTAATTTGTAATAAATTATAAAAGTAGGTAATTACCAATTCCTTTTTTATAACAAGTCATCACAGTTGTAACTACCTAATTACTTTTTAATGCTTACTTTGTAATTGTAATTAATTCCATTTTTTTTATAAAACTACTTTTTAATTCCAATTATTCAAACGCTACAAGGAATTACCCGGCTCTCCGCTCTTACATTAAAAAAAAAACACACACACACACACCAACAACGATGAATAAAATTATCGTATGTACCGTCAATCCTGACACTACACCTTAATAGTTCGCTTATTTCCTCCAAGGAGATCCGGAGGCGAGCTTCACCAAGGAACAGATGCACGCCGGCAAGCACCAGGAGTACGAGAAGAAGCTGCACGAGAACCTGCTGCTGCGCACCGCCAACAACAACAACGCCGCCGGCCAAGCGGACGGCGGCCCGGCGGCGTCGGCCAAATCGGCCATTCCCATACCCAAATCGTCGTCGAAGGAGAACGTCGGCGCGCCGCTGTCGAGCAGCGTCAGCAGCAGTTCCAGCACGACGTCCAACAGCAGCGGCACCAACAAGGAGAATTGGCCGAACTTGAACAACGGCGACAAGGAGAAGAAGGATAAGGAGAAAGGTAAAAAGGCGAAGGGCAAAGACGGCGGGGACGCGGCGAAAAAGGCGGACAGAAAGGAGGCGTACAGCGGGAAGAGCGACGGAAAGATCGACAAGGGGTTTGTTTTAGAAGGTGAATTTGAACGTTTACGCTTATGGTGTTTGTTTTTAAACGTTTATTTCGGTGTAGATAAGCAGGATAAAACGGCGTCGTCGTCGTCGCTGAGCGAAGCGAGCACGACGCCGTCGCCGGCCTCGCTGACGGACGTACAAATATTGCCTAAATCGAAAATAGCATCTATCATCGACGATAATACGAGTTTTTTCTCGATGAATCCGTTTCAAAAGATCACGCAAGGTAACCACGCGCCGGACAACGTGGATAACGACAGCGAAACGACGCATCCCGCTAGCATATTAACCGATACATTGCCAAATATTAATACGACTGAAGATTGGGCGGCCGCCTTCGGATTCTCCAGAAATTCAGACGTCAATTCGGGTATTAGATTGTACGGTAGAAATCTCGTGACGGAGCTAAAATGGGTGTTGTGTTGCAGGTAAAAAAGATGAAAAAGATGTTTTAGGTTCGTTTAGAAAAGGCTACGAAATTGGTAATCAAGATACAGGATACAATAAAGGTATGTTTTTGATCGATAAATGCTGATTTGTGTTTGAGTACTCTATTGTTTGCCTAATCATTTAACGTCATTTATCTCGAGAGTCGTTTGTATAACTAAAAAACCTTTGTTTTATAAGGGGGTTCCTGTGTGGAGTTGATGAGAGGAAAAAATCGTTATTTGTAATTTTATGAAGCAAAGTCATTCTTTATAAAAAGTTTTGTTTGTCGTATTAAAATGTCGAATCTTATAAAAAAAATCTCTCTTCTCTTTAACTCCATTAACTCCACTGTACAGGGTGTTAATTAATTCAGTGCTGATACTTCAGGGCGTGATTATTTGGATGTTTTAAGGAGAAAAGTTTATATCAATATATGTCCTAAACCTCTTGGTTTTCGAGCTACAGTTTTAGAAAAAAAACTTTTCTATCATAATTTTCTTATTACTCCAGATATTTTTATGAAATTTTGTACATACTTTTCAATTATTAAGGAGCATTTTGTTGAGGCAAAAGATTCTTCTATGAATAATGCGAGATATAATTACAATTTGCAGATATCGAACCGTATAGTAACAGCTTCTACGAAATGTCGTCTAGAATGCAAGAGAACATAATCGACATGATAGCTAGTAAATCGAATCCGTTATATAAGCAAGCAGCCCATCCCCAGGTGACGACGCTTCCCAATCACACGCACAACGGCCTAAACGGGCTCGATCAGAACATGTCGAAATATTTCATGGAATTCCACAAAAATAACAAAGGTATTATAATTCATTACAGTTGAGTTTTGTTTAATAATTTATGTTAATTTGAAAGATGGGGGAAGTACGGGACAACATCCGCAATATTACGGTTACAATGGCGTACAACAAGGATATTATTCGGGTATGCAGAACAATTCGGAACGAATGATGCTATTGCAACAGAAACAATTAGAGGAACAGTTTTTGAATCTTAGTTTAAAACAAGGTAATTGCCTGGAAATATTTTCGATTTGCTCGTAGTAATTCGGATCGTTTATCGACAGGATTCGGTTCGTTATATCCAAAAGGAGCGGACGCCAATTTCTATATGAACGGCGAAAACGGGGGATTCGGAGGCGTACAAGGACCACAATATAATAATTCCTCTAACGTTAAGCAGTGTAGTAAAAGTCCCGAAGACGATTTAGGTTTCGATCCGTTCCAAGAAACTCAAAAGGCTTTTGCCGACTTGATGGCTAGCGAACAGAATCTAAAATCACACAATAACATAGGTACGAAATATATTTGTCCTAATATTGCAATTATACAGCGCAAAACATTGTAAAATTGAGTTATCTGGCTGACATTTACTATAGGTACTGAGGTAGTTTATATGACCACCATGAGTAGTTGTAGATTCTTTGAATCCGATTTTCATTTGGTAATCGTTTAATCTAGAGGAATGGTCCAGTCGAATGGCCACCTCGCTCACAGGATTTGAGGCCGTTGGATTATTTCTTTATGGAGTTACCTACTCAAAAGTTTAAGCCAACAATCAAACAACGTTTGAGGAGCTCAGGAATGATATAGAACGCGAAATTGTGACAATATTCCGGCTAATATGTGTGAAAGAGTGATTAAAAATTAGATCCAACGAATCTATAATTGCTCATGATGGTCATATGAGCTACTTTGAATACCATATGTAATTGTAATATGTGTACTACGCCTGTAGTAAATTTCAGCTAGATATCTCGATTATTCTGTGTTTTATTTGAATACGAAATGGTTAATGTTTTTATTGGATAACTCTTATACAATTATTCGTTTTGTTTAAGGTCGTAGTCAAATTAACGGGGTCAATCTCAATCAAAACGGTCATTTGCCGCCGCCGCCGCCCGGCTTTGTGCAACAGAATTCACATATGAACTCCTTCGGTGAGCCTCCATTACCATTGAGAATCGTTGGAAAAGTTTTACTGTTTTTTTTTATAATTGCAGGTAGTAAAATATTACCATACTTAAATATGTCTAATAGTCAACAACAACAACCACAACAACAAATCAATAGTTCAACCCAAAACAATTGGTCTAGTAATTTTAATTCGCATTTGCAACAACAAGAACAGAAAAGTGAGTATTTGAAATATACAGATAAGTGCGAGTTTGTTTGCAATGTAGTCAATTCATATGAATCGAAGATTATTGAAATAACAGTAGTTAGAGTGAGGAAGTTGTAATTCTCCCTCAATACCACTATCTTTTTTCTTTGTATGAGACAAATAGATGTTACCTTTGTTGCACCCGTAGACCATATGTACTTTTCATACAAATTAGCACTTACCTGTATTTTCCCTCTAAATTAAAACGAAAATATTTGTATTTTTCAGACATAAACAATACATGTAACGATTGGAAGGTATTAGATCCGGCGATTTTGTCATCTAGCCGTTACTATCCACAACTTAGAGACCACTATTCCAATTTATCACAAGTAGGTTTACAACAGATACAAAATGGCGGAGCGGCGTCGCTGCGGCCGTACGAATATACGAATAACGCCTTTTCAAATTTCACACAACTACAGCCAAATTTCAATAATTATTCACATTTAAATTCGCAACAGAACGTGAATTGGTTTAGCAACGACATAAATTCTCAGATAACCAGCCCGCCCGGCTTCAGGAATAATCCGGCGACCAAACAGCAAGAGTGTTAAGTAAGAATCCATTTTGTTTCGAAAATAAATCGCCATGTATGGGTCTCGATCTAATTTTTATTATTAATAAATCCGTTTCAATAAATTTTGTCTTTTCGCGAGGCCGTTTTTTGTTATTTTGTAAAGATTCGGAAAAAATCATTCTTGTGGAAGCGTAAGAAATTTCGTCTTTTTTTCCCAAATAGTTCATTTTGTGTGCGATTCAAAATTTTTATCTCCGATTCGGTTCGTTAATCTGTTTAGTGGGGCAATTTTGCACACGTTTGCCATTCACGATTACTTTTATCTACTTAAAATTGATTTATGTATTTGCAAACGTGCGTAAGATTATCGAGTGCAATTAAACAGATTTGTGCAATATTCGTTTGATCAAAGAAAATTCAGTTTCTGTAGGAGAAGAGGCGATGCCCATATGTGTTTGTTATAATATATTTCACGAGTACTCAAAGTGCTTTCTTTCTGTTGTAAAATTTATAATTGTGGGTTATCGATCACTGATTTCAGAAGACAAGTAAAACTAATATTATATTCATTTGAGTATGAAATAAAATTGCTAAATAAATCATATAAATCTCTAATAAAGGTGTTTTTGTACCGTAAAAAAATTAGACCGAAAAATAAATGCAACAAAAAATTTATTTTACGAATATATATAGAAAATTATTTTTAAGATCGTACATAAAAATTTTAAAGCTTTCGAAAAATTAATATAATATTACAGATCATTTCAATAAAAACTATCAAACGCACTCGACGCGTTGATTTGGTTTTCACATATTTTTGCTTAAATTACATTTTAATGGCAATACTTAAAATATTCAATCAACTATTACATCCATATTTAAACATTATTTTGTAGTAAAATAACAATTTTGCGATATATTTTGATTGTTGTAAATTGGACAAATATGCAGAAACTTACAAAACTAACACCATATTTATGACACCCATTAATGAAATAATGGCACTGTTATCTACTTTGCGTGTGCATTGAATATGATAAGTAACAGATATTTATATTTTTGTTGTACTGTAAAATAAACTTATCCCGACACTCCGTCCTATTAAAACAAAATATAATTCCCTCAATTAATATCATAATTTAAATATTGCAAAAACTTTGGTTCACAAAAAATGCAATTACGAGATTCTAAAAATAATTAAATGCTTTACTATGCTAAAATTTTTCAACATATGAAAAATTCAATTAATTCAGTGCATTGTACTAGTACTATTATAATTTTTTCACCAAAATTAAAATACATACATCAATAAATAAATACAGTTATTAATCACTCAAAATTAGATACTCGATAGTTTGTTTTTTTGTATAGTTACATCGCTTTGACAAGCACATAAGGTCGATTTAGATTAGATTGCAATTTAATAAGCAAAATCTATAGGCATCATTTCCGTTGTTACTTAAGTAAATAGGGGTAGATTGTGAAAATGGTACCCGCGCTTCCCTTTAGCAGCCAAATAAATGTAAACAATATGGTACGCTCCGGGTAGGAAGCAAATGAACCCTGCTAATAAAAACACCGATCCCTGCAAACCTGAATTAGGTTCCGTCAACGTGACAGTACCTGTTATTAACAGCCCTAAACCTATAATTAACAATGTCGCCGCCGCTAGTACCATCCTCCAATTTTCTTTAACCTTCGGATGCTTCAAGCAAGACCTGCTGGTATATTCCTCGTTAGCACAATCGTAGTAATCCTGTATCAACGAATCGCTGTCTCTTGTCGCATCGTTTACCATTTTGTAAGTCCTACGATACACGAATTATTGTAATTAGCTGAATACTCACATCGTTGAGACAACATAAGTACGAATTACCTTCCATTTTCCATGTTAACAGCGACATGATCGCCTTCTCCGTGCAACCTGTTCGAATGAGAAACGGGCGATCTGGAGCCCGTCGTGCCGTACACTTTGATGGCCTCGTCCGTTTCTTCCTCGAACGCGTCGTCGATGGAAAATCGCTTCTGCTTCCCGTTCGTCAAGGAAAATTGGTACGACATTTTTTCCGGCTGGTTGGAAAATCGCAGAACAGCTAACGTGCAATTTTAAGTCATATTCGTACGAAACCGCATCGCGATTACTTCGCTCGATGCATTAGGGACGGACACATTCGATTTGTAGACACCCAAATAGGACGTTTTTCGTTTTTAATTTTGTATTTTGATAATCTAAAAATCTAAACAAGACACAAACGTCACTTCAATGATTGACAGTTTTGACAGAATACGCACTGACATTTATAGTTTGTAGTAGTGTAAACTACACTGACTAATCCGCTCTGTTAGTTTGATATTCTGTCAATCTAATGGAAGGTTAAAATCCGTCAACTGTCAACCTTTAGACTGAATAACCTAAGTAGCTGAGACCTCGAAACGAAAAAGAAGTAGAATATACTAAGCACATGTACGGTGTTTATAAATAAAAATCTAATATTATTCTTCGCACAATAACCACCCACACCCACTAACGGCATGAATAGGACAGCCGTAAATCGTGGAGTGGGAAAATAGTGAACATAACCATGATTTTCAGGCGCAAGTTGTGAGTGATTAGCTTTTAAATTCATGTAAATTCCTCGTATTAGAAGCCGCCGGTTGTAACAAGAGCAATGGGTCGCAAAGGACAAGGCCACAAATCGAAGAAAACCAATTCGAATCGAAGCAAGCGAGAGCTAGACGAGCTCGTAGATAAATTGCTGAGATTAAGCACGACCCAACAGAACGACTGTACGAAATCATTGGAGGATGTGAAAGAGATACGTTTCATAACCGAGCAACTGTTGAACTTGCAACAAAGTAATACCAACGCAACAACGATCAGAAGCGGTGTGGTTGTAGAGGAATTCGTAAAATGGTGCGGGGAAAACCAAGCGAAGCTCGAAGGATGCCAAATCGCGGAGTTCGAGGGATTCGATTTGGGCTTGAAGGTCTGCGAGGAAATCCCTCCGGCTTCGTTGGTCATATCCGTCCCGAGAAATCTGTTTCTGACAGTCGAGGCGGCCAAGAAAACCGAATTGAAACGATTGTTCGACAAGGATCAAATGCTGCGGAACATGCACAACGTAGCTTTAGCTATGTTTTTGATATTCGAACGGTTCAAATCGGACTCCTTTTGGCGACCGTACATCAACATGCTGCCTTCTTCCTACACTACAGTCCTCTATTTTACTGTCGATGAATTGCTGGAACTGAAAGGAAGCCCTACGTTCGAAACGGCTTTAAAACAGATCAAAAGCATCGCCAGGCAATACGCCTATTTTCATAAATTATTTCACACTTCAGACGATCCCGTTTGTGTGTTCATGAGGGAGAAATTCACCTACGATGTGTACCGGTATGTGAAGATTCTTATTTAACTGTTTCGCTGGTTGCATGCCCTCAGTGAACTGTTCGAATGATTAGGGGACTCGTTTTGAGAAGTTGGCTTTGAATGTCAAAAAGCGATACGTCAATTAAGATTTTTAGCACAGCCTACTTCTCAAACAAAGTCTCGAATCGGTTAGTTTGAGGTTAAATATAAAAGGAAAATCGTAACAAATTTACTACATTTTATTGCAAATGTCGCTTACGGAAAAACAATAATAAATAATCAGCGAATAACGTTTACTATAAAAAATATTGTATTGGACAATTTCTCTCGATACGCATAACTATACGCATAACATAAAAACCTTAATATTACGTTTGATTTCATCGAACTCGATTCATAGGTAATAGTCACTCATTGAACCAATTAAAATAATCACTAACCCCGATAAAATTCTCTTAGCATAAACATTTCGACAACGTAAATAACTCGTTAACTATTGCACTCGGAATCACACGAACGACCAACGGAAATAAATTAAAACCAAAAACCACTACAACGCCGAATTCAAAACGACTCCTTTCTGTCTCTGTTGGCGTTCCAAATTTCATCGGACATGCTCTGCAACGTGGACTTGTAGTAGTTCTTCTTCCTCCCCAACGTCTCGTTCATGAAGCTCTTTATGGCCGTCGTGGGCCTGCCCTGGAGCATCATGGGCGCCCGAAGTTTGGCCGTCAGGCTGCTGCAGTAGTTCATCGATTTGTTTTTGCTCTGTATCCACTTCAACGCCAGCAGTACGGCCAGGAACACCACTATGGAGAGGCCTATGATGGCGAGGCTGACGAACAGGGCGGACTTCACTCCGGAGGGTATGCTGTTGAAGAAGCCTTCGTCGTTGTTTTTGATGGTGTTCATGTTCATCTTCTCTAAGTATTCGCTGTTGGAGAATTCGGTTACTATGTCGTTGGTTTCGGGGAATAGGTCCGGGTAGAGTTGCTTCCAAGGGAAACTGCCGGTTTTTTTGTTTATTTCTACAGATATAATAGGAAAAGGTTCTTTCTCTTCGATATCCACAGTACTAGAAGTGGTTGTAGTAGAAGTTGTAGTAGGAGTAGTAGAAGCCTCAGTTGAAGCGGTCTTGGTCGGAGTGGGTTCTTCTAACCGGGTGCTTTTTTGTTGTCTGTAGGCGTTCTGGAAGAATTCTGGACTCAATTGGCCAACGAAAGGCTCCTCTTGGGGCTCCGGTTCCCTGGTTTTGTTGTGGAATATGTCGGCGAGGTGCAGTTGACTGGAACCCCTTTCTCGTTGCTCCACCAGTTCCTCGATGGTCATGTTCCGGTGCTGCAGGATCCTCGACAATTTTTCCCTGCTTGCCGGATCTTTCATCACCTCCATGATCTCCTGTTTGGCGGTGACGTAGGTAGTATTCGTGTCTTCGGACGCGTTCGTGGTGGTTTCCGATTGGAATTTCGTTTCGTTCATCTCGAACATCTTTTCTATATCCAGGGATACTTTCATGGGGCCTTGGGGTTCCTCTGGGAAACCCGCTACGTCTTTGATGGCTATTTTGACGGGTTCTCTTTCGGTTTTCTTGGTTGTTACTCTTAGTTTGGCGTTTGTCGTGGGTAGTTTGCTTCTGTATTTGGTGGATTTCGTTGTAGTTGTTGTCGGTTTTTCAGTGGTTGTTGTTGTAGTAATTGGGGAGGTCGCGGTGTTGTCTTCTTCGATGTTGGTGTACTCCACGCCGGTGAATTTTGAATTTGCCGGAATGAATATCCTCCTGTCTGTGGTAGGTTCGTTTATGACGTCGAATTTGATGAGTGTTGTGAATATTTTGTTCTCTTTCGGTTGGAGTACGGCCAGTCTTTTTCTCTGCGCTTCCGTGGTTTGCTCTCGAGTTAGAGCCGTTTCTTCGGTCGTAGCTGGATGTTTGTGCGTGTTGGACAATTCCGTGGTGGTTTGGGGTTTTTCTGTTAGAGCCGATATGGCTTTCTCGTTGCCCTGCAGCAGTTCCGCCAACGATAAATTCTTCTGTTGTAAAATTTCGCTTAAACTCAACCGACCGCCGGACTGTTTCAGCAAGCTCTTCAAATCCGCTATGGATTTCTGCGCGTCCAATTTACCTTCCACCATCATAGAAGATTCCAGCGTAGCCTCCTCTTCGGTGGAGTTACCTTTGGCGTCTTCGGTGTAAGGCAACGGTATTCTCCTTCTGTTGTGGGGCGCGTCGTTGCCGTCGCCGATTTCCTCCCAAGGCAGCGCCGCCTGGTCCAGCCTGAAGGGGCGCAGCCTCCGCCTCGGCGGCGCCTCCTCGCCGTCGGGCTCCTGCGTCGGGGGGCGGCGTTTGCGCTTGCGCAGCCGCCGGCGCTTCAGCTTGACTTGCTCGCCGTCTTTCGCGTCCTCTCTGGGCATCCAGCCCAGGTCGCCGGTGGGAAACGTCTCGACGGCTCTCCAGCCCTGGAAGCAGAGAATGGCGATTTAATCGAGGTCGATTCGCGAAAAGGCGAACGCGATGTAAGGAAAAATAATGGTAGCAATTTTCTCGCGATTTTTCTGTGTCAGTGTTATAGGATTCCCATATGCGGTAAAAATGCGTGTGAAAATTAGAAAACTAGACAATCGTGTCGAGTTTGTAATACGCATACGAATCCCAGATGCGATAATGAGCGGACAGAGATCGCGATGGAGCGCTTGAACGGATTACCTACTGATATGCTAAAATCGATTTGTTCAATAAAATATTCGAAACGACTAGAAAGTCATTTTTGTTCGAGATATACTCGTTGGTTCACTTCGACCTATAAAGAATCGTTATGAAATATAATTTTACTTTCTTCGAGTAATCTATACGAATAAATCTCGCGAGATTAATCATTTTACCTTCGGGGATAACAGAATCCCTTTGACCTATTTATCTCTTTTAATGCCATTTACTATTCATTCGGTAATTAGCAGTACATTCAAAAGATATATACAGTATATTTATTCGAAATGTGCGTGTATTTGGAAGGAAATTCACATTAGTGTGGGTGCTATGAATACGATCATTGTTGCGGAGAATGTGTGCCAATGCTTTTGCATTGATTCACCATTGATCGCTTATTAATAACGGCATGCGAGCACATATCATTAAAGCAATAATGCCAAACGGAATGCTGATAAAAAAGCTGACAATAAGTGACTGTAATCCGGTGTTGTACTACTCGTCAGTAAACAAATTTAATAATAATAATGCTGCATGTTTGTTTGTTTATTGAATGGATGATTGGGATAGATTTTTCTGCAAGTAGGTTAATAGGTGTAGATTGTTTTTTTTTAAACGGATGTAAATTGTAAAATACAGATTTTTTATATAATTTAGAATTCCCTATCCTACTCAATTCTATTCTGAATCTGTATTCTGAATTGTACGCGAATAAGTGGGACTTTAAGATGCGTTCGATGATACATAAACGTGAACTGTCAAAATTGACATTAATGACACTTCGTGTGATAGAAGTGTAATAGAGATGGGAATCAAGATTTTGGTATAGAGGTGCAATAACGACTGTTATAACATAAGCGTTATTTTTCAAATATTGTTCTCCTGATTATTCTACCTTATTCTATCCCAACCTTAAGTGTAAATTTGTTGATTGTAGCTTTTTAGAACAGCGTCAAAAATTATCGATTTCTTTCAAATTATAGTTGGCATTGAACTCAAATAATCCCCTTTTACACACCCCCTTGCACACATTTTACACTCAAATTTTCATAATAAATTTTAGCAAAAACCACTAAATATAAGAGCAATGTATTCCATTTTTTGTACTTCTTTTCGACCACTTTGTCCCTACTACTAAAATATTTTTTATGGAAAATCTCAACTCACTTCTGGATTAAACTCCCTCATTTCCCGGGCACCATCCTCGACATTTTCACCCTCGTTCTCCCCACGAACAACCGCCCCGACCAACAGCACGAATACGGCACATTTCACCAGCCCCATTTTCGTCCTACGAGGGCTCCGCTCGAAATTCCCTTGACTATCGAACTTTCCTGACGCGCCTCGTAACTTGCCTCGCCGACATAACCGAATGCTGAATGAATGGCAATCGTCTATTGAGAGAAAACCGGACGATCGAATCGAGCGAATCGGTATTTGTTTACTACTGACTGGTACTTTTGGTGCTTTCTTCGACGGCGGAGGGGGTTGACTAGCCACTGCCGAGTACCGATCCCGTGCCGGTTGCTCTTTCACCTCTTCTGCCGCTCGTAGAAGTGGTAGAGTATTGTTGTTTTTGCTCAATAGATTCATTAGGAGTTTAATTATATGAAAAATTAACCCACGGAATTCATTGTCACTACATTATACACAATAGTATGAAAATGTTTCGAGAAATTGGGAAATTATATGAGATTTTTTAATGAAGCGGCCGCACCTTGGAGTCCGAGCAACAGCTCGGATGCTTTCTCTTGTTTATTCATTCCATTCATAATCCTCTAATACGGATCGAGCGGAATGCGCGAATTGCAGCCGGCTTTTTAAATGATAATGCGAAACTTTTATCGCCGCCGCTCCGGACGTTTTACGTTTTTCTTTTCTCGAATTCGAATCGCGCTTTCTCCGATTTTCATTATTCCGAAACGGCTTTTTTTCAGCAGGAAACTGGCTTTCTTGAAAAAAAAAAACAGATGTCGGAATCCCATTTTATTTTACTGCTAATTAATTAGACAAATGGCACGAATTGAAGATTCTTCGCTGGTTGTACTTCAGTGAATGAACTATTCGAGTGATTAGTGGACTAGTTTTGAGAAGTTGCTTCTCAAGAAAGTCTGTAATCAGTCTAATTACTGAGTCAAATAATCTGCAAATAACGTTTACAAATCCTGAGGATTTTATTTTTCTGCTAATTTTACATGTAGACTTGTGGCATATTTTATGGTACTTATTGCAGATGTGGTACCTGCGTATTAAAATTTTCTCCGCGTTTTGTAACCCGTCTAATAACCGCCATCAAAACACAGCTGTGTGTGAAAAAAAATTGTAATTGTTTTCTATCGCGTTAATTGCGCGTTAATTTCAATTAGGCCGGTTAATTAAATTTTATTCGCATTGAATCGGTCGTGTGATGAAGGGGAAAGTAAATAAAAACGCCCGTTGAATATTCGTAAACGGCTCTCGTGTTCGACACGAAAGTATATGAGAAACCGCTCTCTTTTTCGCTTTTCTGAAAATCGTTTTGTAGTGAAAAACGGAGCGCACCGGAACTCCGCACTGAATTTGCCTGAACTATTATCCGGTGCGGATATTCCGCACCACAAATTCTGTTACCAGCGCTTTTACACGAAAAATTGGGACTTTAAGATGCATTCGATGATATTTATATGAACAAAAACTGTCAATAATGACATTTCGTATGACAGAAGTTTAATAGAGGTGGGATTCAAGTTTTTGGTATAGAAATGCAGTAACGATTGTTACAAAATACGCGTTATTTTTCAAAATTAGTTAAAAATGTAGATATTTTTTTATATTTTCCAAAAATTGCTCTGCAAACAAAGCACATTAAATACCAACCAATCTTGCATTAAAAATGGAAAGTAAGTAGTAGTTACTTATTTAGGAGAGTATCTTTGTTCTTGGATAAGCGTTATGTAAGCAAATTCGGACGATAATTAAACCGTGAAATCAGTAACCGCAGGTTTAATGAGATTAGTAGGATTGCAAGAGTTATGTAAAAACCGCGAAAATTATACGAGATGTTTGATGGTTGTTCGGTCAAAAACACGGCGATTTCCGGTTGAATTGCTCAAAAAAATGTATTTATTTTTCAACAGATTCTCCTCACTCTAATGCTTTCTGGTCTGATAAGCCCTAGCATTTTTATGACTGTTATGTTTGCGTTGGATAATAATAAAATGCAGCTTGTGAAATATTGAATTTTTTTTAATAATGTAGAGCGACTGAGCTGATTTGTAGAGTAAATAAATTACACACGTGTCGCCCGAGGTGAATAATTTCTCAAAAATATCGAAGACACTTTCTTCCGCGCGCATTCTCACCGGCTGTATAGGCATATGTATGTATATACATGTGGATGTTCGGTGATGAAGAAAGTTTTTTCAAGGAAAGTGAAACCTTTTTTATTGTGTGTTTCAATAGAAACGTAAAGTCGACAAACACACACATTTAAATTTTAATTAACTGCATTTGCATATCGTAACGTGTCTTGCTTGGATATTTTGTTACGCCCTATTGGTTCAAATACATCTTTATTACGTACAGTTTGAAGCAAAATTAATCGGTTGTTCTTTCTTACTGTACTTGCTTATTTACTTTATAATTACCAGCCTGTTATTTAAAGTCGCTATTGTTTATTAAAACATTTCCATTAAATGGAGAAAACTACTTTCATTGTCGCATTATCCTTTATTTAATGTTGTAGTCGAAATTAATTTAATAATCACCATTAAATTATGCATTCAATCCGTTTTACTTTCTAATAGTCTCGATAAACGAATATTCGATACAAAAATTAATTTTTTATTTGACCTCCCGAAGATGCGCAAAATTCCGAATTAATTATCCAGCACTTGACCTTAATCGACATGAAAATATTCTTTGTTATCCGCACAATAACAGATTTAGGAAATGATTTTCCTGAAATTAAAAAAATCGCTAACGACATCACCTACGTTACTCGTAATTATTTCATAATTAGCGATAAAATGGAGAAATTATTAGGAAGTAGTAATTGGCGTTTGAACACATATGCACACAAGAATTTTATAATTGACTTCATTATTCATATTCAATAGAAAAAGTTTCGTATTCGACGGGAAATAGATTAATCTGTTAGATAATTTAGAGACAAAATAGCCCAAAGACAAAATCGCTCAAAACAAAACAGGCTGAAATAAAACGGTAAAATTAAAAGCGAGCATTATTTATTAGATTTTCAGAGTTTCTAATACATTTTTTATCTTTGGGTATCTTTAGGATCTCTTGTCTTGGGCGTTTTTATCTTTGGACTGTTTTGTCTTGGGTTATTTTGTCTTTGGGGTATTTTATCTCGGACTATTTTGATGGGGCACCATAATTTTTGCAGTTGGGCCGTATCTACGGTTATGACCAGGCAAAACACGATCCCTTCCGAGGACGGGGAGACCACCATGAATGCATTGATACCTCTATGGGACATTTGCAATCACACGAACGGACAGGTGAAACGATTGTTTCTATCACCGAGTACCAAAATGTCAATTTTCGAATCGTTTGCAGATAACTACCGATTACAATCCGGAGAAGAAACGTTGCGAGTGCCTGGCTTTGAAGCAATACCAACCCGGTGAACAGTTTTTCATCTTCTACGGCGCCCGGACCAACGCCGATCTATTCATACATAACGGGTTAGTATTCTAGTGGTAATGGTGGTTGTCTAATTATAAGGGTAACAATTTGTTAGGTTACTCGTTAAGTAAGAGACCACTTTGTCTTGCTGCTTGTCATGTCAATGTTCAAAAATTCAAAAAGTAGGCTGTTTTGTTAACGATAATACATAAATAATTTTAATAAAATTGTACTATAGGTTTGTTTATGAAGACAACATTTACGACGGTTACTGGATGAAGCTGGGCATCAGCAAATCCGATCCTCTGCAAGAAAAGCGCACGGAGCTGTTGAATAAATTGCAGATAAACCCTACGGGGAGTTTTTTCTTGAAGAAAGCGCCCCTTCACATGGACGGCGCCCTGTTGGCTTTCGTGCGAATTTTCAACATGAATGAAGGTACACTTACATTATCAATCATATTTTTATCAATTTTTACTATTATTTCACGCTTTTCTCATAGAGATAACTGCAAAATTGTACGCATTATGGTGTGTGGGTGCAACAAAGACAGCTCTATTAGTGTCATATGTCATGTCATAAAAAAAGGGTGATATTGTGAGATTGCAACTTTCTCACTCTAACCACTATGTTATTTTAATAATCTTTCTTTACTCAACTCATAGAATTGACTACATTGCAGACAAATTTGCACGTACCTGTTTAGCTGGCATTTGGCCTTTTACATCTAAGAAAACCACGGTTTTACATACATTAAGGAACACCCTGTCTAAGTTATTTATACACATTGCTTCAATTCAGACCGCAACACGGCCATCTCTATGGGTTGAACAAAAAGAAAGATACTAAAATGACAGTTGTCAGAGTGAAAAGTTTCCTTTATAAGTGTCTAATTGAAGTTGTCTTTATCGCACCCACAGCCTGTACAACCTATATTGCAATCAAAAATGGAGCAACCTGTATAATCTCTATATTCTAAAAGACAATTTTTGCGTAGAACAATTGCGCCATTGGTTGGACAGCGACCGGTCGGACGACGTGCAATATTTAGAATGCGCCCTAGACACGTGTCTCGAAAAGAAATCCTGGAGTTTCCTGCAGGCCCGTCTTAAATTACTGCTAGCCATTTACAAGACCACGTTGGAAGAGGATGGTAAATTATTAGAAGACACTGGTCTCGGCACTAATAGGAAACTGGCCATTCGAATGAGATCTACGGAGAAATCCATATTGAGAAGCTGGATGGATTATGTAGATCAATACATAAAGCAGTAAGTTTTATATTTATTATCATTATTTTCAATTGATTAGTTCGAAATGGCTAATTTAACTTTTTATTTTCCATAAGCCATCATTTTTAGTGATATTTATAGATCTAAATGATTATACATACTCTTTGTGATCTGGAGAATATTCGAATAGTTACCATTATCATTTTTTTGTGTACTTATATTTATTATACCGGTAACGTATTAACAATATAAAAGAAATAGGATTGTTTTATTTGTGATTCTAATTAGTTAATTACATAATTAAATTATGAATAATTTTTATGACGTTTTATTGCACTACACCTGTAGTAAAACAACGAAACCCAGCGCATTGATTATTTCTATTTTTCCTCCCGGTTAAGTTACCTGTAGAACGTGGACTGCGTGCTCGCATAGTAGATGTCTCTGATGCGATATCATCTGATGAAACTTTGAATTTTATCATTGTCGAGTAGATTTTCATATGTAATTTTCGCGTATAGGGAACTCGTGATAAGCGATTGCAACATTTTATTTGGCACTTATGTGACGATAGAATTAAAATTGTTCGAGTACGATGTTACCGAGAAATGGCATCACCAGGGAGGAAATTATCAGGATAACGGAAACGATCAGAGAGAATAATTTGCATAAGGAAGAGCTGAATTTCAAAATAATCGTGATAGGGGATTTTGGTGTTGGTAAGTTAAATGTGATTAATTTTATTTTTTATTTTTTCATAATCTCAGTTTTATTTTGGAAAAAATTTTTTGTTATGTTTACTGATTTGCTTAAATTTTAGGGAAAACTTCGATAATAGGGCGATTCACGGAAGGTAAGTACAATTATTGTTTATTTCTGTGTAATTTAATTTTTAATCGGTTACGAGCGAATTAATTCGAGTAGAAAAAAATCAATAAGCTCGCATTCTTGGAATAGTTTCGTTGAAAAATCGATAAGTAGGTAAGATCCGAATTCCTGGCAGTTCCTGAAATTCATTGAACCTTACCTTGACCTTCTTAACTACCATTATTTAATACTACGTTTTGTTTACACAATACTTTAACGACATGAACGAATCTTTTTATGTTCATAGGACAGTTTTCTTCGCATTACAAAATTACCATCGGGGCGGATTTCGCGGTGAAAACCCTAGAATGGGACGAGAACACCCGGATCAATTTGCACGTTTGGGATATCGCAGGACACGAGAGATTCGGCAGTTTACTGAGCGTATTTTACAGACACGCGTAAGTGTAATTTAATTATCACCCAGGCAAAAAAGAAGGTAATTTTACCTCGCACAATGTAGCTTGACAGTCGATAATTGCATCAAGTGGGCAAACGGTGAAGAAAAATAAACAAAACACTATCTGAGAATACCGCCGGATGGTACAATTTTGATGCAGGAATTCTTAAGATTATTACTCACCTACCACTCTTCTTTAAATCTTCTTAAACTCCCTAAAAATTCCAACTGCCAAGTTACATTTGCTGAAGTATACTAATTTTTTCAGAGTTGCAGCGGCAATTGTGTTCGATTTGACGAGACCGGAGACTTTCGAGTCTGTTGATAAAGTAAGCTATCTAAGGACAAACTTTAATCACTAATCAATCAGTTTGATTTGTAGTGGTTAATTGACTTGAGAAGAAAGCTGCAATTGCCCGGAGGAAAATCTTTACCTATCATAATTTTAGCGAATAAGGGCGATGTGACTGTTAGCACAGTGCCCAAAAACATCGACGATTATTGCAAAAATAATGACATATTAGCTTGGTACATAACTTCAGCTAAAAATGATATTAATATAGGTGAGTCGTGTAGCAAGAAATTCCTTCTACGATTGGATATTTTATTTATGGTTTCTAGATGAAGCGATGATAAAATTGACAAGAGCAGCGCTAGCAAATTACAGAGGCTTCAAGTGTTCATTACTACTAACCGAAGACATTATCAGTCTTAATGACGCGCCGGTCAATCGAGAGAAGCAATGCTGTTAAACATACAATAAGAATCTCATTTAAGGTTTAATATTTATGGAAAACCAGTCCAAACAAATCTTACAAATAAACAAACATTAACTACTAACAAATAAAACTCCGTACGAGTAATACTTTTATTATCCTCCACTTTTTTCTAACTTTTGTGCCGCGGCCATTGCGCTTTCGTTGGCCAGCACTTGGAATTCTTGGAAACGCAAGGATATCCTTTGGTTCACTTTTAGGAATTTCTCCATGCAATTAAGCGCGCATTGCTCCTGGAAAAGATACAAAAATAAACTGGAAACCAATGGAATTCAGTGTAACTGATACAGATAGATAAACAACTAAACCTAGGTTTGCCCGGGTAAACAGCGAAATACCCAAGAAGAAGAAGGTTTACTTAGGTTTACTCGTTTATCTAAGTACCCGTAAGGCAACTACGATCAAGTTCTCCTGGGCACTGTCAAAGTAAAAATGGGTATATGAAACTGCGGTACTCACCTCTTTGTTTTTAATATTCCTCGATGTGAAATCGTTTATGCAATCATTGAAGCACAGTTCGGTTAATTTGTTGTACGATATTAAAAAGTCTTTGAACTGAAACAAATTGTTCCCAATGCGAAAATTGTTAAAAGAATTAACGTGCTTACCGTTTTTATTTGTTCAGCATCGATATTTTCGATGCCGGTTCCTACAGGCAGTGGTACACTCATTATTCGAGATTTTAATTAAATTTTCTGAAATGAATCTTGACTTTTCTGAATTTCCGAGAGATAGGTTATGTCAATTGTGACATATGCTTTTATAGGTTAGATCCAGGTCAAGGAAAAATTAGTGAAAATGGATATTTCAAAGCTGAAATAAACCTTTTCGTAGCAAAACAAAGTAATTAATTAGTTATTAGAACAGTTTGCTAATAAAATTAGTAAAATTCGATTGGGTAAGTAGCTGCATAATCATAAGTTTTAGGCCACACTAAAAAAAAGTTTGAATAATTTGACAATTGACAAAAAGGTGCCATTACTTTTACGTAAGTTTAACATTCTAATATTCTGTTGTGTTAAATAATTCGCAAAAATAATGCTCAGAACAACAGCCCTACGAGCCCAGTCCCTTTTAAGGACGTCCTTAACAGCCGCCAGGACTAATGCACCGGCATCGACAAGGTAATTATGCAAAATATACACCCAAAATGCTCGTACCAATCTCCTCTCTTCCACATAGGTTAATGTCGAGCCACAGCACCGAAACCGACGAGCAATTCGACAGCAGATACGAGAACTTCTTCAACAAAAAAGACATCGACGGCTGGGAGATCAGGCGCGGCATCAACGAATTGTGGGGCCACGATCTGGTCGCCGAGCCCAAGATCCTCATCGCCGCCCTGAAGGCCTGCCGTCGTGTCAACGACTACGCCCTGGCCGTCAGGATCCTCGAGGCGCTCAAAGACAAGTGCGGCAACAAGGTCAACGAAATCTACCCGTACATGATGCAGCAGCTGCAGCCCACGCTGAAGGAGCTGGGCATCAGCACTCCCGAGGAATTGGGCTTCGACAAGCCCGAGTTGCACCTGCCATCCGTGTACCACATGTAATTGTTTAAGTAGATTAATTTTTTCGTGTATCTGTAGATTCATATTAAATAAATAATAAATCGTTGTTGTTGTAAAGAAATACTCCAAAAACGAGAACGAGATGTTGGTATGTACAAGATTTATTTATCAGGTTTTTATTAATTTAATTTAACAAATAGTGTTATGGACCAATTGTACAAGTTTCATACAAATCGAGATTAATTTATTTTTTGAATAGTTTACTGTAATACTATATTCAAATTATAAATTATTCTTGGTTTGTAATTGATTTGTAGAATTGGGCTTGGAATAAACTCCTCTGAAGTAAACCATCACAGAGACTTCGATTTGATGTTCATCTAGAACTTCAAGATAATAAGAAAGAACTTACCAAAAGGTTGTGAGATTAGGGTAAGTACAAATATTTAAACTATTATCAACAATTTGAGTAAAGAGAATGTAAATTTTAATTTTTCCTGTAGGAAAAACGAAATAAATAAGGTAATCGCGATTATTTTGACTAAATTATAGTTTGTAAAGTTCTAGCTCTTTTTACTCGTATCTTCATTACTAGAACTTGTTTGTTCCACTACAACGACTTTCTTAGGAGGAGTTTCAACCTGGTCGTAGTCCATTTTTTGAAATAATAGCACCGTTATTATGGCCATCGTTACTACAAAACTGATCGTCTCGTATTTCTTACTATTCGAGTCGACCTGTCTCATACGTTCGTATTCGGCATAACGTCGTTTATTTGCCGCTTTCCTTCGAAAGGCTGTCTCGTAGTGCGCCTTGGCCCATTCATCGAAATCGTACACGGGCGTTTTACCACTCGGAGCTGTATATTTTTCCTTCGTTTCGCTGGATTTGTGGAAATTGTGTAAACGAGCATCATCTTTTCTAATGTGTAAACCTACAAAATGCCCTTATGAAACTTAAAAATTCGATTCGGACCCTCAGCACGCACCTCTATCGTACATTTTTCTAGTTCGAGTGTTGCCTAATGTTTCGTACGCCTCCGTTATGTCTCTGAATTTTTGATGGGACACTTCGTCCTTGTTCTTGTCCGGGTGATAGATCATGGACAATTTGTAATAGGCCGACTTGATTTCGGTTTGAGTGGCGTTAGGGGTTAATCCCAGGGCTTCATAGTAACTTTTCGGTTTTGAAACTGTCGCTAAGTGTCTTATACCGTTGGAAAATAAACTTATGTATTTCGCTAATTTCATACCTAGATTTTTAATGCTCGAATGCTTTACTTCATTTTGAGTGATGAGACGTTGAAATAAGTTGTGTATGTTGGTATTTTTATATGAAAATTACATCACATGGCGAATGGTTTCAAATTTTGAGTATTTTGACGTTTTTTGTAAAAATTATATAAGGATTGACAGATGACGTTTAATCTGTAGTTGACTACTAGATTACTACAAGGCCATTCAAAAATGAAGAGTTTAATATAAGAGGTAAATTTAAAATTATTTTTCTGTACACTGTGTATAAAATTGTGATTAATTACTATCTGTTGTAACAATCGTGGTTGAATTTTCGTAAATATCGTCAACACCATAATCTTCTACGTTAAAAATTGCGCATTGCTCTAGTCTCGTTAAATTCGCTATGGTTTTAAACAATATTTTTTGCTTTGTAATACATCGAAGCTTTTTAGCTAAAACAAAATCACAAAAAAATAGTTTTTGCGCACAAATGTAGCGCGTCATCTTACCTTTATTAATTACGTTTTGGCACAACTTTAAATACGATTCCGGTCGTTCTGGGTAAAATTCGCACAAACCTCGCAATTTCCTCCTGCAATCGACCACTCTCCACAAATTATCGTCGTCTAAAACCACGCAATGGTGGTAGAAAGAATTTGCAACAGGATGACCCGGCGCCCACGCCCTAAAAATCGCGTTAAACAACTTATACCTCTTCAAATAAAACTCATACCTGAACGCAGTACAACTCAAAGGCAAGTCTACAGCATTCACAAACCGCCCCCGTTGTTCAACATCGTCCAAACCCACGTACGCGACTTTATACCACCCGTCTAACGAGTTGTTTATAATTTTAGACAATTCCCTAGACCTAGTTTGAGACGTTACGTCTGCCAAATCAGCCCCCAAGCTTTGACACGCGCTTATGGAGCTGTAGTAACCGTGCTTCTCCTCCGTCACAACGAACAATCCGATGTTTCTCACGCAAGACGCGTTCCTCGTGGCCGTCCAGTTCCCGTAGGCGCTGTAATAATCGAAAGTTACGTCCTCGATCAGGGTGGAACTGTTCGCCGTCTCCGGACATTCCAGTATCTGGCACGTGGCGATGTAATTACTGGATGATCTGGCTTCTGGCGGGCTGAAATTGAACGCCAGGCCTCTCTTTTGCCTCGCTGTTTCGACGCAATCTTCGAGCTGGTTCGCGTACGTGCGGTACACAGACGGTAGAGTGGATCTGTAGCAACTCTTTAGCTTGTAATAGTCGAGGACTCTGGTCACTCTACGGCAACGTTTTTTCGCTTGCACGAACAGCAACAAGTAAATTACGATGGGAACGTAATGGAGTCTCATGGTTGAGTTTTGGTTGTTGTTTAGTAGGTTGTAATATAATGTAACGTGAAGAGGATATGTCCATCAGTAGGAAAATTGGTTGTGGGATAAACCTTGAAATCAAATTCGATTGTAAAAACCGCTTTCACTTGCATATTTTAATTTATGCACCCTCTTAGTGTATGTTGAACATTGGGGATTTTAAAAGTAAAATAGTTTATGCAATTTGCAAGGTACCGTTACTTCTTGCTCGTGTATTAATAGCATGCTCGTTACCTAAAATACTATCTAGATCTAGATACTTATATAACCATCAAATATCCAATAAAACGAATGGAAACATCAATGATGCATTTATTTGTTCAAAATAGAACAATTGCACTACACTTATCTGTTCTAACAATTAACTGCGATTAATAAGATACAATACACGATATTTTATTTTATTAATTCACGATATACTGTACAAGTTTTTGATAAAATAGAAGTGAACGTACCTTTTTACAACAGATTGTATGTAAATAAAAACGACGAGGATGATAGATACCAGGAGGGTTACACAATCGAAAAAACAAAATAACTAATACTGAATATAAATGACTTTAGGCACCTGTTAAAAAAATATGAAAAAAAAGAAGGAAAAACTTAATAATAATAAATTGGAATGACAGGAATAATTATTTTTTTTAAATATTTTATAAGCACTGTACCCTCACCAATAAAAAAACTATACAATATTCAACAATTTACATAAAATATTTTACATATTTGGTAATATCAACCGTCTTTGCTACTAAAATGGCTCATCAATTAAATGAATAAATTGAGGGACAGGTGACTTACTTTTAACTTAATTATTTATTGTATTTGATATTATCTCTATCTGTTTTTTTTTTCTTTAAAACTTACACTGCTGAAAAATTTAAAGAGAAATCCTAAATTTGCAACGATTTAATCCTCTAGATTTCTGAACGCCTGCTGGATGTCCTCGTACAATTGGTCGAAATCCGCCTTGATTTTCGCCTCGCCGTCTTTGACGGGATCCTTGAATTTCATACTGCTCAATTGGTACAAAATGTTGCTCATCGAATCCCTGATCACCGTCCACGTGATTTTGTTTTCGGATTGAGCGGTCGATTCCACCGCGTGTCTCGCCATATCGTACATGCCGATCATGTTCTTCAACATGCCCACCGTTTTGTAGAACGGACAGAATCTATCGTACGACGAGTACGAGTTCTGTTGCAGGAAATCTTCCTTCAGCAACTTGGCGATTTCCAATGTTATTTTATCGGCTTCCGCCAACGAGGCCTTTCCTACCAGCTGCACGATTTCCGTAAGATCATCTTCTTCCTATAACATCATTATTAATTAATTAAATGTTACGATTGATGTAGTAATGGTATCTTACTTGAAGAATTTCTTTAACTTTGGTTCTTAGCGGTATAAATTCAGGGAAGTTTTTGTCATAGAAATCATCTAAGGCCCTCAAGTACTTCGAGTACGAACTGAGCCAGTCGACAGAAGGGAAATGCTTACGTTGTGCAAGCTTCTTGTCCAATCCCCAAAACACCTGGACAATACCTAAAACAACAAACACTAGAATCAATTCACTAATAAATTATAACAAACATACCAAGAGTAGCAGAAGTGACGGGATCGGAGAAATCACCACCAGGCGGCGACACGGCTCCGACGATCGACACGGAACCCTCCCTATCGGGGTTACCCAAGCACTTAACGCGACCGGCGCGCTCGTAGAACGAGGCCAACCTGGCCCCCAAGTACGCCGGATAACCGGAATCGGCGGGCATCTCGGCCAAACGACCGGAGATTTCTCTCAAGGCCTCGGCCCAACGGGACGTCGAATCGGCCATCATCGACACGTGGTAACCCATGTCTCTGAAGTACTCGGACAACGTGATGCCTGTATAGATGGAGGCCTCACGGGCGGCGACGGGCATGTTGGAGGTGTTGGCCACCAGGGCGGTACGCTTCATGATGGACTCGGTGTGACCGTCGATTTCCACGCTCAGCTCGGGGAAGTCTCGCAACACCTCGGACATTTCGTTGCCTCTTTCTCCGCAACCCACGTAGATGATGACGTCGGAGTTGGAGTATTTGGATAGCGATTGGGAAATGACGGTTTTGCCGCAACCGAAGGCACCGGGAATGGCTGTAGTACCGCCTTGTACGCAACTGGAATTAACCGCATTACCTTCGATACTCGAGTTGATGTTTTTAATACGTACGGGAAAAGAGAATCCAATACACGTTGACCGGTGAGTAGCGGGTGATTGGCCGGCAATTTTTCGCTGACCGGTCTGGCTTGACGGACTGGCCACACTTGCAACATGGTGAATTTGGATCGTTCACCGTCGAACTCCGTTTCCAGTACAACTTCCTATTGACACAATCGTAACATAAGAATCCCATCCAAACGTTTATCCTTCATACTTACATCTACTGTGTAATTACCCGGTTCAGCAATGTACGTAACGGTACCTTTAGCTTTAGGCGGTAGAAGCATTTTGTGCTTGACGAGGGTGTTTTCGTGAACTATACCGTAGATGTCGCCTCCGGTTAAGTGAGAGCCCATCTAACAAATCACATACATATTTAATAACACATATGTGGAATGTATCAGTAACATTACCTTGATGTTAATGGGTTGGAAGTCCCATTTGGCCGTTCTGGACAGTGCCGGTACGTTGATACCTTTCGGGATGTAGATGCTCTCCGTTAGAACGTTGATGTCTTTCAATGGACGTTGGATACCGTCGAAAATGGAGCCCATTATACCGGGGCCAAGTTCCACCGATAAGGGTTTGCCGGATCTCAATACGGGATCACCGACAGTTACGCCGGAGGTTTCCTCGTATACCTAACATCCAAAGGAACTATTAAATTGATTTCGGTAATTGTTGTTAGACGAAGTTACCTGAATAGTTGCCATATCACCTTCCAAACGGATGATTTCTCCTACTAATTCGAAGTAACCTACTCGAACCAATTCGTACATAGCAGAACCGGACATTTTTTCGGCGGTGACGACTGAAAGGCGATTTCGATTATTAGAAAGGAATGATTTTAGTTTGATGTGAATTTACGAACCTGGACCAGATACGGCATGGACATACCCATACTGTCCCTCTTTTTCCTCATCTCCAACGCGTACTTTCGACATTTTGGTGGATGTTCTAAAAAATAGTGTATTTAATAAGCAATCAAGATCGATTTTCTTCTCGTATTTCCATCGAAAACCAATAATTTTTTAAATAATAAACAAGTCACGTGAGGATATCCAAAAATCATAGTCCGAACCACTATTTAGAGCAAGCGCGTTGGATATCCTTGTATAATTAACTAAGGAAACGTCAAAAATATAAGGAGCCGCTCCTATGAAATTGTGATACATGTGACAGATTTTTATAGACTACGCCTTTTAACTTTTATTTTATTCGCAATATAAAAAGTTAATTGCGAAAATACGCGATTTTTATGTTGGTCTGATTAAACATTAATCTTAATTCACTATGATCTTAAATTATTATCAAATATTCCATCAATATAACACTAAAAAACCGATTACATTTTGGGTTTCTATATCTTGCAAAAATCAATACTAGGCGCTAAACAAAATATTCCAAACTTGCTAACAGTGGATTATTAAAAGTGCATTTCGATATTTTCAAATAATCAATTATCTAAACATTTAAATAAATAAAAACTTACATGTTTCTAATTCAACCTCACCCACTGAACTATCAAGTACTGCAAATTGACGATTTTCTTAAAATCCACAACTTGTCACAAGATAAGTCAGCTGACTGACAAATAACTGATAAACTTATCAAATTCAATACTTTCAGAAGTAGTATTTTTGTTTTAAACACATTCAAAAATAATAAAAATTGTCTAAAACGCTACAAATTTACGTTACTATAAAAATTTGCTTGGATTAAAACTTTTGGGTTTCTTTGGACTCCGTTTAAAATTAAAAATAGCATTATTTTGACTAGTGTTGTAATTAAAAAAGTTCGTTCGGTGATCTACTCCGATTTTCAAAAAGTGCTGTTCGAGCGACGTTCTCGAGATGTAGCTGTCGTAGCTTAAAGTAAGAGTTCTTAACCTAACAAAATTCTTAAATTCAAGTTGAAATGGATCAAAAAGTTATAATTAAAAAGCAAAATATAAATAGCGACCTAGAGAATTACACAAAAGAGGTAAACATAGAATTTATAACTCTAAATGTATCATCCAGTTTTGTTTTTTTAGGAGTTGATTCAAAAAGTTAAATCACTAACAGCCCATAACATACAACTCAAAAACATAATCGCTAAACAATCTACCCTAAATACATCAAAACCAAGAGATGACAAACCGTTCGATTTCTCAAAGTAAGCACCACAAAACTTTGCGTAGAAAGCTGCATTAATTTCGTAGATGCTCATTTCAGCACGTAGCCCTACATTTGCTCTATTTAGGCTGGGATTATCACGGATACGTAGAACAAGAAGGCACCAACGAAACTATCGAGCACTATTTATTCGATGCCCTAACGAGAACGAAGCTCATTCGAGACAGATCGTCGTCTAATTACCACCGATGTGGACGTACAGACAAAGGAGTCAGCTCGTTCGGTCAAGTTATATCGATCGACTTGAGAGTCAACGATAGCAGTAAAGAACAGCTGGATTACTGTAAAATTTTAAACAAGGTGTTACCGGATACTATACAATGCATTGCTTGGAGTTCAGTCGATGAGCAGTTCAGTGCTCGGTTCGATTGCCTGTCTAGAACGTACAAATATTATTTCCCGAAAGGTGATTTAAACATCGAGGTATTGTTGTTACTATGTACTCTATTTAATCAGTTTTGTAATTTGTGTTTATTGTAGAAAATGAGAGAAGCTTCGAGTAAATTGGTCGGAGTGCATGATTTTCGGAATTTCTGTAAAATGGACGTTGGTAATGGCGTTACGGAGTTTACTAGGAATATTATGGAAATATTTATCGAACAATTGGAGAAGAATGCTGGCGGTAAGAAATATGAATTACATCTTAATAGATGCAATTATGTATTATTTTTAGTTTATGACATTTGCGTTATAAATATAAAAGCGAAAGCGTTTCTTTGGCACCAAATTAGATGCATTATGGGAATCTTATTTTTGATTGGAGAAGGTAAAGAAGAGCCCGAAGTTATCGATGAATTGTTAAACATTGATAAATATCCTAGGTATTACTAATAATGTATATTAACGACGGAATTTTAAGTATATATTTTTAGAAAACCAGAATACAGTATGGCAAACGAAGTACCTCTGAATCTATACCACTGCGAATATGATAATATTAATTGGAATTACGACTTAGAAGTAATGCAGCAACTCAATGAAAAAATGAAAAAATCGTGGACATTCTACTCCATCAAGTAATTCAATTTCGTAAGTATTTGTGTATCCTTAATACATAATACTATTTATAGGTCACATATGATAAAAGGGATGATAGACTGTTTGGAAGAGAAAATGGTTAATACAGACGAATCAAAAGAAACATGTTTAAGCGAATGTTTGCACAACTCAAGAACAAAAACAAAAAAATATGTACCTTTATTAGAAAGACCGACGTGTGATAGCTTAGAACAGAAAATCGAACATTTCAAAAAACGAAAACGGATCGAAGTTATCGATAACTCCTCTTGAGATATTAATCTTCTTGCTTAGCTTGAAAAAACTAAAAAGTAAGTAAACATTTAAGAGTTAACTAAGAGTTATTCTACGAAACAATTACCTTTTCCATTAAACCGATAGCTTCGATATGACCGGCGACTTTCAACGATTTTTGTATCCATTTAGGCAGGGCACTTCTAGTACTTTCTCTCGCGTATCTTTGATCGAACAAAACCATAGCTGCATAATCCCCTCTGTGTCTGACCGCTCTGCCGATGCATTGATTTACCGCTTTCATGCACTGATTTTCGTAGAACTTATTACCAGCTCCGATTCCCTACAAAACGCTTTATTAACCGGGAATATTCGACTTAAAAATCACAGCAAATTACCTCGGTCTTGTCCAAATAACTCATCTTTTCCTTCAAATCTACAGCGCCAATGTTTGAATAGGGCATACCGATAACTATAACGCATCGTCCAAGCTCGTCGCTGAAATTGAGCCCTTCGCTTAGTTTCCCTCCTGAAACGTTAATTAATTAGTATCTTAGGGGTTAATACATCGTAAAAATCTTACCGACGACGCTAAAGAGCAGAGCTCCTTTACTACCGGGTTTTTTAATTGTACTAGCGTATTTTTCGAGCAGGGAGTCGACTTTCGAGGACACTTTAGGTTCCCTAAACAGTTCCCTACCGAAATCGACGCCTTGTAGTTGCTGGTACACTTTATTTTCGTAGTCGTAGGACGGGAAAAAAACCACTACACCACCGGGAACTGTCTTACAAACGTCCATTAAGATATTTTTTATGCTATTTATCTACAAACGAATCGGTTAATTTAGTGTGTAGTTGCTTAATTGTTAACGTACTAGAGTTAATCGTTGTTCGAAATTGAACAAAAGCCCCTCGTTTTTGGCCCCTTTGTTGACGATAATCGGTAGTATATTTTGCGGGGGTATGATGTGATCGCAGGCGAATTCCACTATTCTATCTGCCGGGGCTCCGGCGTTTATGAACAGCCTGTTTTTGAACTCGTTCATTGGGGACATCGTGCCTCCGGCTACTATTACGGATCGTGCTGGAAAATTATATATTACAAAGGATATTAGGGAATTAAACTTAATTGTACCTTGTTGGACGATGTCTTTGAACCTCTGGGAAGGTTTTAGCAGTAAAAACTGGAATTTACGATCGGTTTTGACGCTAGATTTTGTGATTATTACTCTACCGTCTTCGTACAGGCATGCCAGGCAATCGAAAAATGATATCACAGGTAATAATGGGTTGGTGACGGGAGGTATCACGTCTACAGGTTTAGGAGTTTCTTTGGGGTTTTGAGGCGTTGGGGTTTTATCTTTATTCGATTTTATTGAACCTAAAAACGCTCTAACGCCTTCTAAACCGGATTTTTGTTCGGGTTTCGGTTCCGTTATCGGGTATTTCATTACATAACTTCTCGTCTAAAAACCCTTAAATTAATAAACTGCTAATTTTAGTATTGATTAAATTACTTTCTGTGCTAAACGGGAATCCTTGCAGAATTTCGACAGTTCAAACATGTTGTGTAGATCGATTTCAGCGTTTACTACGAACGAGGATATCGTTAATACTTCCACTCCATCGGCCGAGTTTCTTTCTGAAATTTTTTAAAAAGAGATCATTCAATTCTATTTACATGAAATAATACTCACCTAACATATTCAGTAATTTATTCACGACGTATATGACTTGATTAATGCGAAGTAAATTATCCGAAGAAAACCTCGACTTGAATTTGTCCCTGTAGGCTTTTAATTGTTTCGACGCGTGATAAACTTGGCTGTAATACAGTTCGGTGTTGTACATTTGAGTTAACGATTCTAGTAGATTGTGCGCCTCGTCTATTATCACTATATTGCCGTTTAATTTGATTCCGTTGGCTTCTCTAGTGTGCTTGTGGAGGATCGTGTTGTAGGGTACCAGGACAATTTCGGCATCTTCAGCTGCTTTCCGAGAGGAGTAATAGGGACAAGCTTCGAGTGTACTGCCTAATTGAGTGAGATCTTCTATGTCTAAGATTTCCGTTAGAGTGTAATTAGATAGTTCTTCTATGGTTGATTTTTTGTAGTAAGGGCAGGTGCACGAGCCTTTCGCTTTCTTTAATACTTTACCGTCTTCTGTTCTTTTGGGTTTCGGTTCTTTTTTCTGCATATATAAGCATCTGCAATCAATATATTTATTTAGCTAACTGTATATAGGGTGTCCAAAGTTTGTTAAGTACGTTTTTGGGACACTCTGTATGAATGTAAATTTCTCGTTTGCAATACAATGATTACCTTTCGTTGATTAGAGATATGTTTTTTAACCGGGATACACTTGGATTTACGCAATAGGTTTGTCTCGATGCTAACGATGCAACTCTGATGTTGTTATTAAATGGGGATTTACGTATTTCCCCCAGAAATTGTTCCAATTGGGAGTGTGTTCTACTGCAAATGTATATCTAAAAGATAATGGATAAAGTTATAAAATCCTTGTTATGTATTTTAGTCGTGTGTGTACTTTTATTGGTTCGTAAACGGATGATTCATCTTCGTTTTCATCTTCTGATGAATTAGTTTCGTCTTTGCTGGCCGCCTCGTTGAGTAAGAGATCATCTTCGGTATCGGAGGGTTCGTTGTTTATGTCCTCAGTCTCGATATTTTTGGTTTTATTTGAGTATTTCAATTTAGTTTTTAAGCGATTATCTTTAAGTTTCTTGATATTTTGAATTTTTACTTCATACTGTTGAATTTTGCTTTCTTGTTGCTTTAATTTCATTATTTCCGAGTCTATTTTAAACTTTTGTGATTGCATGGATATCCAATCAGTCGATTCGGGTATATTTAGTTTCTGTTGTTGTAATTTCGAACATTGTTCAATTATATCGGTTTTTTCAGCGGTTTGTCTATCTTTCAACCATTTTATTGCTCCGCAAATTATGCTCATTGATTTTCCCTAGAAATATTTCCTTTTTTTTCATATTTGTAGTGGAATAATTAAAAACAGGCTATAAAATTGGAGTGAACTTACTGTTCCAGTAGGGCTTTCAAATATTCCTAATTTACCATTTTCGAGCGTGTAATATAGTTTCTTCATAAAATCTAATTGAATATTGTAAGGTGGAAATGGAAAATCGAAGTTTTCAGGTGTTTCCATTTTGTAAAACTTTTAAATAGGTTAAGATTTTCCCGCGTTTTTATTCTTGTTAAAAAAAGAAGAGTAGAAAGAAGTGTCAATTTGGGCCTGTACATTTTTGGTTATTCAGCCTCTATCTACTACTTTATTCAGTTACTTTTCAACTTTTAGTTAGATTTCGAAAATCAAGAGTAATAAGTTGTAAAAAAATTCAAAATATTCTTTATTTTCAACTTAAAATATTTATTCTTAACTCTAAACACGAATATTATTATAGGAATAATTTTATAATAGTTTATTCTGACTAGCCTCTGTATAATATGTCGATTACAGCTATCTTAGTTTTTAATATAATATACACAAAATTTAACTACTTAATTAACAAATGTACAACAAATAGATTCAGAAATTGGCACAATTTAAACCTTCGAAAACATTAAAACGTAACAAAAATACTTCAACAGTAATTTAATAAATAAAATTAAATATATTATTGTATAATAGCAAAAGATCCGATAGGAAAATTTTTTATATATAAGATTTTAATTCAAAACTCAATCAGTAAGAGATTTTCATCAAAGAAAACTGCGCCTATTTCACAAGCATTGGATATCCAACATTCAACATAACGAATTATCGCCCAATTTCCTCGTTAAAAACAAAACGTTTTAAACACTAACCTCGATAGTGCCCAATATTAACGTACAAAACCTTTTAATGTCCGAATGAGATCCATCGTAATCCAAAAGTTCGCTAAGCAAATTATGGCCCGATTCGTCGCGAAGCATTCGACAATATCTTTTAGCTACAAAAATCACCGATTAAATCAAAATATCAGCGAATTATCGCACTTACGATTTTTGGTGCAAACGTGATGAATCGCCCACACCGCCCACAATTGCACCTGATAGTCCATATCGGTTTTCAGCAGAGGGAAAAACGGCTTGAAACTCCTATAGGCCACCATTTCGCTTTCGGGCACCTATAAAACCACATCATCATTAATTCAGTCTTGATAATTAATTCCCATTTACCTTCCAATTCGAAACCGCGTTCTTCAAAGCCTCCAACATCGACGATCTAGTGTGATTTTTCAATTCCCATTTATCAGGCCCGTCCGACGCCAAATGGGCCACTATTCCCGCCGCGAAATAACTCACATCGATGTTATCCGATTGCAGGAGCGTGCGCAATTCGACCATCAGGCTGTCGATCAACAGGCTCTTCCTCAACGACGACACCTCGGCGATATTATTCAACAAACCTGCAAAATATTCGCCTGTCTCATCATTCATCATCATCACTATAACTATAAAACTGTATTTACTGATCAATTCGTCATTTTCGTCGGGGAAAAGTATCTAATCCTACGTAAATTCAGGCGATAGTATTATGAAACCTCATTTCGTATCAAACATCATAAAAACCCAAAAATTAAGGCTTTTACCATTGTGTAAGAGCAATGGTTTTTACGTTAGTAAAGGTTTTATTACAATCTCCTGCTAGCGGAGTATGTTTTACCCAGAATTTTCGTTTCGATGGCCGAATTATCCTTAAATATTTTCAGCGCTTTCAAAAACAATTCCTCGCCCTCGTTCTCGAGGAACACCTTGCAAGTGGCGGCGCTCTCGTCGGTCAAATTCCACAGGGCGCTCAGCGTGAATTTCAACGTAATGTCCACCACGTTGGTGTCCGCCCGGCGTCGCACCATCGCCAGTAATTTGCGCATGTACTCCGGCCGGGCGCCCAGCTTCGAAGTCTCGTCCGTGGAGACCTGCGGGGAATAGCATTCGGTAGTATTAAAAGGCATTTGAAGCGAGTGAAATAGGCTACCTTCGCGGCTAAAATACTGCAAATCGCGACGGCCATTCGATCCATATTGACGTCCTCGAATTGACATAGAGCGTCCAACACCAATTTCGCGCATCTGAATTTATCGAAATTAATATCCTGGAGTATCCTGTCGCTGCAGAGCGTCAACAACGCGTTTTTCTGCAATTGAAACTCCTCCGGGAAGTATTCCATGGCGTGCAACGTCAAACGCACCTGCGCAATGCAAATCACGTCAATAAAACCGCAAACGAAAGCAATACCTTACTCACTCCTCTACTTAGAGCTTTAGGATGGATGTTCTTCGACAATTCACCTCTCGTTAAATTGTAGAGACAAGCCGTAGCGGCCAGTTGTACGCCGAATATGTTACTGTGCGCCTCCATAACGGGCAGGACGAGATTGAACATGTCCGGCTGGGCCTCGTGAAACGTGCTGGTCAATTGGAACAAATGGTACAAGGCCTTTTGGACGTACGTAGCCCTACAATCGAAAATCGTACCGACTAGATATTTAAATATCCACCACTCACTTATCCTTATATCTCAACAGCGTGACCTTAATCTGCTCCTCGTTGCCCAGGCTGGCGACGATCAGATTCCTATCGGTGAAGGCGGGATCGAACGTCGCCGAACAAAGAACGATGCCGAGCACGCGCAGCTTGGGATGGGTCTCGATGAGCTTCATTAGAAACCCCTTGTCGACGTACTCCTTCCAGCCGGACAAATCCAACAGAACGAGCTCCGTCAGCGCGTTGGGATCCTCCAACAGGGCGAGCACGTTCTGATGGCTCGGGCTGTTGTCGATTTTATCCATGAAGAAACTGACGTCCAAATAGCGCAGGCGCTTCAAGTTCTCCAACGTTTGCGGAATGTACTCGGCCGAAGATAAATCCTTGCGAAAATACGTGTAAAATTAACCGACAATCGGGCGGATTCTAGTGGTAACTTACGGATATCGATAGGCTGATTAAGGTAGGTGCCCGTGTAGCGAGCGGTCTCAGATCGACGATTTGAGTACCGGAAACGTCCAGCGTCTCTAAATGTTTCAAATCCTCGCAGAGGTACTCGAACACGTTTTGATTCAATTCCGTGTAGGCCAAGTTTAGGCTGCGCAGGTTCGCCAAATGGGTTATTCTCACCATGAAATTGTACCTAGTTCTGTCGATGAAGCTGCACTTGGCGAAGTTTACGCTCACTAAATTTTCTATCGACCATTCGTTGAGGCAATCTAGAATTAAATTAGCCATTAGCGTATCTTGAGATGAAAAATAGCCGAGTTGTATTGTTGTAGTTTATCAAAGATTTTTTTACAATTTTTGACGTCATCGCTAAATTATGTTTTATCTCACCTAAAATATCACCGATCCCTATTTTCTTCATATTCACGCATTCTAAACTAACTATTTTATGCTGTTTTAAAATTTGCAGTCCGTTCTTCGTTATTCGGCTATTTCTAATTAGGAAATTTTTTAGTTTCGTGTTCTCCTGCGTGAATATATTCAGTATGGGATCGCACAGGAGTCTTTTGTCTACGAATTTCTCTAGGAGCTTCTCCGATATTTCTTTTATGAGAAATATCTCCGGATCTTTGAACTTGTACTTCAGCTCGATACCATCCCACGTATCGCTGTCCTCTGAATTGCTATCGTCCGCGTTGCCTTTAACTTCAAGGGGTTCGATGTAAGTGAGTATATTTTCACTGACTACCTCCAAACACAGCTCCTCCAAGCTCTCCGGTGACTCGTACATGATTGTTGTAATGTAACCAGGAAAACTGAATTGGAAAACCAAATGTATTTCGGACGAACATTCTATGGCTGTACTTACTTAAAGCATAATGAAATTACAATATCATCGCTATTTCGTCGAAGAAAGGCGGATAATTTCCCTTCATTATAATAATACACATAACCACAAATCGAATCTCCTATCTGTCACTGTCAATCAAATTCCATTGTTGTCAATGTCAACTGTCATTTTCGGAATGTTTGTTCGAGTAGGTTGTACTGATTAGTGCGGTGCAGTATTTGTTAGTTTGTAAAAATATAAGGAAGCGTCACGACGTCTAAATGAATTACCACCCCTAAATAGGAATTGCTACTTTATTTTGCAAACTAAATACAACAATTTTTAAAAATGCAGGGTACAGTAATGTAGGTATTTTTTTATTAATTTTTATTATTTCTTTCCGTAAATTTGGGGAATCCATGGAGGCTGTAAAAGTCTTGCGGTCATACGAAAATTTACCGATTTTTCTCGGAAATTACATCTCAAACAACGAATGATTAATAATCGGGTAAATTATTCGTTTAAATTCACATCAAGAAATAAATAATGTACTCTTTTGGGTACCAATTGTATACGAAACACTCCAATAAACTCATCCCGGGAAAACGATTTTTGTTGTGCAAATAAAGCTAAAAATACCTGATGATTACACACGATGTTGATATTTTGTTCAAAACGCAGCCAAAATAATTCCCAAGAAATTGTAAATTTGCATTTCTGTATTCCATTTACAATCCTTACAACTCTGTATAGAAATAAAAAAAAACATCAAAAATGATGATTAATGCTACTAGAAATGATGCAGAATTTATTTATAATTCTCCAAAATTCATCATTTTAAACGCCAATATGACACTCCACATACGCAATTAATTGTTATTATACAAATGGTTTAATCGGCAGGCATTATCGTCAGGAAGCCGGGTCCTTTGAAATACCGCAGGAAGATAGAATCCGGCCGGCGCAGGTCGACTTCGACGCCGGCTCCGGCGTATATTTAGCAGGAAATCCGAACCGAAGCTCCGCAGAATTGAGCGAGACTGGTGCAGGACGAACGAGAAACGAGCCGATACATTAACGTAAAATCATCGCATTTAGTGGAATATTCGTCGAAAATGAGGCGTACGATAGTTGCAATTGCCGTTTTGGGTGTCTTCTGCGGCGTTACTTCTTTACCAGGTATGTAAATATCGCACGTATTTGCTTTAAATTACTCTGTATATTTGTGGTTTGTTTACAAACGTTTGAGCAGGATGTGTGCATAAGGATTTAACGTTATTCTGAATATTTGCGGGGTTTTGGTAATATTTTAGTTAGTGTTTGTATTTTTGGGAAATTTTGTATGTAAGAATATTCTAGAGCCGCAAATATTCTGTGATTACTATATCTTAATTTATTTTTAATGATGAAGCCACATAAGTAATCATATTTTCCTGCGAAAATATTAATACAATTTTCCTCGGAAAACAACTAAATTTAGTAGTTATTGTAATACCGGAAACCGATATTGTTAATCTGAAAATCTATAAAATTACGTATAAAGCGGGATATTATGCGAAATGTGTCTATTATTATGCGAATGATTCGAGTCTTTTTTTCCGAATCACAAATTACTAATGATTATTTCAATTTGAATTTCAACTACGGTTAATAGGAATGTATTTAATGAAGTAACAAACTATACGCCCAATTAGTACCTATCCAGCCTTATTATCAGCTTAAAGGTCGCTATAAATTATTTCATGTAATACTGAAAATTATGATTTTTTTATGAGTCATTGAAATAAAAAAAACATCGCGGAAAATTCATTTATGTTAATTCCCCAATTTCCTATCGCTTACAGCATGATAATTTACCTCGTAAATGTTAAGTATATTCGCGATAAGGAAGTGTATAAATAATATATTAAAATAATGTATTTTCTGCATTACACCAACGAATAAAAGTTCATTTAAAATTAGTGCGATAGCACCAACAATTAAAATTTCATTCAGAGAAAGGAATTAAAGGGAATCTACCTTCGTTTATTGCCTAATTAAATCACCATTTACACAAAATATACAGCAAAAGTGAAGAAAAATGAATTTATTTTGTTACGGTAAAGAGACGGAATATTCTTCAAAAATCATAAACAATATATTGCGACATATCGTCTGCGTAAATAATTCGAATTAATCGAAGTCGATCAAGGCTCTACATATATTTATTTTAATTGCCACTATCATTGAAGTTATCGCAATTTTCGCGGAAAATATTCTCCTTAGCACGTCCAAGAAATGTGCGCAACTATTTCTACCTATACAAGGATGTTCGAGATCCGATGAGTTTCGCAAGAATCCTGGTCGAAAACGAATCAAAAATTCACCGGAATCCGTTTATATTTGGTGATTAATTAACGCATTTCACCTTTAATTATTAGTGTGTTTAACGAACTTCCATGACCTAAATACTGCTAAATAATTGTTTGATCGACTGTATTATGTGAATAATTTGCTCGTTTTTGAACTACAAATATACCATTTCTATACATTGTATCAAAAAAATTAAGACTATTTACTATCAGCAGTTTATTTGATAACTACTTTCTTATGTTACTAACGTAATTGAAGAGAAACGAGTAATTTTATATCAGTTTCAATAAATCCTATTAGATAGGAGTTAGTTAGAGTTTGTCTCGAGTTCATACTAACTTGTTTATAGTCTGAACTTACAGGGGTTTCGGATTATAAAATTATGATTGATTAATAAAGGCTTTGTAGCACATTAAAACAATGATTTTGTACAATTCAAATGCATTTAAAGGAATAGAAAAATTTGGAAATACTGCCCTTGCAACTTGACAGTAAATTATTAATCCGAAACCCAGGTAAGTTCAGCGAATGGACTATACCCTTCTAAATGATTGTTTTTGGAAATATTCGCAACCCTTTTAAGAGCTGGCGAGTATTAAAAGACTTTTTCTAATGACATCATACACCCGATTGAATTTCGGATTCGGTAGTTCTGCGGTTTCTCCCATCAACAATAAGGATGTATCGCGATGATACTGTATTTGATATTCGTCGAATGTTCGTCTAAATATAGTCAATTATATGTCAGTAAAATGCGAATAAACAACTCAAGAACGTGTCCGGTCCGAATTTCTTGAATGAAATTTCGCGGAACAAACAACATTTAATTTTTTTTCATCGTGTTTTTTACGCGATCGAATTAGGCGCTATTCGAATCGCAGAAATGTCGTGTACGATTGTGAATATCAAAGTGTAATCGAATGATGGTCGTTTTCGCCAAGGTCGTAATAACAAAATACCACCTACAATTTAATCAAACACGAAACAATCGAGTGCACGATGCGTTTTTTTTTTTATCATGCAGCATAAAAAGGAGTGCATCATTCGAATTGCACGAGTTTGAATTGAAAGAACGGATCCCCATTACCTAATAAAAGCAGGTTTGAATTGGTTAAATGGCTGATTTGAGCTGGTGTTGTATGTTTTTAACGCATTGTGTATCTGTTTCGTAAGCTTCGCAGTGCGAGAGGTCGAAAGGGTCGGGTTTTATCGAGAAATTGTAGCTAATAACAAAGTAAAATTTGTTGGCGATTTCTCTAGAACTTCACGTATTTAAATATATTTTTTAAGCTGTTTTTAACGAGTTCGTATTTTTCTGGCACAGGAAAATCCTTGTAAATGAAGCATCGAAGTTATGAGAACCCTAAAACGTACAAAAACACATTTTTTATATCCTTTTGTTTTGGAAAAATTCGAATTGGACATTGCGAAAGAATGCGATATATTTCGAATAATATACGCCTATATAACAATGAATCGGATGTGTTTATAATCGCGAATGTAATTTCAACGAAGACTTATTGATGCCGTTTCAGTTCAGGTTAATTTGTATTACAGTCCGATGAACATGTCCTATGTTGTTGTATAATTTCTCGTTTGACGTCATTCTGCACAAAATTTTACATTGCAATCATCGAATACGAAATGAACGTTTAATGAATAATTAAAGAATATTTTACCCTTTCATGCAGAACTCATTTAATTAGTACCTATTATTTTACTCTACTCTATTCCGAATCTAATCAGAATCTCAAATAAGTGGAACTTTAAGATGCGTTCGATGATACATAAACTAAAACTGTCAAGATTGACATTAATGACATTTCGTATGACAGAAGTTTGATAGAGGTGGGAATTAATTTTTTGGTGCAGAGGTACAGTAACGACTGTTACAAAATAAGTGTTATTTTTCAAACACATATCGTTCTCCTAAATACTCTGCAGTTTTGCTTGCATTTCGTAGGTGCATAGAAACTCAGTTATGCAATATTTAAATCGAACGGGTATTGTAAAACGGTGCAAGTAATTAATTAGTCTGCATCTTATGCACGTCTAGTGGGTCGTAATCAAAATGAATTCCTCGGGAAAAAAAGGTTCGGGTCATGATGTAAGATATTTTTTCTGTTGAGAAACGCGCGCTTTTCCACGTGAAAAATGTGATTTTCTTGTTATTTTCTTTTTCCTACCGCACGATTGTTGGCTCGTGAAGGCGATATAGGTGTATTTAATCAAAATCGGCGAGTGTGGAATGAAATACAATATAAATTTTAATTGAATTCTTCGATATTTTCATCGACTTGTTTTCTTGGAATAATTAAATTAAATGAGTATTTTACCACGATCATAACAAAATGTATAATGTTACTTCTTACATTATACAGTGTGTTAAGAATTAACACTCTGTTTTTAGATAATTAGGAAATGATCGAATTAAAAATATTAAATGCATAACAACAGTCTATGTTTTTGTTCCTAAATTGATTATCATCAAATGAAGTTATATTAGTAGACATTATAATTTATAATGTCGTCCACAAGGTGAACATGTTTTTATATATTTTTCTATATACCTGCAATTTTTTTACACTTATTGCGTATGTAACTTGTAACTATATGGTTAGCGTTTGAGTCATCAGATATGTCGTATTGATAAATAGAAAATTTTTCTAGAAACAGGCATAAATATAGCATTACTTTAGTACATCCATAAACATATGTTTTTCACGCAACTAATAGCCTATATAATTAAGTTAGAAAATTCATTTCATTATAAGTTTGTGAGTATTTAAAAAATTATGACTTTTTGCTAACTGCATTTTGTATTTACAAAATCTACTATTTATCACCTTGTACGATCTAAACGCCGTTTTGAGTTGGTTTTTTTCTTATTTATATATTAGAATTCCAAGAAAATAATGATGAGTAGAACTGGTTTTAAAATTAGACGCCGGTTATGGAAAAACCGAGCCATTAGTATTCCATGATTGGACTTACAGGTACAAAATATGTACATACCTGTACACCTATTTGTTTCAATAAGTGTAACTGTTTTAAGCGCGTAACGCTCGAATAATTTGGTCACAATTTAAATAAATATATGCAAATACGACCGGTTAATCTGCAATTAAACTAGTTATTAAAATTTATTAAATTTTTGGCGACTAAAATGTAAAAAGTGACGTCTGAATCAACACGTAAATATGCATATGAAATGCTTTTTTAATAGACTTCTTCCTTATATGTAGTACCCAGAAAATACATACGCAATTCGATCGGCCGCTTATTTAATATCTGTATATTCTATACCTGTTGGGTAAAATTTTTATTTTTTCCGTTCTAACCGGTTTCGAATTTTGTGCACCAGCATCACCAACACCGCAGGTTAACGTTTCCTAAATTCGCCGTCCATTCATCCGAATTATCTCACTTTGATTGATAACCCTTCATTAAAAATCGCTTTTTTATTTCGCTTATTAATCGCCTAATTCTAAAGGACTGATTCGCTCGCGATAACAAAGAATCCTTTGTGTCTCTACACATTTTTTTATTAACGGGCGTTATCTTGATGATATCTTAATTCATTATTCAAAATGATGTTCTTTTATAATTTACAATTCGCATACATATTCGCCAGTCATTTGTGAAATTTATTTGGCTCTCTCTGTATACATGCGATTTTACTGGAAGTTGGCTGTTACTAAATTGGGTTTCAGCCAGTTCTTTGTGGCATTTATTTGGTTCTCTCTGTATATGTATAAGGCAATTTTACTGGAAATTGACTGTAACTAAATTGGATTTCAGCCATTCCCACGCAAATAGACGATGGAGTGGAATTCGTCGGTCCCAAAGAACCTTTCGGAGATCGCCCCATCATCGATACTAACGCAGGATTCGACGACATTGGCTATTCCAATCCGTTCGGAGGACTCTTCGAGAACATCGAGAGTAAGTTTGGAATAATAAAGTTAATTAGCTAAATGATTATGAATTAATAACGTGGGCCGCGCTGTTATGGAAATTTAAGGAATACCTCTATTAATCTTTAGACCTGTTAATTGCCCGGCGAATTGTAAATTGCAGCTAATCCTACTGGAATTCCTATTATGTCACGTTCAAGGATGAGAGTTATTAAAAATTTTAATATGTTTACTGATGTTTGGGTCTGTATGTGGGTGCCCCGTTTAAAACCGAACGAATGCCCAGGAAGTGTGCAGTTTGAATTACAATGATTACCTACTAGGTAACGATTGTGCGAGTGCGATTGTATAGTAGATTTTGTACGAGGCGTGTTCGATAATTCGTAGAAAAATGGATGATAGGTTTGCTTTGATGGAGTTTAGAGCGCGAAACGAAATGCGATGTAAGCTAAATATACTGTAGAACATATTCCTAGATTTTTAGCCAACAGATTTCATTTGTAATTGAATATTTTTGAATCGATTTATCGCAGGTTTGATGGCAAGGGTGCGTCAACAAATGAACGATATGCTGAGCCGATTCCCGATGATCGGTAGCGGAAACGCTTCGGATGAATTTCCCGATCTTCCAGGGAACTTCCCTCCGTTAAATATCGATTTGGGCAAAGGAAACACGACGTCCGTAACGAAGGTAATAACCCGATTTGCATTTGCTAATTTCTCTATTGGCTAGACAGCCGTTTTGAGCGAGGACACGCTGTATATTAACGCCCCGAAATGGTGAGGCCATTTGACATTTTTTATGCAACTTAATGGGTATAATGAATGCAATTTACGCTGTAGAAGTGTAATAAATTATGTAATAATTCTGTTGGGGAACCGATTAGCAGTCAATAGAACTTTACTTGAAATATATACCACACCAAAAGTAGCTTGGTAGTTGATGAGAGGTCAATTGATACTGATTAATCGAAAGGTAAAGGTCGCATGATTTCCACTGGTGTAGTTTGATTTATATTATCAATTATCACTAAAGATTCAAAAGTATACATTGATTATTTATCAAATTAATAAAGGAAGTTACTGCAGTACCTAAAATGCATATTTAAACCCCCCTGTACTCATCATATTACGCTTATTTTCCAAACTTTAATGAAGTATTATGTGTTTAAGTCAATAATATATTCCTCCCGCCACTATATTAAAATTTGTACCGTCCAGCAATTCTCAAGTGGCGAGAGACTCCATCTTTCTTCTCCATTTTCATCTGCCAAGCTACGTTCGACGAGGTATACTTAACTCAATTTCGTGTACCATCTTAAGCAAACAATTCTGCACGATATAAATATTTTTGAAACAGATAATAGACGGGCACAAGGTGGTGATCAATCAAACGGAATACCACAACGACGACGAGCACGGTAGCGCCTTCTTCAAGGTGAGCATCATCGACGTGCAGCCGGAGGAGACGGCGACGGAGAAGGACGCCGAGGAAGTGACGCCGAAGGAGACGACCAAAGACAGGGAATCGTTGGAGAACACCGCCGACAACGAGATCGTCAAAGGCAAAGAGGTTGGTAAGACGGGGGCGCCCGAGAAACTCGTGAGCGCCGCCTAAACTGCATGCGCCCCGACCAGCTATTTTTTCCCCCCTATATAACAATATTTTAATATGTCTAATACGCCTCTGTAATACAATAACGAGGAGTCGCGATTACGGCGGTACGATTTATTCTATTAGGTTTTATAGAACGTTGTAATCGCGACTGCTTATGATATACTACAATTTTTTCATAAAGTTATACGAAAGAGATATTTTTTTAAGTAATATCTACTTTATACGATTTATTATTGAAATATATTTGAAACCGTCAGGAATATTGTACACAATAATAGCTATTTTTTAAAAAATAGTTTAGAACCGATATTGTAAAATCCTTGTTTTTGAAATAAAGTTTTTATCTAGTTTTATATTAACATTTAATTATCAAACTAATTGTAACATATTCCTCCTACTACCCCACTGTAATTTTAGCATATAACAAACCAACTAACCCACCAACCGTAGTAATAACGTTAATAGCACAATTTTGCACCAAAAAAATCACACCTACTCACTTGCACAAATGCACTCTTTGTCCATCAGGCCGCACCCTACCTACAATCCATTGAAAGTTTCGATACCGTGGATTACCCGAGATGGATGGACGTCGGCCAGTTCGCGCCCATCGACGACAATTCCCTGAATTTCGAGCCCGTGCGGGACTTGTCCCGGGACACGTACGTTAACGAGCTGCTGGCCCAAAGCGGAGCCACGCCGAATCCGGACGCGGAGCTCGTGGAAATCGTACCGCAAGGGGCCCGCAGCGCGCCCATGCGGAAGTACCAATACACGAGCGTTAGAAGATAGTTTTAAAGGCATTGAAAAGTTGACGGTTTCGCTGGAAATTAGGGTTTAACAAACGACTCGACAAAACATTTTTATTCATCTCATTGTACTTTTATTTATTTATTTATTGTTTAGCCTACTAATAAAAATCGAAAGACTGACCAGAAGCTGCGAGCGCTAATGTTTTATACTTATTTTTTTTTTAATTCACGTTTACACCGTCCATTTTATACACTTTTTTTTAGAAAATAAAAATGTGTTGTGCGATCTTAAATCTGCCTCATTTTTGACGAATATTAACTAATAAATTTTTTTAACGAAAATTGTGTTTAAATTTTTCCAAATTCAATACCCCCAATATAATTACTAATAGGAATAATATTGCCTCAATTTTAAATATTCATTTTGTAATGTAATTTGAAATTGTAAAAGTAAGCAACTTCTTCTGCGCATATAAAGAATCAAGGCGTTTTGACAGCGCTGTTGCCAAATATTCATTCTTATAATTTATATTTAGTAGATGCGACAAAGACAACATACATTAATCTCGTGTAAAGAAAAAAGAATGAGTTATAGTATGGGTCTTGACCATATTCCAAACAAAATTTGCACTTACTCCTTTTACAATCTTTCCTTAAATCAACTAAACAGTAGATACTCGGCAACACCGCACCATAAACACCTCGATTCTTCATATGCGCAGTATAAATTGCGCACTCTCACTCTCTTTAAACTACAACATTACGCCATTCATTTTTATATTAACATTACATTACAATTTACTACTATCACAAATTTCGTTCCAAGCCCTACACTCAAAATTTAATCCTATAAATCTTCTTCCTAAACGCCAATATATCCATACAATCCGCCGGTATGTGGAGATGATACACCAAAGTATAATATTGACCGCTGTTGGTAATTTCAAATTTATCCACCAAGTATTCCCTGGATTTGTCCCTGGCCAGCTCGACCAGCGATGGGAACGCCGGCAACTCCGGATAGAGCTCGGTGAACTTGGGAAACCGGATTATCTGCAGGTTGTTCAGCAGGGAAACGAGCCTCGGGTGCGCCCAGTAGGACATCGTGTTCACGATGCATTTGAATTTCGGAAAAGGGGCGTCGCGAAAATCGATATTATCGCAAATGGATTTTATGTCGGTTCGAATAAAGTAAATGTAAACGGGCAGGATAGTAGAGAAGCTGCACGCGGATTTGTAGTAACCCTCCTCCCCTTCGATATCGAAGTAGAGCAGTATGCGAAACAGCGAGCAGTAGCCGAATATCTCGAAGATCAGGATCTTCTCCCTGGGCGAGCACTTGAAGTTGTGCTGGAGCAACAGGCAGAAGAACTTCGTCAGTTCTTTCAAGCAATTGAAGCTGTAACACTTCAAGTAGAAATACTTCAACGTTACATCGGATAAACTGTGAGCTATGGCATCCACTACAGTGGATTCGGTGTGTTCGATTAGAAAATCCAAGTATTTTCCGAAATTCTTCGACGTGGAACCTCTGCACAATTTGAAAATCAAAACGGGACCGATGGTTTTTTCGTTAATTTCCGAACCTGGCACGCGCGGCCATATGAACTTGAAAAGCTCCAAATTATCGTCGGAGAAGTTAAAATATTTCACGGCCCTTTGATCGATCGGTCCACCCTTCGACACGATCTCCCTAACGTGCGGACTTCCGTATTTAATCGCAACAGCCACAATGTTAGGCTCGTTCGAGAAATCATCGATATACTGAAGCAACGGCCGTTGTAGCTGAACAAATCCGCTCATCAGAGCCTTCATAAAGGGAGTTTCGTTGTTTTTATTCGCTACATTCGGATCGGCGTTGTAATAGAGCAGCATGCAAACCGTTTCGAGTTCGATTAGATCTACGGCTGCGTGCAGAGGAGTGTCTCCGTTGCTGTTTGCTGCATTTACATCTGCTCCTTTTTCTATCAATAATTTAACTATACCGGGATTTACAACGGCGATGTGCAGAGGGGTTTTTTCCAAGCTGTTTCGAACGTTTACTTCGATATCGCTGTTTAATAGTTTCTCGACTCGCGCCAAATTGTTATTGAGTATTGCTGAAAACAGTGAATTTGCCAACGACATGGTCCCCTTTACAAAACACAAAAATAATACTGCAATCGAACAGCGTTAACGTACCGACATTTTCGTTGTATTTACCGTCAAACTGACGTAAGTAGTTCGATTAAACCGTACAAACATTACTAGAATCATCGGTGCTTAGAGGAGAATTGATCAAAAAAAATCTAGTAACGTTTATAATAAGTTTATTTTAATAAATTTACTCATCTTGTACGACCGTTGTCTTTTCGGATACGTACAATCCGTCCAAAAACTTACGGATATCCTTATTTTTAACGGTGGTGGATTGTTGGATGAGAGCCGCAGATCTCGATACATCTTCGAGGGAGTTTCCTTCGATTATTAGCTCGTCTTTCTGTTTCTGCGAGTTCACTACAGTCACACCGGGTGCCATTCGTACTCTAAAACCACACCAACATTAACCCAATAAATTAGAAATATTAATCGAAATGAATACCTTCGGATGAATTTTTCCCCCAAGAAATTTCTGATTTCGATAACTGAGTTGTTTTCGGTGGTAACGCAGTTGATGGGGAAATGAGCGTACACGGCTCTCATTTTGTATTGGTAGCCTTTCGTGACGCCTTTCAGCATGTTTTCGACGTGAGAGCAAACGGTCCTCACGGCGGCCAGTTCCTTCTTGGTTCCGAACCATTTTTCTACCTTCAGGAGCCTGGGGCTGACCATGCGAATGTCCAAAGCCAAGTGTTTGAAGCACCGCTTCAGGGTGCCCCTGGGTCCCTTGACGGTGACGAGACGCGACTTCGCGCTCACTGTTATTCCTTCGGGGATTTTAACAGTTTGGTTTGTTACTATTTGCTTCATTGTCGTCCTAAAAATACAAACGGTTAGGGGAATGTTGTGAATACATAACCTCAGTAAAGTTGTTTTGTAAAGTTCTTGGTAAATTAGCGAAAAAATATGCTGGTATAATTAAAAAACGAATAGATTAATAACATATTTGAAATGTATAAATTAGAAATATTTGGAAAATAAGTAGATGATTAAAGAAATTTAATTTTCACTATAAACTTACACTCTTTTGACGTATTGTAGCGGAAAAGGTAGATGTCATGCGCGTTTTCAAAATACTCTCGATTGGGTTCGTGGAGCCTATTCTGACAGTTATTGCAACCAATCAGAGCTCGCCCTTATTTGTTTTGTAACTTTAAACTATCGTTTTATTTACAATTATGACAAAATATGTGTTTTTTTATCTAAAATTAATTCATTTTCATCCGAAATGTTTGTAAATTCTAATTAATAATGCAATTTTAAAACTGTGTCAACTGAACGTATCTCTTTTTATTGGTCGACGTGTTAGAAGCATTAGCTCTTTATGACAGATGGTTGACATATAAATGACAATGGCAAATGTGTCATAAACGTCATTCGAAATATAAACAAATAAACCAAATTCAGTTTTCTAGTTTTTCTTCAAATTTTGAGATAAAATTCTTCAAAAATGTCACAATTAAGTACAAAAGAGAAATTATTATACATAATTGACGACATGGAAATAATATCAAAGTAAGCACACGCAAATTTTCTCGTTAAAACAAACGATTATATTTACTAATTTACTTCATAGGGAAATCATAGAAAATGCGATAGCTCCGAAGAGTTCGAAACTGTCAGGCCCCGAATACGCTCAGCTAACAGACCTGCTGGTGGCCAAAGACAACGAGCTGAAGAAGACGCTCCAACTGGCCTCCGAACAAGCGCAAATAAACAAAAAACTAGACATCCTAAAAGCGGAAGTGGAACGCCAAGACCAGGACATAAACCACCTACAAAAGCAGCTCAAAGAAGCCGAACAGATCCTATCCACGGCCATCTACCAAGCCAATCAAAAACTACAGTCGATCGCCAAAGCCAATCGCCGGCCGATTTCCTCCGAGGAACTCATCAAATTCGCCCACAGAATCAGCGCGTCCAACGCCATCTGCGCCCCGTTGACCTGGCAACAGGGCGATCCGCGACGACCTTACCCCACGGATATCGAAATGAGGCTCGGTTTGCTGGGCAGGATGGGGGATCCCATGAACGGGCACATGCTTGCGCAGCAGAACAGCATGTCGGATTTGCACAGACCTGGACATCCCGGAGGTAAAAATAAAGTAGTAAAAAATTGGGAGTTGTTTAGAACTTGGTGTTGTTTTTTCAGAAATCCCGGCTGCTCAACAAAATCAGTTTGCTTGGCATCCATCCGGGGAAATGCACATAAATGTGGGGCAAAGCACGGTGCCGATGGATACCAGGAATCACAAGCAGGAGAACGAGGACGTGGAGGTGATGTCGACGGACTCGAGCAGCAGCTCATCCAGCGACTCTCAATAACCCTATCGGTACATAAGTTACTAGATTGTTAAGCGGAAATGTTGGCTTGTTTTTTTAAATTTTTTACTGGTATTTATTGTAATAGAAACGTCGGATTTAATGTTAAAATTGCTCCCGTATTGTAGCAAATGTGGTATGAAAAAAGTTGATTATTTATAAATAATGTAGTGTAAAAATGTTTGAACAATTGGTGGTATTGATTAAACGAATTGATTTTTTAATTTTAAATTTAGTAAGAACAATGTGAGTGTAAGAAAAACATGAATAGTGGAGAGAATAATTACTATACTCCGTTCGCTATCAGGAGATAGTCATATAAAGCTTTCTAAAAAATATAAAAAATTCGCAATAATTTTCTCACTACTATCTCTACAAATCAAATTATACTCCGTTCGCCATCAGGAGAGAGTAATATTTAATCTTCAAGAAGCAGTAAATCAATGAAAAAACTTTCATTTTATGAACAAAAAATATAGAAATTTCGCAATCATTTTCTCACACTATCGTCTATACAAATGAAGTTATACTCCGTTCGCGATCAGGAGATAGTATAATAAAATCTTGAAGCAGTAAATCAATGAAGAAACGTTCATTTTATGGACAAAAAAATATAGAAACTTTGCAATAATTTTGTCACACTATCATCTCTATGAATGAAGTAATGAAACTTTCATTTTATGAACAAAAAATAGAGAAATTTCGCAATAATTTTCACACACTACCATCTCTATAAATCAATTTATACTCCGTTCGTCATCGGGAAAAGTAATAAAACCATTTTGAAGCAATAAATCCCTAGTGATACGTTCATTTTAAGTACTTAACATCCAGAAGCACGACTGTAGGTGTTCAGATAAATTTATTTGGAATTTGAAAATGGTCACCTATTATTACATACCCTGTATACTACTAAATTAAACATAAACATTACTATTATACAATATTAAAACTCCTCAAAGTTTACGAATTTTATATTTATGTTCGTTTTATATTCGGAAATTCATTATTGGTCAATAATTTTTAATTAATGCAGCGGTATTCCGGATTTTCCCGTTTTTGTTCAGACGTGCTCTCGACTTGCGTCGGCGGTGAAATTATATCTACACGTCTTCGTAAAAATAACACCGCAAAGATCTAATGGGAAATCACCTTGTGTCTTGATAGAAACTTCCATAAAGCTACCGGTTTTCTTATCGCGGTTTGAAATTTCGAACGTAATCCAAGCAATGACTTAGCCGAATTTTATCCGTTTCTGAAATCTCATTTTATTGGGAACAGCGTTACAAATTAATCGCGTAAATAAATGCGCTTGTAAATACGATAATTACTCGTCATGTTTCTTGGTAATAAACAAAAATTTTTTGTATCATTTTATGGCTAAAATTTGAGGAATTTTAGGGGCAAAAATAAGATGATTACCTATATCCAATAGTGCTTATAGTAAAGAAGTTGTTAAAGTTAAAAATAAAAAAGAGATATTTTGATGTCAATATCAAGCTGCTCAAGCAAGATTGGCTGAAGGCTTTATCATGAAAATTTGTACAGAATATCTTTGTTTAGTGACCTAATTATTGTGTGAAAATTATCAATCCGTGTCAGATTTAACGGGAGGTACAACCCCCTTAGAACCCTAATTCTTCCCCCCTGTTTTTCATCTAATTTTTAAGTCGAAACTGGATTTATCGAAATTTATTCTGGATTATTTAGAATTTAGACTGATTTTTTACTCTTTGTAATATTCTAAAAAACCTATATTTTTGGAGTTAAATCATTTTTTTTGGTCTATTCTTAGTAATAAAATATTTTCATTGCACATTTTTAACAGATTACGTTATTTATTAAAATAAATAAATAAAAAAATAATCGAAAAAAATTATATAAACCTTATTTTCCAGTTCAAAATGTAATAAAAAAGTGATAAACGCCACCCTTACTTAATTACATCAAATTCCCCATTGATATCGCTTTTGACCTATTGTGAATAATCATAATCATTCGGGTCAACTTCCGATCGGCGATTTCTTATTTATTTATCTGGAATTTCTTATTTTCGCACCGGCGGTAACTCCCCAGCCATTCTGGTAAATCCGGATTACTATTTTATAATAATCATCTATTGCATTTGCTTTGGATTATCCCCACCTCGCATCTGGCTTTATTACACGACTATTTGATGGTATATCTTCGCAAATTCGGTGTCAAATGCCGCTTTACGGCGATTACATGTTGGTGAAAAGTAAAATTCGTGACTTAAGTATCCGATTGGATAAATCGACGGTTTCGCGTCCGGTAATTAGTTTGTTTTATTGGTTTTATGTGTTTTTTTGAAATTAAAGGTCGTTGGTTCGGAATTAAGAATTAAAATTAATTTTCTGAAGTTTTACGGATAGTTCGTGGACATTTAGTTTTGAACGATATTTAGCGTGAAATTATTTTTTGTAAAATATTTTTTTTAGCGAGAAAATATTGAGTTGCGGAGAACGGTGCGGGAAAATAACAATGTGAGTAATATAATCCATTTTTAATTAATAAGAAGTAATTGGATAAATCATTATTGCCTACTTCTATTGTTTAATTAATTTTTTCATTGATTTTTATAACGGCAAATTAATTTTATCACCTTTTCATGTAAAAAAGGGCTATTATGCGGAATTCCTTCTAACTATTTTCTCATCTATAATAAAATAAATTAATTTTTGCATAAATTTAAACGTGTAAAAAATTCACATTTCAATTTTATTCAAAATTCTCTACAATTCTTCTGGAAATATATTAATAAAACATGGAATAAATTTTCACGTAATTAAAAAAATGTTCTCGTATTAGAGGATATTAGGAATTATGTAACAGCTAATTAAATTTATGCAGTACCTACATTAATTTTATGGTTAACGAGAAAATCATCATTAATATTGGTAATAAAATAAAGTAAAAATCGGGTTAATTTTGACATGTTGTAAATCAGATTACTAAAAAATTCGCTTATAAAATAATAAAAATACGGTTAAAAACGAAACTGAAAGCATGTAGTTAATTATACAACGTTCTTGTAATAAACATAAAAAAATAAAATCTCGCGTCTGTAAAAGTAGATTAAATTATATTGCTCAAAAACAAGAAATTATTCTTGTATGTTAATTGTATAGCATTACCTGAACAAATGTAATGTAGAATAAAAGATAAATAATCAGTGGAAAATTCAAGTAGGCAATCACTGTTCCTATCATGATGCAATTTCATTATTAAATTTCCAAAGAAATAGAGAAAATTTTTAAATAAGAAAAACAATTTTCATGGTCAATGACCAATCGATGCGTTAAATAACTGACCTTATCCTCGATTGAAATTACTTGCAAATATACAGTGTGTTCGTATAAAAGCCATTTCAACGCGTTTTTTGGGACACCGTGTATAAAAAAGTCCTTCTTACACGTATAATTTAGCACTATTAAATCTTGTTCCTTGATGTTAAGGCAAAATTTCATCATAATTAGATAATACCCACATAGAAAATTATCTATTTATTTTAGTATAGTGAAAATGCTCTTTAAACTTAATTATAAAATTAGCTATTTTATTATTTATAGATTTACCTTAGGTATTTTTTCTCATCTTTTAATTAAATCGTGCGCCTATCAGACCTTGAAAAATTAATAATGGTCAATTCTAACAGTGAATACATTAAAGAACGTGACGTTTTTCTTGGACCTTACAAAAATCCACCTGAGATTTAATTAGTGCAAAACCGAAAATAAAGAATACCGGATGTTGCGGTATTGTAAATTTTTTACCCAATTAAATAATGACGTCTTTAAATTATGACGCCATTTCTACCACACCTAATCGTTCTTCACTACTGGATTTACGTTAATTGGGATTTTCAAAATGATTAATTTAATACCAAAGAATTTTATAATCGGTTTTTATTACATTTTTTACAAGTGCAATTAAACTAATTAATTATTGAGCGACTTTTATCTCATTTTCTTTAAACTTTGTCTCGTTTTACAGCCAATTTTCTTTTTTGCTACCTTCATTTCGAACTTATGCTGAATAATTTAAAATCGTTAAAAACGAAAATATACTAAAATAACAGCTGATAAAGAAAATTAGTGCCCATTATATTTTTTATCTAACAGCTCACTATTTAAAAAAAATATATCGTTAGTAAAGGGCCAGGACAGAGAGTAGAAATTTCAGTTACACAAATAAAATATGGATGTTCGATTGGAAACATATCGAATCGAGAGGTATTTGAATTTTACATTTACATATATCCTGCTTGGAAAGAATTATACCTACACGCGTTTATAAATAATTTATTTCTTATATCTTATTTTATTAGCTACTCTAAATTCGATTACTATACACGCTTCAATACGCGGATACGAGCTGATTACGTTTTAATTAACTTCAAATCGCAGGTATGTAATGATTGAAGGATTATACCTACCAGGATTCGCGGACTAAATTAATCATTACGCCTCACTTGCGGTATTTACCAATTTTTTTTAACGGTGGGATACAAAAAATTTAAGCATCAACCTTCACACTTTAATATGCAGGTACTACCTAATAATTTAAGATGAATCAAATTGGAAATATTTGGCCACTCTGCGTATATAAAATGGTGGATTTAAAAAAATAGTTTTCATTTAAACTCGCTGAACTAAAGCTTAGTGTGTCAATGATACATGTATGTAATTAAGCAATATTCTCGAAACTTGATATTTTTCAAAGTCCTTTGCCGCGAAATTGCCCAACTCGCTTCCAATATTTTTGTTCGATTCCATGTTCCATACACAATCATTTGCATACCGGAGTAGTTGGACTAATTTAAACCAGAATACAAGTTCAAAAGTGATTATTAAAAAATTTTCCGGAATTACTATAGTTTGTTTACTCGACTGCATCTCGCGGTTTCCACTACCTTCTGGGAAGCGATCGATTTGATTTGATTTGAATACGCATTTAAAGTGAACCTGATGAATGCAGTCAAGACCAATTCATTAGAATAAAATGCGAAACTACTCCACTTACCTTGGTAGCAGGACAATTAGGAATTATGCAATAATTATGCAATGTAATTAAACTGGTGTTGAGTAATAAATGCCTCTTTTGTTGGCTTTATCATCAAATAAATGTTGTGGAGTTTTGCACATTAGAAGAAACAGGATTTACAAGGTCTTCTCGCGATAATAGCTCTTATGTTTACCCTTGACTTTCACTCATTAAAAAAATTAAAATGGTATTTTTTTAAGTGCCTAATAATCCCTGCCTGATTGTTCTTATTTAAAATTATGTTTCCTTTCAGAAAAATGCTAAACTATTTTATTATCCTTTTTGGCATCCTGCACGTCGAGGGGAATATTATTTACACTGATAGAAATGTAAATGGTGAGTATTCAATTAACCCCTTAAATTACATATCTAGAGGGTAAAAGGATAAATTTATTTCATAATTTGGATATTTGAGTAATTTTTAATTAGAAATAAACAGGGTGTTTTATAGATACATTTTAAATCACCTACGAAACACCCTGTATAAAATTGTGGAAGCATATTTGACGTCAAAACACGAAACATGACATAAGCTGACCATGCACAGTTTATGATTTCTTTTCTGTTCACCAGAATTGGACAAAAACGGGACAGACTCGGAAGAGTACCATTTGGAGTACGTCCTGATGGACGGCGAGCATCCTTGCAAAAGAAACTGCGAATCGGGAGCGCCGCCCATGATATGTAGATACAAATTCGAAGTGGAGTCCTACCACACATTGAGCAAGGCCTGCTTCGACTGCCCTTTCAACGTGACCGATTGCTTCCGCAAAGACTGCGTACCGGCCGATGGTACCAAAAGGGCCATTGTTACCATCAACAGGCAAATGCCCGGGCCACCCATAGAGGTACCGTATATTTCTTTAAGCTTATATTAATAGTAGTCGCGTGCCGGGAATGTTTTTATTATCGATAACGATTGTTGGATAAATTTAAAAAAAATAAAGTGACAGGTGGCATGTGTCAAATGTTAAAAACTTTTTTATCCGAATGATTTGACATTTGAAAGTAAAAAGAAGAAAATTTAACCTCTCTTTATTTAAAAATTGTTTAAATTTATTATGTTGTAACTAAAATTATGAATTTGTTGCAATTGCATGGTTTTTAAGCGAAAGACTCGGTAAAGACTCTCATGGGAGACTCGATTCTACTTAAAAAACCTTTCTACTACTAGTGTACCAGGTACATTTTAGAACAATTACAAGACCCACTAGAATTAAATAACAAACGTACAAAGCTATTATTTTTAAAATACGTGATTGCAGGTATGCCAAAACGACGTAATAGTCGTAGATGTACACAACAAACTAGCAAGCGAAGGAACAACAATCCATTGGCACGGCCAACATCAAGTTTCCACACCTTACATGGACGGTGTCCCGTTTATAACACAATGCCCGATACCGCCTCACACCACCTTCAGGTACACCTTCAAAGCCACACAAGCCGGTACACATTTCTACCACTCGCACATAGGTAAATAAAACCCCCGATTCACTATACGACTTAACTACAATCAACTGTACGATTCGATTTTTAAGGTGTGCAACGATGCGATGGCGCGTACGGTCCGTTGATCGTGAGAGTTCCGGAAGAAAAGGATCCGCATATAGGGCTGTACGATTACGATCTGACCGATCACGTAATGGTGCTGGCCGATTGGGCTTCGCAATTGGGAACCGAGGTTTTCATGTCGCATCATCACAACGACGGCGATAACAAGCCGCCTACGATGCTGGTGAACGGTTTGGGCCGGTTCAGGGAGTTCAATGGTACCGGAGATGGACCGATTTATACTCCTTCTGCTAGGTTTTCCGTTGAACAGGTAAGGAATTTTGCTTGAATGAGAGGAATTGTTTTGGTGAGTGTATAGCGAAGAGTTTGGATTAATTATGTTTATGTTTGTAGGGTTACCGGTATAGGTTTCGAGTTATAAATGCTGGGTTTTTGAATTGTCCGATAGAAATGACAGTAGACGGTCATACGATCCACGTTATTAGTTCAGACGGAAATGATATTAATGCTACATCAGGTAAATACTATTTTATACTTGTACAAATCATGTATTTTCATTAAATTTTATTGATTTATTCGCCTTAAATCTAATTTTTATTCAACTTTTTTCAAGATTATACATTTTACAATTGAACCAAACATCATAAAACAATACAACTTTATAAACCATCATTTAATAAAACAAACATTCCTAAAAAATAGCATAACAAAGAACATTCGCGTTAAGCGTGATCTATCGTCAAAAACAACAAATTCTTCACCAACTCACAAATAAATTTCGATTTCTAGCTACTTCGCTGGTCACATACGCCGGGGAACGATTCGATTTCATCGTCAACGCCGACCAACCCAAAGGCCTCTATTGGATACGCTTCAAAGGTCTGATGGATTGCGACGAAAGGTTCACGAAGGCCTTCCAGGTGGCTGTATTGCAGTACGAAGGAGGCAGCGCGAACGAGACCCTTCTCAACATGTACCCGTTGGAAGAAGTGACCTACGATAACGCTCACGTAGATGGACTTGTACGTGTGGTATTCGTAATTACGAAGATTGTTTCTAATAATTAATGTTTGTTCAGCAAATTAATCCTTTGAACGTGGGTACTGAAGGCAACGAATCGTTCGTGACGATGCCGGAGCTGGAGTCGATGGTACCGTGGGATGATAGCTTGAAAGAAGTGGCCGATTATCAGTTCTACATAGCTTACGATTTCTATAAGATAAGCAACAGGGAGTTTTACAAACCACCGCATTACGGATACTTCTCCAGTGAGTCGCTTTATTTTAAATTACCCATCGGATATTCTAAATGACCGTTTGTAGTACAAAACTCGAAACAGAAGGTGCTGACGCCCCAATTCAACCACATATCCATGGAGATGCCGTCGTTTCCATTGTTGCCCCAAAGAGACGAGATAACCGATGATATGTTTTGTAACAGCGAGACGATGAAAGAGCGCAACTGCACCGAGGATTACTGTTCTTGCATGCACGGGTTAAAGGTAAATATAATTTGTAGTTAAATTTGTTTGGTTTTAAACGAGTTGTGTGGTTCAGGTGCCTCTAGGAGCTGTGGTGGAATTGGTGTTTTTGGACGAAGGGGTCGCTTACGATGCAAATCATCCTCTGCATTTACACGGTTACTCGTTCCGCGTCGTGGCTTTGGAAAGGCTAGGAAATACCACTACAATCGAGGAAATTAAAAACGCCGATGCCAGAGGTCTCGTAAAAAGGAACTTGAAGAATCCTCCTGTTAAAGACACAATTACGGTACCGGACGGGGGTTACACGATAGTTAGATTCAAAGCCACTAATCCAGGTATGTAATGGAGTTTGTTAGGTTTTGATTGTTGGTGTTAACGGGTTGTATTTCTTTTAAGGCTACTGGTTCTTCCATTGCCACTTGGAGTTCCACGCCGAAATCGGGATGGCTTTGGTCCTGCAAGTGGGCGAAAAGGACGAGATGTTGCCGGTGCCTAAAAATTTCCCGCGTTGCGGAAGCTACCAGCCGGATCCGTTCGAAAGTATCTCGAATAGCCAGAAAAGTGCAGCTGCAATTCGAAGGTTGTCTGTAATTGCTGTGTGTTTGGTTGTATTTTTGATATTTTCTCTAGTCAATTGAAATAATTCGATGTATAGGTGAATCGAACAAACGGAGTTTGAATGCTGGAGTTTGTTATTCCTGGCCATATTATTGTTAAAGTTAAGTCACATGCCAAGAGAGTATTTTTGTGTGTAATAATTTATATTTAGGTAAGCGTTTTTGTAAATATTTATTTGTAAATATGTATGTTAATTTAAGCCCTTCAAGATGTAGTCAACAGTGCAATAAACATTTTTATATTGAAACGTGGAATATTCCTTGGTGCAATTAAAAATGTAATTTATAATCATTTTTTTACAAGTTAAATGTGCTTTATGTAATTATTTTAGGTGATAATTGTAAATTTCACCTATGTGATAAATGTGTGATAATTGTAAGCAATAAAGAGTAATATTTTAATATTTAAATTATTGTTTAATTCTTTTAAAAACTTTTAAATATTACGGTTATATCTTATATAAAAAATTGGAAATATTAAGATTTACTGATAGTAAAAAAATCGCATGTAGTCCTTTAATTAACCGCTAAATTTTGATTTTCCGATTTGTTATCAGCTGGACTGATAACGATAGTGTAACTCACAGGCGTTTCAAATTTTATTATTAATCGAATAAATTATTCAATTTGCAAAATATTGCAATGAATCAATTACTTGAATATACACTATCTGGATCATTATTTCGTCTACTTCACTGTTTTTATCCGATTTTTTCCTTTTCCGGGCTATAAATATCTAAGATTTCCTTGCAAAAAACCGTTTATTTGCAGCTCCCTTATTTCCAAATAAAATTACTAACTACCAAAAAAATGTTAATTTTCCATTTTTTAATATTCTGTAACATCATCAACTTTTACAGCAAATACGTGTACGGCAAAGGTAAGAAACTCAACTAAGAACAAACCAATCGAGTTAATACAAACAAATAAAATTAAATATAATACAAAACCCATCACCTACAACAATCTTTCGCTTATAGCACACTACAATGATCACTCTCGACACCATTGCAACAGGCAATGCCAAGCCGGGTTACCGCCGATGATTTGCAAGTACGACTTCGAGATCGAAAATTACCACACCTTGAGCAAAGCTTGTTACGATTGCCCTTTCAACGTAACCGACTGCTATCGAAAGGACTGCATACCAGGAGACGGTACCAAAAGGGGAATCGTCACCGTCAACAGGCAACTTCCCGGACCAGCCATAGAGGTACCGCTGAATTAGTAATTTAACACAAAAATCTAATTGGTTAATTCCAGGTATGCCAGAACGATATAATTGTTGTGGATCTCCACAACAAGATGCTCAGCGAAGCCACTACCATGCACTGGCACGGCCAGCACCAAATACAAACCCCCTACATGGACGGAGTACCTTTCCTCACCCAGTGCCCGATTCTTCCACGCGGTACTTTCAGGTACACCTTTCCCGCTACAGAAATAGGCACAAACTTCTACCACTCCCACATAGGTAACTCATCAAAGCGCACATTACCTTCTAATACAAATTTAACTTTTATTTAAAAGGAATGCAAAGAGTTGATGGCGTTTTTGGCGCCTTAATAGTACGAACACCAGAAGAAAATAACCCGCACAGCGACCTGTACGATTTCGATTTATCCGAGCACGTTGTGACTGTTACTGATTGGACCTCGGAGATGGGATTGCAGAAGTTCCTAGGTCACCATCACGGAGACGGCACAAATAAAGCTCCATCAATTATCGTAAATGGATTGGGAAGGCACCAGGAATACAAAGACAGCAATGGGAAAACTGTTTATGCACCTACAGCTAGGTTCCACGTGGAACAAGGTTACCGGTACAGGTTTAGAGTTATCCACGCTGGATTCCTAAATTGTCCCCTAGAAATGTCTGTAGACGGGCACGAATTGAACGCCATAAGCTCCGATGGGTTCGATTTTAGAAATACCACAGGTACTTACAAAACGTAGGCATTAAAAATGTCTAATTCGCATCGATTTTTCAGCTAAATCTATTGTTATTTACGCTGGGGAACGGTACGATTTCGTGTTGCACGCCAACCAGCCCATAGGGCTTTACTGGATCCGTTTCAAAGGAGCTTTGGACTGCGGCCCGACGAATACCAAAGCTTTCCAGACGGCTGTTTTGCAATACAACAGCGATGATATCGATTCTAATGATTATCCCGATGGTGAGGTCACCTTCGAGAACGCTGGTGCTGCAGGGGGAGTTGTAAGTCTTTACGCCTTTCGAAGTTTCAAGGAAATTTTAGAACTTATTTCGATTGCTAGCAAATCGGCACGATCAACGTAGGATCTGAAACTACCGATGAGGATATAGTGATCGTACCGGAATTGGAATCATTCGAGCCAAGGGACGAAAGTTTGGCTGAAAAGCCAGATTATCAATTCTATGTCGCCTACGATTTCTACAACATAAGCCACCAAGATTTCTACAAGATTCCCTATTATGGATTTAACGATGGTAAATACGAAACATTTTCTGTTATATTATACTCCTTCCCACCATTCAGGAGGGTCTCCTATTTGGGATTTTGTCGAGACACACATCTTTTGTATACAAAATTATATTTCATTACTATCTTATGGTGGAGTATGACAATTATATTTCAGTATCACCGCGCAGAGAAAAATTCCTGACGCCCCAATTTAATCGCATCAGCATGGAACTTCCTTCGATATCGCTGCTATCGCAAAGGTACGAATTCGACGATAGTATACTGTGTAATGAGGAGACAATGGCGAATAGGAATTGCAAAGAAGAGCACTGTGCGTGCCATTACGTTATCAAAGTAAGCAGCCGAATTACAGATCGATAAAATCTACTGATTTCGGCGCTTTTAATTCTTTAAACAGGTACCTCTCGGGGCCGTTGTGGAGTTTGTTATACTCGATGAAGGGTTGTCGTACGATGCTAACCACCCTATCCATTTGCACGGGTATGGTTTCCGCGTGGTTGCGATGGAAAGATTGGGGAAGTCTACGACTGTCGATGAGGTTAAAGATAGAGATGCCAAAGGACTAATAAAGAGGAATTTAAATAATCCTCCGATAAAAGATACTGTTTCTGTACCGGATGGTGGTTATGTTGTAATCAGGTTGAAGGCCGACAATCCAGGTGAGGTATCATAGAGTTGAGAAGAAATGAAGAAATGAAGGATATTGTGTTGATATAATTTTTTTATTTAATGTTTAGGTTACTGGTTCATGCATTGCCATTTAGAATTCCACGCGGAAATCGGTATGGGGTTGGTTTTCCAAGTAGGAGAGAAAGATGAAATGTTGCCGGTACCTCCAAATTTCCCTAGATGTGGTGACTACATGCCCGAATTTAATAGATTACAATTCCGCTATTAATAAGAATGTATTGTACATTTTTGAATGACAATAAATTGATGAATAAACTTAAATCGATAACTTTTGCAGATTGTTTAAAAACTTCCCTAAACTTCCCTCGAATTCCTGGAGTGATTAAAACAAAATTCGAATGGCAATAATTTCAAAAATCCCTTACGAGAAATTTTAATAAATTTGTTTATCACTTATTTATTATTTATAACTATTTTCGTTGTTAAGTAAGAGTGGCCTTTTTATGAATGAGTGAGTGAAAAATTTATCATTTTAATGAATAACTAATGAAAATTGCGTACAGAGAGAATCGAGTATATTTCAAGAATTTTAATTTTATAGGTACCTACATAGGTAAAAAGCAATTTATTTAAAGGAATTGCAGTACCTCAGTCAATACAATTGATAAACAAAACAAAGAAGGCCTTTAAGGAAGGCCTTGATAATGGTCGTCACGAGCGTATCGTGAGTTTGCAATTATTATTCCAAAAATAGGAAATTATATACAGTACGTATAATTAATATTAATATGATTTTTTGGGTGAAATTGAGTGCATAAATATTTTTTAATTCCATAGCTCATCTGGTTTAATAACGAATAAGTGCAAGAAAATTATTTTTTTTGTCGGCAGTTTTTCCGATAATCTACCTCTATGATTCGGGTCGATTTTTCAAAATGATTACGAATGATAGCAATAATGGAAAATTATGACTAGACACTTTCCAATAAAGTATAAAAACCTCCAATGCGCGATGGACATTTAACCAAGTTTGAAGGTACCTCAAAGGTAAACTGAACTTCAAAAGTGGTTGTAGAGTGAAAAAAATGATTTTCCTTTATTTTATTCTATTCTGCACCTTCCTCGATTCTTACAGGAAATACGGGTCCTGTGCTGGTAAGATATTATTAAAAAAATTTAATAAAACTTCAGTTATTTAGACACTATAGAATTAAAAATTGTAAAATACATACATTATTTGATTTTTGTAATAATTGAAATATTCACCCTGTATAGGAAACGACTATTCCAAGCATCCCTGTAACAGAAAATGCGTATCCGGATTACCACCAATGGTTTGCAATTACGACTTCGAGATCGAAAATTACAACACTTTGAGTAAAGCTTGCTACGATTGCCCCTTCAATGTAACCGATTGCTTCCTGGAGGACTGCGTAGCAGGAGAAGGATCCAGAAGAGGAATCATTACCGTCAACAGGAAACTTCCCGGACCAGCCATAGAGGTACCTACAGCTAAATTAATTTAACCAAAAATTTAATTGGTGAATTACAGGTGTGCCAACACGATACAATTGTCGTAGATGTCCACAACAAGATGCTCAGCGAGTCTACGATTATGCATTGGCACGGAATACACCAGAAAAAGTCTCCTTACATGGATGGAGCTCCTTTCCTCACTCAGTGCCCGTTTCTACCACGCGGTAGTTTCAGATACACCTTCCCTGCTGATAATGTTGGCACACACTTCTACCATTCCCACATAGGTACTCCATAAATACCATTAATATCCTTTGGTACAAATTTAACTTTCATTTAAAGGAATGCAAAGAGTCGACGGTATGTTTGGTGCCATCATCGTGAGAGCAACAGAAGAAAATAACCCGCACAGTGACCTGTACGATTTCGATTTATCCGAGCACGTAATGGTGATAACTGATTGGATAACAGAGATGGGATTGGAGAGGTTCCTTGGTCATATGCACGACTCTGGCAAAAATGATGATCTATCGATTATTGTAAACGGTTTGGGAAGATACGTGGAATTCAAAGACGACGACGGGAAGCCTGTTTATGTACCCACAGCTAGGTTCCACGTGGAACAGGTGAATTATTTATCACGTTTTATACACAATTATCTGAACAATAAATTTATTTTGTAGGGTTACCGTTACAGATTTAGAGTTATTAACGCTGGATTTCAAAATTGCCCGATCGAAGTGTCCATCGATGGTCACAATATAAGCATCATAAGCGGCGATGGGCACGATATTAAGGCAACACCAGGTACATGCTACTAAAAGGTTTAAAAAGAATTAAATTTACATGCTTTTTTTGCAGTGACATCTTTCGATATATTCGCCGGAGAACGGTTCGATTTCATCTTGCACGCCAATCAATCTGTCGATCTCTACTGGATGAAGTTCAAAGGATCTATGGATTGCGCTAAACCGACTACCAGAACTTTCCAAACGGCTGTTTTGCAATACCACAGCGATCAGTTTACTGATTTCGATTATCCCGCTGGCGAAGTCGATTATGACAATGCTGGACCTAAAGGAGGAATTGTACGTATTCTACTACTAAAATTTTGTAGTAGATACTGGAGAGTTAAAATTTTTAGGAACTCGATACCGTTAACGTGGGTACCGAAACCAAAAATAAGAATATCATAGTGCTACCGGAATTGGAATCTGTGGATGATTGGGACGAAAGTTTGAAGGAGAAACCGGACTATCAATTTTACATCGCGTATGATTTCTACAAAGTCAGTCACTCGGACTATTACAGAATTCCTTACTACGGATTTGACAACAGTAAATAAATCTTTTCCACACAAACTAGGTAATTACTAAGGTTTCCATTTTTCAGTAACGAATCCCAAAGAGAAAATTCTAACGCCGCAATTCAACCACATCAGTATGAAAATCCCTTCGAAGGCGTTGCTGTCGCAAAGGGACGAAATCGACGAGAGCACGTTCTGCAACAACGACACCATGGCCGATAAGAATTGCAAAGAAGACTTCTGCTACTGTCCCCACGTCATCAAAGTATGTAATAATTCACCCACACATTAACACTACTATACAAATTTAATCAACAAACAGGTACCTGTTGGTGCTGTCGTGGAGTTGGTATTCATCGACGAAGGTCTTGCGTACAACGCTAACCACCCGATCCATTTGCACGGTTACGCGTTCCGCGTAGTCGCAATGGAAAAATTAGGAAATTCCACAACCGTCGATGAAGTTAGAGCCAGGGATGAGAAGGGTTTGATAAAGAGGAATTTGAAAAACGCCCCGTTGAAGGATACCGTTTCCGTGCCGGACGGTGGATACGTTATAGGCAGATTGAAGGCCGACAATCCAGGTGAGATTTCGCAAAGGAAACTTTAACTTAGATGTAATTGATTGCATAATCAACTTAAAGGATTCTTTGAGCCTAAGATGGCATTTGAACAAAATTCCTCTCTTCTACTAGAATTTGAAGAGCGATCCTTTTTATTCCTCGAAATGTCCATTGTTGATCCATAATCAAAGATTCACTCGCCTTTTACTGAAGGTAACCTTTTCCTGTCACTTCAGTTATGAAACCATTTTCATTGTGTGAGATAAATAATGATAATTAATTATTTTTTGTATACCTTTAGGATATTGGTTCATGCATTGCCATTTGGAAATACACGCTGAAATAGGTATGGCTATGGTTTTCCAAGTAGGAGAAAAGGATGACATGGTGCCAGTTCCTGAAGGTTTCCCCAAATGCGGCGACTACGAACCCAAAAATTAATAAGAACCGACAATATTTCGATGTAATCTATAAACGTGCTATATAAATATAAATAAATCGTAACAGAAACTACACAATTTCAAGTTTTTCCTTCAACTATCCATACCCTATTAAAAACTATAAGCTGTGTGCTAACCACCATAACTATTTGCACGGGTATGGTTTCCGTGTAGTTGCGATGGAAACTTTGGGGAAGTTTACGACTGTCGATGAAGTTAAATATAGAGATACCAAAGGACTAATAAAGAGGAATTTAAATAATCCTCCGATAAAAGATACTGTTTCTGTACCAGATGGTGGTTATGTTGTAATCAGGTTGAAGGCCGACAATCCAGGTGAGGTATCATAGAGTTGAGAAGAAATAAAGAAATGAAGGATATTGTGTTGATATAATTTTTTTATTTTATATTTAGGTTACTGGTTCATGCATTGCCATTTAGAATTCCACGCGGAAATCGGCATGGGGTTGGTTTTCCAAGTAGGGGAGAAAGATGAAATGTTGCCTGTAGCTCGAAATTTCCCTAGATGTAGTGACTACAAGCCCGAGTTTAATAAATTACAATTCCGCTATTAATAAGAATGTATTTGTACATTTTTTAAGACAATAAATTTATGAATAAACTTGATTCGAAACTTCCCTAAACTTTTCTCGATTTCCTGGTGTGATTAAAACAAAATTCGAATGGTAATAATTTCAAAAATACCTCACGAGAAACTTTAATAAATTTGTTTATCACTTTAAAGAATACATCCTCAATTTACTTTACGACAAGAAAATATATTTAGGCCAAACACATTAAAACTAAGAGACTAATGTTTCAATTTCAATGATAAATCCCATATACAGGGTGTTCCAAAAGGGTTGTGCCAAATTTAAGGAGGTTATAGAGGACATTGTGGTGAACAATTTTTGCAGAGATACCCCCAGTCAAAAATGAGTCGTTTTAGCTCCAGTCTTTTTTGTTTAAAAAGTTGTTCTTAACTTCTTGAATGATCTTAATAATCTTAAATTTCTTTAAATGAATATTGATTTTTTTTTTAAATTTTTACCTTATATAACATTTTAAAGAATAACTTTAGTAAAAACGTATTGTTTTATTTTAAAATATGAAATTGTAGTTATAGGATACATCAAATTTAATTTTTTTAAAGGATTTTTTCAAATAATTGTTACAGTCAAATAAAACCGACAACGACACAACCTGCGATAATACAGGGTGTGAGTTTGGGTGAATGCATAAATGTAATGATTTGCCACAAAAAATGTAAACAAATTGGTCTCTTAGTTATAGGAAAAAGTCTTTTTTGATTTAGACATTTTATAAAAAAAAAACTTTTAAATATTTACCTATTCTGCCAATATTGTTTTGACAATTATTTATAACTATTTTCGTTGTTAATTAAGAGTGGCCTATTTGGGAATGAGTGAGTGAAAAATTTATCATTTTAATGAATAACTAATGAAAATTGCACATAGAGAGAACCGAGTATGTGTATTTCACGAATTTTAATTATAGGTACCTACATAGCTAAAAAGTAAAAAGCAATTTATTTAAAGGAATTGCCGTACCTCAGTCAATACAATTGATAAACAAAACAAAGAAGGCCTTTAAGGAAGGCCTTGATAATGGCCGTCACGAGCGTATCGTGAATTTTTAATAATTATTCTAAAAATAGGAAATTTGATACAGTACGTATAATTAGTATTAATATGATTTTTTGGGTGAAATTGAGTGCATATATGGTTTTTGATTCCAATAATCATCTGGTTTAATAACGAATAAATGCAAGAAAAGTATTTATTTTTTAGGTAATTTTTCCGATTATCTACCTCTATGATTTGGGTCGATTTTTCAAAATGATTACGAATGATAGCGATAATGGAAAATTATGACTGGACACTTTCCAATAAAGTATAAAAACCTCCAATGCGCGATGGACATTAAACCAAGTTTACCTACTTCAAAGGTAAACTGAACTTCAAAAGTGGTTGTAGAGTGAAAAAAAATGATATTCTTTTATTTTATTCTAATCTGCACCTTCCTTGATTCTTACGGGAAATACGGATCCTGTGCTGGTAAGATATTATTAAAAATATTAATCAAACTTCAGTTATTTAGACACTATAGATAATTTAAAAATTTAAAAATACATAGTTGATTATTGTAATAATTGAAATATTCACCCTGTAAAGGAAACGACTATTCCAAGCACCCCTGTAAAAGAAAATGCGTATCCGGATTACCACCAATGGTTTGCAATTACGACTTCGAGATCGAAAATTACAACACATTGAGTAAAGCTTGCTACGATTGCCCCTTCAATGTAACCGATTGCTTCCTGGAGGACTGCGTAGCAGGAGAAGGATCGAGAAGAGGAATCATTACCGTCAACAGGAAACTTCCCGGACCAGCCATAGAGGTACCTACAGCTAAATTAATTTAACCAAAAATTTAATTGGTGAATTACAGGTGTGCCAACACGATACAATTGTCGTAGATGTCCACAACAAGATGCTCAGCGAATCCACAATCATGCACTGGCACGGAATACACCAGAAAAAGTCTCCCTACATGGATGGAGCTCCTTTCCTCACTCAGTGCCCGTTTCTACCACGCGGCAGTTTCAGATACACCTTCCCTGCTGATAATGTTGGCACACATTTCTACCATTCCCACATAGGTACTTCATTAAAACCATTAATTTACACTAGTACAAATTTAACTTTCATTTAAAGGAATGCAAAGAGTTGATGGTATGTTTGGTGCCATTATCGTGAGAGCAACAGAAGAAAACAACCCGCACAGTGACCTGTACGATTTCGATTTATCCGAGCACGTTATGGTGGTAACCGATTGGACACCAGAGATGGGATTGCAGAAGTTCCTTGGTCACATGCACGACTCTGGCACAAACAAAGCTCCATCGATTATTGTAAACGGATTGGGAAGATACGTTGAATTCAAAGACGATGACGGGAAGCCCGTTTATGTACCCACAGCTAGGTTCCACGTGGAACAGGTGAATTATTTATCACGTTTTATACACAATTATCTGAACAATAAATTTATTTTGTAGGGTTACCGTTACAGATTTAGGGTTATTAACGCTGGATTCCTAAATTGTCCGATCGAAATGTCCATCGATGGTCACAATATAAGCATCATAAGCGGCGATGGGCACGATATTAAGGCAACACCAGGTACAAGATACTAGGTGGGTTATAATTATAAAAAAATTGCTACATTCGCTTTTTTGCAGTGACATCTTTCGATATATTCGCCGGAGAGCGGTTCGATTTCATCTTGCACGCCAATCAATCGGTCGATCTCTACTGGATGAAATTCAAAGGATCTTTGGATTGCGGTGCAACAACTACCAGAGCTTTCCAAACGGCTGTTTTGCAATACCACAGCGATCAGTTTACTGATTTCGATTATCCCGCTGGCGAAGTCGATTTCGACAATGCTGGACCCAAAGGAGGAATTGTACGTGTTCAACTATCAACATTTTGTAGTAGATACTGAAGAGTTAAAATTTTTAGGAACTCGACACCGTTAACGTTGGTACCGAAACCAAAAATAAGAATATCATAGTGCTACCGGAATTGGAGTCTGTGGATGATTGGGACGAAAGTTTGAAGGAGAAACCGGACTACCAATTCTACATCTCGTACGATTTCTACAAAGTCAGTCACTCGGACTATTACAGAATTCCTTACTACGGATTCGACAACAGTAAATAAATCTTTTCCACACAAACTAGGTATACTAAGGTTATTATTTTTCAGTAACGAATCCCAAAGAGAAAATTCTAACGCCGCAATTCAACCACATCAGCATGGAAGTCCCTTCGAAGGCTTTGTTATCGCAAAGGGACGAAATCGACGAGAGCACGTTCTGCAACAACGACACCATGGCCGATAAGAATTGCAAAGAAGACTTCTGCTACTGTCCTCACGTCATCAAAGTATGTAATAATTCACCCACACATTAACACTACTATAAAAATTTAATCAACAAACAGGTACCTGTTGGTGCTGTCGTGGAGTTGGTATTCATCGACGAAGGTCTCGCGTACAACGCTAACCACCCGATCCATTTGCACGGTTACGCGTTCCGCGTGGTCGCCATGGAAAGATTAGGAAACTCCACCACCATCGATGAAGTTAGAGCCAGGGATGAGAAGGGTTTGATAAAGAGGAATCTGAAAAACGCCCCGTTGAAGGATACCGTTTCTGTGCCGGACGGTGGATACGTTATAGGCAGATTGAAGGCCGACAATCCAGGTGAGATTTAGCAAAGGAAACTTTAACTTAGATGTAATTGATTGCATAATCTTAAAGGATTCTTTGAGCCTAAGGTGGCATTTGAACAAAATTAATCTCTTCTACTAGAATTTGATCAGCGACTCTTTTTATTCCTCGAAATGTCCATCGTTGATCCAAAGTTTCACCTTTTCCTAAAGAAATCCTTTACTTCTGTTATGAAACCATTTGCCATTAGCAAGAGGAGTATAATAGAGATATTGTGAGAAATAATTAATCATAAAATTAATGATTTTTTGTGTACCTTTAGGATATTGGTTCTTGCATTGCCATTTGGAAGTACACGCTGAAATCGGTATGGCTATGGTTTTCCAAGTAGGAGAAAAGGATGACATGTTGCCAGTTCCTGAAGGTTTCCCCAAATGCGGCGACTACGAACCCAAAAAACAATAAGAACCCACAATATTTCGATCTAATCTCTAAAATCTGCTTAAATATGAATAAATCGTAACAGAAACTACAACATTTCGAGTTTTTCCTTCAACTATCCATGCCCTATTAAAAACTATAAGCTGTATTAGGATTGGAATAAGACGTGTATGGACGACTTTAAGGCAGTAAAAGGCGATTTTTCCGACTCTAATTCGACGTATCGGTCTAATTTCTATGCACCCTTTTATTTCGTTTTAATCTTCGCTAATCTCTGTTTGAGAAAAGGGGACGGGAAAGTATGCGTGCAAGCGTGCCGAATGTCACAGTGATGTCTAATAAAGTGGATAGAATTCAAACTAATTAATTTTGCGCAGATGGCCGTTCGTTCGACAAAGAAAAGCCCGGGAAGGATTCGAATTTTTCCCACGGTGCATTTGAAAATTGTATTCGTTGCACGCGCAATCAGGTTAAAATTTTTTGGTGCTTTTTTTATAGGTTTTACATCGCTAGTAAATTTGCAGACGATTACCATTAAATTTAGTGATCGAATAATGAAATTATTAAGTCATTAAAACCGTAATTAAATTCATAGTGAATTCGAACGTGAAATTAATATTTAATTGCTAATAACTACATTTCCTCTACGTTTACATGTAATTTGTAATTTTCATCAAATTCGCAGAGAACAGACGCCTACTATTAAAATTTGACACAACAATTATTTAATCGAATTAAAATTATTGCTCCGAATGACTCCTACCAAAAAATATTGAGAAATTAAACCGAATTATTTTTTTGTTTGACAGTCAATTAACTGAATTTGTCATCTAAAAAAGTGGTCTCTTACTTAATCAGTAATTACTTAATCTAGTGTATTTTGAAGCGTCTCCTTCCATTGACATTGACGTTTGACAGTTTTTTGAAACTCGTTAAAAATATTAAACGGTATTTCTTTGGGAGATTGTAGTCGTCCAAAAAATGGTAAATTCGCGAAATAGGAACTGGAGAATAGTGAAAAAAGTGGTCTCTTACTTAATCAATTACCCATTAAAACATTTAACTAACTAATAGTGTTATCTCAAAATAATAAATTGCATCTAATCTAGTGTACATTGACGCGTCTCGTTTCGTTGACACTGACATTTGACAGTTTCAAACTCGTTAAAAATGAACGAATTTCTTCGAGCGACTATTCGTGGTCCTTCGAAAAATGGCGAATTCGCGAGAATAGCGAAAATAGCATCGTTCCTCCGGTATTTAGTCGTATCGAAATACAATAACGCGTATCGAAGAGGACCGCATCAGCTCGCATCGCGATTTCCAAAATGGCGATCGTGCCGGCGGCTTGATTGAGATAATTCCTTTCGTGAAATAATTGTATTGAGCATCGAGTCGATGGCGCACACATGGGCAATGAGGATCGGGATATCCGGTAATGAATTCCGCATAATACGGTGCATTTAATGGCCGAAGGTTTTCCTATGGATTTTCCGTTTCGATCCGGATCCAACCCGCACGGGTATAGGTATGTTTAATTAGATTAAAATTCATTTTAGTTTTAGGGCAATATCCTTAAATAACTTTTGATAGAAGAATAATATTGTTAATTGTAGGTACCTAAGTTTTATGGAAAAATCGTTTCATTTATACGTAATTGTATATACAGATTATACATAGGCCTACTAGATACAGGTTTCTCCATTTTTGACCGCAACATAGACCATGGGTGCGATAAAGACAACTTCCATTAGACACTTACAAAGGAAAAGGAAAGAGTGACATTTGTGTCAATGCAACTTTTCACTCTGACAACTGTCATTTTAATAATCTTCCTTTGTTCCACTCATGGAAATGACCATGTTGCAATCGGAAATAGAGCAAGTTATATACAGATAAGTGCAAATTTGTTTGCAATATGGTAAATTCTATGAGTTAAACAAAGAAAGATTATTAAAGGTTAGTGCGAGAGAGTTGCAATCTCACAAAATCACTCTTTCTTCTTCTTTCATATGAGACTAATAGATGTCTTTGTTGCACCCATAGACTGTATTGCGTACAAATCTCATCATAGCCTACTATCACATTGGGATGAGAAAAGATAAATATATTTCGTAAATAGAAAATTATGTTAATAATAGGTACAATTCACCAATTCCCCTTGTCGAAAACACTATAGCACGTGCTGCACTCCATATCGCGATATCTATAATTCACTTATAAAGTTTTATAAATTGCCCAGAACCCTCAATGCAGTAACATGCGATTAAAAAAAGTCATTCCGTCAACAATAACTAGGTAATAATGCCTGACGAAAAAATAGAGGAGAATCCAATTCAATGCGGCAATATGTCGTCGAGAGATTTCCCTCTTTCCACCCCGTTTCTTATGCGAACACCATGGGGTGGGTTTATCACGATTCTAGCACATGATTCATCTGATAAGGGACATTGTCTACCTCAAATGTGTATCGTTTGTCGATATATCGCAGTAAAGGAGATCGTACACTACGCGATTTAATTGTAAGTAATTGTATTTCATGCACTACTGGAAGAAAATAAATTTTTAGTTACGAAAAATGTGGTACTGGGTTACTGTTCTTATTGACTGTTGGTATCTTTAATAGATTAGCAAGAAATTGTGGTTTTCTTTCAGGGATTTATTTAGAACATTTTTAAATAACCATCTTATATTATGAATAGATGATATACAAGGTGTGTCAAAAGTAAAAAAATAATTCAAAACACATATTTTTATTATAAACAATATTATTTAATCTCTAGATATCATCAATATTAGTGAATTTTATCTGAAAAGTGTTGCCAACTGTTTTTGTGTTTGCAAAAAATCCGCGACTATCAAGATTTCAAAAATATTAATTCAGTCAATAATCCATAAGGTTATTTATCGCATAGAACACGTACTTCCCGGATTGTTCGCTGCAATTTCGATATTATTTAATGTCCGGGCGCCGTACGAATAAAACGCGAAGCCCGGAGAAATGCGACGGGTATCGTTTCACGCGATCCTAGGGACTTTCCGGTGCAATCCGGAGCCCCGTACGCAGTCGCAAGTTGGCCAAACTGTCGACCCCCCAGTCAGCTTTACACAGCACTCGAGTCCTGTCATCCTAGCAAGGACTCGCCGCCCTAGAGCGCTTTAAACGCCCGAAAGGCCTCCACAACGCCACTATTTTCCTATAATAGCGGTTGATGAGCGGAAAATTTGATGGTTCTAGTGCGGTGTCCGCGTAAATAAAGAGAGTTCCTTCAGTGGCGATTGCGGTTGCGTGAAACCGGCTTTCTAAAGATTATTGTGAGTTCAGTGGTCTTGGACTCGGAGATGCTGTGTATCAAACTAGTTCGTAATGATACGTCGCGGTGTTGCCGCATACGCAGTCACGAATTTGTGTAAAAACACGCATTAATTGCGGCGAAAATCCAGCGAATTTAATGGAAAATTAGTGCAAAGCTACTGCATTTGTACCTACAACAATCGCCCGTATTGGGAAATTAATCGTGCTTTTCGTTTCCGCGGAGTTTCATTCGAATACCCCGTCGTTGGATTGGAATTGGAAAAGTGGGTGTTGATACTGTTTGATTGTTCGGAGATTTGAAAACTGGATAAATAGCCGATCGAAATTTTCCGAGTAATTTCGCGAGATTCTCGTCTGCCGTTCACGATAGGTAAGCGATTTTAATAAGCTAATTACGAATTACTGCTCTAATTGTCATTACATAATCAACCCCGACGTCGATAATTCGCGCGTTGGTCTTCGCGATTTCGATCCGCAAACGCGAAAATTCCAACGGGTTATTTGATTTTATTTTAAAACAAGTCGAAACGTTCAAAATGGCTGACCAGAAAAGGATTTCACCAGAGCAAAAAAAGGTGGCGGGTGCCATAAATGATACGAATTTATTTTATTTCAGAAAAGGTGTAATTAGATTTAATAGAAAATGCATCTTAGATGTCTACTTGTTTAATCTGCGAAATGTCTCCAAATGGGCGTAACTTAAGGTGATGGTATAATTTATAGATCTGTTGATATTCGGAAAAAAATTTAAAATAGTTGATTTATTATTGAAAGAAACTGTTTATTTAGAGTATATGAATGTTTAAGTTTCATTACAATATTATTAGGTATTATTTTTTTCTATATAGCGCAACAGGATTAATAAATTGTAGACTAGATTAGCTTCATTCATAAATCCGCATAGCTGTCACACGCTGCATTCGCACGTAATGAAAAAGAAACTCATAATTCTCTAATTGTTTCAATCTCATCGCGATATTCCCAAAAATCTCACCTAGCACGTCTACACCAGCGAATAAATCACCGGATTGCGGTCGGTCCGGTCGCGCTGATAAACGACCGCACAGATACGTGTTACGTGCTCTTTTTTGCGGTTATATGCACGGTGTATACGCGTTCCGATTGGCGCAAGAACGCGTTGTAAATCATACGTAGATATGATCGGCGGGGAAGTCCTAATTACCGAGTAATTCGACCGATAGGCGCCCTGTACACCCCCGAAATATTGTCACTGTCGATAGCGGACAATTACCCATTAAGATGCCCTTAGATGATAAAGCGGACAAATGGTTAATTATACCTACGTTATACGAATAAGTATGGTATATATTATAATGTAGCTTGTGATAAGGGAAATGGTAACTGCACAGCGTGGTAAGTAACTCGAATTTGTATGTAAAAATTCGCCGATGTAAAAAGTAAAAACATATAATCCATTCTTTTGACACGGTGATTATTAGTAATTGGACGAATCGCAACGGATAAAACATCGAAAACCCCCAATCAAAATGCCGACGTGCGCTAAAAACGTTGATTACCTTAGGAAAATTTATATATGGAAATAAATATTCCGTCGGGTTTAATAACGACCGCGATATGTACATGATTTTCATGGTCTAGAGGAAATTAATTTATACCTGGTTATTATTTATTTTCGATTCGCCGTACAATAGAATACATATGCATTTCAATGCGCTCCGAGAATGCATAATTCATGCGCCGATCTATAGGTAGCATTTAAGCTAAAAACACGAAAAAAAA